CAATAGACCCGGGTTCGACTCCCGGCAGACGCATTTCTTTTTATTATTTTGGATTTGAAATTAATCAGAGATAAGAGAGAGATGAAATTAAGTAATATTTTTTATTTTTTATTTAGTAAAGTATATATTTACATCAGGCCTTGCGAGAAAAAATAGTATAGCCGCCCGGCGCTAAGCGCTAGGCGGTCCTTTTTATTTATTTATAAATAATATTTAATGACAATTACAATAAAACCCCCGGTAAAGCAGCGCATCTATACACTTTTTAATAATAAAAAAATATGGAGTATAGCCCCGCGGCTATACTATTTATAAACAAAAATAAAAAAAAGACCCCTAGTACAGCAGCGCGTCTATACAAAAAATTCCAGAATATAGCCGAACGGCTACACTATTTAAAAACGCCTTTCATGCTTTTTTTGCGACAAAGGTATAGCCGCACGGCTCTTGTCCTAAAAACACGGGCCAGGCCCTAGGCGCTGAGCGCTAGGAGGGTTCTTTTTATTTATTTATAAATAGTATAACTGTAGCCGGACGGCTATACTCCGGATTTTTTTTTATATATAAAAAGGAGTATGGCGACATGGTTTTACTGGGGTCTTTTTGTAATTTTATAAAGTATAGCCGCCCGGCTATACCCATCGAATATCATGATCTGAATTTCTTTTTTTAAATGACTTTAATTAATAGTTATGTTTTAATTATTATTTACTTAGTGAATAATTAGTATTTAAATATATTTTATTTTTATTCAATAATATGTGAGTATTTTTTGTATAATACGTGAATTTTGCGTGTATTATTGAAAATTTTGTAAAAAAATAAATGTATTAAACATGAAAAATACGTAACTTCTATCGAATAAGTATATAAAAGTCGAAAGGTTTAGAAACCAGCGTTTGTAGTCCAACGGTTAGGATAATTGCCTTCCAAGCAATAGACCCGGGTTCGACTCCCGGCAGACGCATTTCTTTTTATTATTTTGGATTCGAAATCAATCAGAGATGAAATTAAGTGACATTCTTTATTTTTTATTTAGTAAAGTATATATTTACATCAGGCCTTGTGCGAAAAAATAGTATGTACATCAGTAAAAAATTGAGAAAATAAACTAAAAAGAACAGTATACAATCTCATTTTTACTGAACTTGATCTATTTCTGTACATGGATTGCAATCTCATGAGGCAATGTATGAGGAAGTTGTAGAGCCAAATTCAGTGGTTGGAGCAGAAGAAGATACTGATAGATAAACTGCACTTGGCCTTGCCCTAGTATCTGGCAATTCCATTAGAGGCTCATTTGGGTTCAGAAGAATCTGCACCACCTTCCTCATCTTAGGCCTCAGCATACAGTATGTATGCAAGCATGCAAGGCCAACAATCAATGTCCTTCTCACTTGTTCCTCCTCAAATTTCCCATCCAGCATTTGGTCCACGCAATCTAGCAGCGCATTTTTCGCGTAGGAATTCCACACGTGTTCGACTAAACTATAATCGTCCATGAACCCTTTTGATCTCCTCCCACATACCACTTCTAGCACCACCATTCCAAAGCTATAGACATCAGACTCCTGGGTAGCCTTTCCCGAGAACCCTAGAAATTCCGGGGCTAAATACGCGGGAGTTCCTGCCATTGGGATTGTAACTGAGGCATCTTCGAACATTAGTCTTGCTAAGCCAAAGTCACCAAGATGAGCATTGAAATCAGAGTCCAACATCACATTGTTGGGTTTAATGTCTCTGTGAACCACAGGGTTGCCACACTCTTCATGGAGGTAAAGCAATGCTGATGCCAATCCTGTTAAGATCTTGTACCTTGTTCTCCAATCAAGATAGGGCTTTCCAATGTATCGATCGAGGCTTCCATTAGGCATGTAATCGTAGACCAGGAAGCGATGTTCGTGTTCGTGACACCAGCCTTGGAGTTGCACTATGTTCTTGTGCCTCAGGCGCCCAATTGTGCAGATTTCTGCTAAGTACTCCCTTTCCCCTGTACATAAAAATTGTCTCAGTGCAGAGATATTGGAAAGATCAAGTAGGAAACTTGAAAATACCAAAACACAAAAATGTAACGTTAGTAATGTGGCAATGCAAGTAGAACGTACCTTGTTTGGAGGTTGCTGAGATCTTCTTGACAGCAATGGTTTTAGGAGGATCTGAAGATATGATGCCTTTGTAGACAATTCCAAATCCACCTGAGCCCAGCAGATTTTCCTTGCAGAAGTTCTGAGTGGCCATTGAAAGCTGTTTGTAAGTAAACATTTCTGGGGCATTTGCAGCTGTTCTTGACTGGCTTTCTATGTCATCTTCATCCTGATTCCCAATACATTGATTTCTCCTCAGAACTCTCAAAATCAAAGGGTAAGTGCAGGCTATCAAAATTGACATACCCAGAAAAATAGGAAGATCAATGACCCATATGCTCTTAGTGTTCCAGTGACGAACTTTTTTATCAGAACCAGGTTTGGTGGGAGGAATTCCTGGCAACTGTACTGATGTGAAAACCCAATCAAGGACTTGATGGCTCTCTGGGAGGGTCCCAGTAGCGGCAGTGAAGCCAACATAAACAGAGCTTGGAACCATTTGAGACATGTCAATGGAATAGTTGAGGAAGCTGATTGTTGGGTTCTCAGAATACCCAGCAGAAACTTGGAGCATCTGATTCCAACCATCATAGTCAATTCTAAATTTGATATCTCTTCCACTTTTGAGCTCAATGCCTGTGCTGTTGAGACTCTTTGCCACAACTGGGTTCATTATGCTTGTTGTGTCAATGGCAATGTGGTTCCCATCTGGATCAAACTCTTGGTTCATGTAAGTGTCTAGCTCAATACCCAATTGTTTAACTGCTCCACCTAATTTTTGGACAGCATCAATGAATTCAAAACAAAAAATTAGATACATATTCCCCTGTTAAACAGTCAAATATGTGACAGATGATGTGTTTATAAATTGCTAGTCATAATAATTGATGAAAGCGAATTCTAGATATGGTGTGATAATTAAGTTAATGTAACTAAAAAATGTGGTCATTCTAGCATTACTCTATAATGCAAATCGAGAAAAAGTCGAGTTAATTTTATAATTGCAATCCCAATTATTTAATTTAAGAAAGAACATCAACTAACCTTCAGTTGATCTATTAAGCAGTCCAAGAAACGAGCCATAGCTATCAGGAGGAGAAGGGCCACTGTCCTGTGCAAAAACAAATGCCATGCCATCTCCAGAACCGGTTGAGTTTGGGAAGGCAGAGATTCTAACAGTGAAGGTGGTAGAGATAAAAGCCGGCCAAGCACGCACCGGGTAGCGATATAAAACCCTGCCAACCTTATACAATGGTGAAGAAGATGATGAGCTTGAATTGCCTTGTTCTGGCTCTGGTGTGAGGCTCAAATGTCCATTGCTTGCAGTCACTGAGCCCATGCATATTAGGCTGCCATGGCTGCAACTCTGAGGACTGAAGGTGGGGAAGTTGAAGGTGGTTTGCGTTTGATCGTTCACAGAGGCTTGGCTATTGAAGAGAAGGGTTGAGAGGACGAGAAGCAAAAACATGGTTAATTGGGGATGAACAGAGTGGATATTTCATATGTGCAAATATATAGGGAAATGGAAAGTTTATGGTGTTTTTTTTCCCATTTCTTTCTTTGGAGCCATAATGCTGTGGAATTTTATGTTGTTTCCTAGTGTATGTTTTGTTTCCAATATTTGTGAAGGGGAAAACTTTGAATGGAGTTTTGGGTAACATACATCTAGCAGGAAGGATTGACTTGGGTACAATGAGTAATTTTGAGCAAAGAACAAACTCTTGTCCTTTTCCTTTTAGATTTTGGAGTTTTTAAATAATAAAATAATAAGAAAAAGACAGAAGTTTGTTCAAAAGTAGAACAGAAAATGTTATCTCTAGATAAAAAGGTAAAATGGTAAGACCCCTCTCTGGATAGAGCAAACAAGAAAAAGAATAAAAAGGCCTTGACTTGTAAATTTGTCAGATAAAATGCTGCTTCCTTGCACACCTGTTTTACATGCAAAGAAAGTGTGAAGCAAGATAAGTTTAAGAAAGTTTAACACAAGTTGACAAAAAAATTAGTTTAACGTAATAAATTTGAAATTACACTTGGTTAACATGCAAAAAAAAAAGAGGTGAAACAAGACAATCACATTTAAGGCAGCTTTATCATACACTTGTTTTCCATGCAGGTTGTCAATACGCATATCCTTGGAATGTTTCGAACCCAGAAGGGAGAAGGAGAACAAGAAGAAAAAATAAGTGCCAAGTATTGAGAAACTTTTTTTGGGTCCAACCACTCATCAAAAGAAGCTACTCAAGAGATAGTACAAGTATGCCATTTTATTTTATATTTAGGGAATTTAGTTTTTGAGACTGTGTTCATATATATAGGATATGCACACCAAAATGCATAATATTAAATGAGAAACTCTAAATATCGTATGTTTCGTTAAAAATGCAATGGATAGTTTTAAATAGAAAAAAACATAATAAGTAAAATTTGGCACAGCGAAGACTCAATCTGTAAAACTAATCCATAAACAAATAAACAAATTCCAACTCGCTAAATGAGAGATTATAAATGTGGAAGTTAGAAACTTAAGGTTTTACTTTTCTAATTTTTTTTTTTTCTTGACACCGTTAGTGTACAAGTTAGAGTTTCTTACTTGCCGTTATGTTTAGTTAAACGTTCACGAGGGTTTGAAATGTTCGCGCCAAAGTGTACAACAATAAATGAGAAATTCTAAATATCGTATGTCTTCGTTAGCATCCTAATCTGTAATTTAGAATAGAATAGAACATACCAAGTAAAATCATCAGGTATTGCAAATAATTAATCTGTAAACTTAACTCATAAGCAAAGGAAATTAATTTCGTCCATACAGTTTTCTGGGTACAATGTAGCAGCTCTAAAGACAACCGAGATTACAACAACAAAAACAACAACAGGAAGACCCAAACACCAGAAACTGTGGCTCTTGGAGGTGACCATCTACTCCCTGCGCTCGTACTTCCGAGCCCAAATGTGCTTGCCATTGATTCGAAACTTTGAAACCCGGTTCCCTTTCAGAATTTTGTCAACAAAAATGACAGAAATTAACACCATTTTAGCATACAAAGGTTGCTCATTTGGACCAACTTGCTCCATCTGCACACTCTCAACACAGTTATAAAACCCAAGTAAATCTATGAAGAGCTCCTTAACCTCTTCTTCTGACACAGGAAAGCCCCTAGAAAATGTTAGAAACATAGTCCTGTCATCAACAGATAGCTCAATATATGGATGCCAGCCCCATAAGCCTCCTGTGGGAATTCCATGGTCACTTGAGAACATGGGGTTAATTATTGTTACACTGCCAAACACTGGATGAGGAAATCCAGGAACTGCAAGAGGCTGGTTAGGATCAAGAAGACCTTGGAGATTTGGGTACAAAACCCTCTGCAAAATATCAGTAAAAATTCTAGCACAAATATTGGTAAGAAAATTTTTCACCCCACTGATTATGGTGTATCTGCTTTGGCTGAACATGTCCAGTGGGATTTCCCTTTCCATGAGCCTTGAGGTAAAAGGAAGGCCGTTTGGGGCAAGCCTTGACATGGTATTGAGACTTGTCTTAGCGTCTAGGCACTTCAAGCACATTACAGCTTCATCAGCTAAAGCATTGACTATGGTGTCAGGAAGCGTCAACATGTTGGCCATGAGGTTAAAGCCCTTGTCTTGAAGCCATAGCCATAAGGCCATAACCAGCAAGGACTCAGCCGGATCTCTCATGAAATTGATGACCAATCGAGCAAAAATTTCTCGATCAGTTTTGTGGAACCCGTGTATCTGATCTTGGGTTACAAGTGATGAGGTGCTCATTCTGAGATAAGCGACTAGCTAGTAGAGACAAAAATGTTTAGGGTGGTAAAATAACTGGTATGAACCTACATTTATACAGATGAAAACTTTTTCTGGTCCTTCATGTCACGTGACAAAACCTAGTCACGTGACAAGTATTGTTTAGTTAAAAGATGGCATGTGTTCAAAGTTAATGACCACGTTAAGTAAGTTTATAGCACTGAGAAGAACGTTAGGAAACTTCGCAAAGTCAAGTTTTGAGAAAGTGGTATGTATAGCAGGTTGTTCATTAGCACAAGTAGATGTATGCCATTTGTTATTCAAGTGCACAAGTTTTTATAATTTCCCATATATGAAAGTTTTCAGGGCAAACGTTCTTAAATTCACAACAACTCCTTCACTTCGATTGGATTTCGTAGATAACATCCATATCCTGTATCATTTATGACTCTAAACACCTTTCACAGATGACAGCCCATGCATGCGTTTCTCTTTTAAAAAATGACAAAGAACATAGACTTATGTAAAACCTCTGGTGGCTTTGTTTAATTCATGAACTAATTACACTGACTCACAAGTTTGAAATCTCAACAGAGGCGCTGGAAGTACTTGGTTCATGTTCAAACTACTGGCTTGCAACTTCGGAAGATAATTAATCTTCTTAAAAATGGGATATTTAGATTTTCATCGGTGAATAAAGCTGTACTTTCATAAGAAAGTGTTAGATTAAATTTTTTATTTTAGCCATTGGATTAGAGACGTTATTTTGAATATATGCGTAGGTACAAAATTACAAGTGCATTTACATTAATAAGTATATCAATGTGCCAACAATTTTGTACCTATACCTAATTAAAATTACTAAAAATCAAAATTCATTATAACACCTTATTTAAGGATGACAACATAATTTACTATAAAGAAAAAATGACAATGTAATTTACCATTAAAAAAGGATGACAATAGGGAAGGTCCTGGGTTCCCACTAGTGTAGTGGTTTGGAGTATTTACTCCCTTAGGGCAAGATTTTGGATTCGAGTCTTAGCATCCATGTAGTGTGTGTGAGTTTAGTATACTATTGCCCCTCATCAATTAGGAAAAGAATAAAAAAAAAAAAAAAAAAAAAAAAAAAAAATAAAAAAGGAGGAAAAAAACAAAACTAAAAAATAATGACAATCCAAATTTACTATAAAAACAGGGGTTATTTCAAGTCCATGCATCCAAATGTTCTTAAACAAAACTCATAATTTTTAAAAAATTGACATATGCCAATTACCTCGCAGGGAAAATTTATAATTACATTAATGTGGAGAAAAACTTGGATTTTGGAAGTCATCAATTTCAAGTTGTGGATTCCATCTAAGTAGGTGTAATTTATCTAAAATCACAAGACAATTTTGAGATATGAAAGAAAAAAAAAAAAAAAAAAAAAAAAAAAAAAAAAACTACAACCTATCCCCACCTCCAATACCATCGCCCTTGCCGTGGCCATCAGCACCATCCCTACTCACATATCCACCGCCACCACCACTGCCATTACCACCATCACCAGCACCACTATTATGTAGAAAAGAGATTTATTTATTCCACCTCAGTTCTACTGTGAACGAAAACTTCAACAAGATGACCTAAGCTTTCTAAAAACTTCATAAGCTTTGCATTCATATGAACTTTTGGGTTAACTTTTCATAACATTACCTTTATGTTCGTCATTTGCTACATTATATTTTTCTTTCAAAAAATCGATATTAGTTTATTCAAGGTTATTGGCACATCAAGAAAATCCATCACTTGCGTTTGAGATGGATCCATGAGTAATGATGATGGGTTCAATCATGTTAATGTGCAAAATGGTAAACTGATTTAGTATGTAATTGCTTTGTTTAGTGTTATACTTAGCTCATAGGCTAAGCTGTTTATAATAGTCAAACGGTTTCTTAAGTCTCAAAGGACTTGACTGGACATGTATCTTAAGCCTAATGATAGTGTAGTTGGATGGTTGAGATTGAAGCTAGGAATTGTCTAGCTCTTTCTCTCCTCTAACGGTAATATGAGTTGTAAGTGAAAATGATACTGTGCCTCACTCTCACTAATTAATACCAGTTTTTCAGAGCGTATCGCTTTATCTCTCTCTCAATTTCTCCATTTTCCCATTAGCACAGATTAGCTTGTCAAACACTAACATGGCCTCAGAGCCAGGTTCGATCTGAATTTCTGGGCATCGGGTTTGTTAGGGTGAGCTCGGATTCACAGGCAAAGGCTTATTGTAGTGATTCAAGCTTACATCGGCGATCGAGTCTAACATGGCTGGATCTGGAGGAGGGGAACTCAGGGCACCAATCTTCAATGGTGAAAATTTTGATTTCCGACAAATCAAAATGAAAACCATTTTCCATTCGCACGAGCTGTGGGCTCTTATGGAGAATGGGTACAAAACTCCGACAAAAGAGGAGGAGAAGCTCACGGAGGAAGAGAGGAATCTGATGCGTGAGAACGTGGTGAAGGATGCTAGAGCTTTGGGTATTATCCAAGGGGCTGTATCAGACCAAATTTTTCCAAGAATAGCAACTCATGAAACTGCAAAGGCTGCGTGGGATATTCTAAAACAAGAATTTCTTGGAGATAAGCAGGTAAGATCAGTGAAACTTCAGGGTCTGAGGCGTGATTTTGAATATACTCGGATGAATGATAATGAATCTCTGTCTGGATATATTGCTAAGTTGTTTGATTTGATCAACCAAATGAAGAGCTATGATGAGGATCTGAGCAATCAACGAATTGTTCAGAAACTACTCATTAGTCTGCCTAAGTTCTATGATAGTATTGCAGTTGTGATAGAGAATACAAAAGATCTAGACACTATTGATGCTCAGGATGTAGTTGCCATTCTAAAAGGATATGAGCAGAGGCTTGATAGGCACGGTGACAATAGTGTAAAGAAAGCATTTGCTAGCTTAAACGTTGGATCGCAGTCAGCTCGATCTAATGGTCACACCAGTAAGTCTAAGAGGAATGTAAAATCACAAGGGTAGCTACGGGGCAACAAGGGTGATGGAGGTAATAAGACTAATTCCTCTTTGAAAAATGAGACAGATAATATTGGGAATAAATGCAAATTCTGTGATAAATTTCACTATGGAGAGTGTTGGCTTAAGAATAAGGTCAAGTGTCACAAGTGTAACAAAATTGGGCACATTGCAAGGTACTGCCATACAAACAAGGCTGTGCAACAGATGAACTTTGCTAATCAAGTTGAAGAAACTGAAAATTTATTTTATGCTAATCACTCTGGAGAGGACGGAAGAAGAATATGTGATGAGTGGTATATTGACAATGGTTGTAGCAACCACATGACATCAAGGGCCGATTTGCTTATAGATATTGATAGAAGGGTGAAAGCCAAGGTTCAAGTAGGCACTGGTGCTTTGGTTGATGTGGCAGGAAAGGGGACTTTGGTTATTGATACAATGAAAGGAAGAAAGTGTATTAAGGAAGTTATGCTAGTACCCGGTCTTACAGAGAATCTGCTCAGTGGGGCAGATGACTGAGCACGGCTATTTCCTTGTATTTGGAGATCACAAGGTTGGCATCTTCAATGATAGTTCCTTAAGCAACATGGTAGTAAGTGTAAAGCAAAAGGGGAACATGTGTTTTCCTTTAACTTTCAACACAATCAAGGAGGTTGCCTTGAAAACAAATGTGCAAGAATACTCTAAGATATGGCACAAGAGATTTGGGCATTTAAACTTTCGAAGCCTCAAGCCGCTGCATAGTCAAGCAATGGTATTGGGGCTGTTTGAAATCCAAGATGGTGAAGTGGTGTGCTAAGGATGTGTATTGGGGAAGAGTCACAAGGAGCCATTCCCTAAAGAATCAAAATGGAGAGCCAAGGAACCAGTAGAACTGATTTATTCGAACTTGTGTGGTCCAATGCAAAGACCAAGCCTAGGTGGAAATAAATACTTTATCACATTCATAGATGATTATTCAAGGATGTGCTGGGTTTATTTTCTGAGAAACAAGTCCGAGACATTTCATGTGTTCAAGAAATTCAAAGTAATGGTGGAGCTTCAATCTGGATATCATGTGAAGATGTTGAGGACCGATCGAGGAGGAGAGTTCATCTTAACTTATTTTATTTAGTTTTGTGAAAATCTGGGAATAGAAAGGCAGCTCACAATAGCTTATTCTCCACAGCAGAATGACGTTGTGGAAAGGAAAAATAAAACCATTGTAAAAATGGCAAAGTGCATGATTCATGACAAGGAACTTCTCTACATGCTTTGGTGTGAGGCAGTGAATACCTCTGTGTATTTACTTAATAGAAGTCCAACCCGAGCTTCGGAGAATACTACACCTTTTGAGAAGTTTAGTGGGAGAAAGCCTGGAGTTAAACATCTCAAGGTGTTTGGCTCAGTGTGTTACGTACTTATCCCTGGAAAGTTGAGGCATAAGCTAGGAGCAACAAGTGCCATAAGAGTTTTTATCGGATATGGTACATGTGAGAAGGGATACAGAATATTGAACCCTGCAACTCAGAAGGTTTTGCTCTCAAGAGATGTGATTTTTGATGAACATGGCAAATGGGAATAGGAGCAACACAAAGTGAAAGAAGTCTGCTTCCCACTTCCTGTAGATGAAATGTCAAGCATGAGAACAACTGAAACAGAAGAAGAACCTGCATCCCAAGAACATGCCATAACCGATGATCCCTTGGTTGATGACACACATTTGAGACACAGAAACCTGAGTGAGATCTATGTAAGATGCCATTCATGCATAGTGGAGCCTGAGAACTTTGATGAAGCTGCACAGGATGAAGCATGGAAGAAGGCAATGGAAAATGAGATGAACATGATTGAGAAGAATCAGACATGGGAGTTGGTAAATAGACCCTTCAATAAACCTATAATTGGGGTAAAATGGGTGTACAAGACCAAGTTGAACTTGGATGGTTCAGTTCAAAAGCATAAAGCCAGACTAGTTGCAAAGGGCTATGCACAAAAGCCTGGAATAGACTATAATGAAACCTTTACACCAGTGGCAAGATTGGATATTATACGAACTCTCATTGCCTTGGCTGCAAAGAACAGTTGGAAAATGTATCAATTAGATGTGAAATTAACTTTTATGAATGGAGTGCTTTAAGAGGAGGTGTATGTAGAGCAGCCAGATGGTTTCATTGTACAAGGAGAAGAGGATAAAGTGTATAAATTGCACAAAGCCTTGTATGGCTTGAAACAGGCTCTTAGAGCTTGGTATGGAGAGATAGACTCTTATCTCGTGCAGTGCGGTTTTAAAAGGAGCACAAGTGAGGCAACATTATATGTTAAAGGCAGGGGAACCTCGGATTTGGTCATAATATCTATCTATGTGGATGATATAGTTTATACAGGGAATTCTCAAGAGCTAATGTAGGATTTCAAGACTGATATGATGCAGAGGTATGAGGTGACAAATTTGGGTTTGCTGCATCACTTTCTAGGAATGGGAATTATCCAAAGTGAAGACTACATTTTCATACACCAGAAAAAATTATGCTTCCACTCTTTTGAAAAAGTTTGGTCTGCAAGATTGTAAACCGGTTGGTATTCCTCTTGTACTAGCTGATAAATTGAAGAGATGACAAAAACTGCAAATGAAGTTGAATACAGAAAACTAGTGGGAAGTATCTATCTATGTGGATGATATAGTTTATACAGGGAATTCTCAAGAGCTAATGCATGATTTTAAGACTGATATGATGCAGAGGTATGAGATGACAAATTTGGGTTTGCTGCATCACTTTTTTGGAATGAGAATTATCCAAAGTGAAGACTACATTTTCATACACCATAAAAAATATGCTTCCACTTTTTTGAAAAAATTTGGTCTGCAGGATTGTAAACCTGTTGGTATTCCTCTTGTACCAACTAATAAATTGAAGAGACGACGAAAGTGGAACTGCAAATGAAGCTGAATATATAAAACTAGTGGGAAGTATCTATCTATGTGGATGATATAGTTTATACAGGGAATTCTCAAGAGCTAATGCAGGATTTCAAGACTGATATGATGCAGAGGTATGAGATGACAGATTTGGGTTTGCTGCATCACTTTCTAGGAATGTGAATTATCCAAAGTGAAAACTACATTTTCATACACCAGAAAAAATATACTTCCACTCTTTTGAAAAAGTTTGGTCTGCAGGATTGTAAACCGGTTGGTATTCCTCTTGTACCAGCTAATAAATTGAAGAAATGATGAAAGTGGAACTGCAAATGAAGCTGAATATAGAAAACTAGTGGGAAGTCTACTTTATCTTACTGCAACTAGACCGGATATAATGTATGTTGCATGTCTGTTGGCTAGATTTATGCATTCCCCCACAAATAAACATTATGGAACTACCAAGAGGGTACTAAGATATGTTCAGGGTACACTTGATTTTGGTTTGGAATATAAGAAAGGAGAATGATCGGTTTTGGTAGGCTTATGTGACAGTGACTAGTCTGGATCAGAAGATGATATGAAGAGTACTTCGGGATATGCCTTTACATTTGGTAGTGGAGTATTCTATTGGGCATCTGTGAAGCAACAATGTGTTGCTCTATCCACAGCTGAAGCAAAATATGTAAGTGCATCAGAGGCAACTGCACAAGCTACTTGGTTACGATTTGTGTTAGAAGACTTTGGTGAGATGCAGACTGTGGCAACACCCCTAAACTGTGATAACACCTCAGCCATTGCTATCATCAAGAATCCGATCTTTCATCAGAAAACCAAACACATAAACCGGAGGTATCACTACATCAAAGAAGCTCTACAACAGGGTGTAATCGACTTGATTCATTGTCCTACAAAGGAGCAAGTAGCTGACATCTTCACTAAGGCGTTTGCAAGAGAACAGTTTTCTTATCTCAGAGAATTGCTTGGGTGAAATCAATTCACAATTTTAAGGGGAGTGTTAATGTGCAAAATGGTAAACTGATTTAGTATGTAATTGCTTTGTTTAGTGTTATACTTAGCTCATAGGCTAAGCTGTTTATAATAGTCAAACGGTTTGTTAAGTCTCATAGGACTTGACTGGACAGGTGTCTTAATCCTACTGATAGTGTAGTTGGATGGTTGAGATTGAAGCTAGGAATTGTCTAGCTCTCTCTCCTCCTCTAACGGTAATATGAGCTGTGAGTGAAAATGATACTGTGCCTCACTCTCACAAATTAATACCAGTTTTGCTGAGCATATCGCTTTATCTCTCTCTCAATTTCTCTCCATTTTCCCATTAGCACAGATTAGCTTGTCAAACACTAACAAATCCAACCATTCAATCATTAAAAATAAGTCCAAAATATATACTCTCTCTCTCTCTCTCTCTCTCTCCTCTCTCTCCTCTCTCTCGCTCTCTCTCTCCTCTCTCCTCTCTCTCTCTCTCTCTCGTTGGATAGTGAGATTGAACCCCTCTCACAATCTCTCTCTCTCTCTCTCTCTCTCTCGTTGGATAGTGAGATTGAAACCCCTCTCACAATCTCTCTCCTCTCTCTCTCTCCTCTCTCTCTCTCCCTCTCTCGTTGGATAGTGAGATTGAACCCCTCTCACACATCTCTCTCTCTCTCTCTCTCTCTCTCTCTCTCTCGTTGGATAGTGAGATTGAACCCCCTCTCACAATCCCCTCATTATAAAATTTCCGATGAATATATACATATTTTTTTTTCTGCTGGACGATGGCCAGAGTGTCCATTGTTTTGGGCCTTGACCCATGTAACATAAAAACTGCGAATTTCATACGCTTCCGGATTATAAAAAGCAACCAAATTAATCACAAAAACAATTACGATTTCTTCTATTGTTTTTTGGGTCAAAAAACAATTAAACTTTCTGGAAAAGGAAAATTATTATCTATTCCCAATTTGTAAATGGACACTGTTTCCTCTTGGGTTAAAAACACAAAAAGAAAATTCTTTACACACATGTCAAACTGATTGACAAGAAAGTAGGAGCTTCACACTCCACCATTGAAAGAAGTAAATTATTTTAAATTATAAAAAAGAGAAGAAGAAAGAAGTATATTATTAATTGAGAAATGGAGAATATAATAAGCTTCTCCTTCCAAGGCCATAAACCATGCAATACTTTGGTGTACAATAGTTTATTTTTCTCCTTACAAGGCCTTTAGTTTTTGTTTCTTGTTTTTTCTCCCTCAAGGAACTACAAGTCTGAGAGTTAGATGAATGGACGAGTGGGATACTTGAGGCAAGATACAGTGGGCACAGTAGAGCCGGAATTTCCTTTGGCATTGTTGCAACTTGCATAAACCTTCTTACTTGGAACCGTTGAGGTGATATTAATTTTCACCAGTTCAATGTTTTGACAACCCCAAATTTGGTTGCAGTCTAATTTGATGGCCTCCTCATTAACACAAGTTCCTCTAAAACCAGTGAATCTCACATTGCTCACCAGCACAGCTTTGCTCTAATAATCAGTATTTCAAACAAGTTAGCATTGCCAGCATATTTAAAACCACTAGAAGTGATTACGTTGCCAAATCGTGAATCAAGACTCATTGATTATGTCGATTCTCATTTCAATGTGTAGTCTAGATTCACAATCTAGCAACATACAAGTATGATAAAAAATGTTACCTTCTTTGGGCAATTGTGAGCACCGTTACAGTATTGTTGGTCAATAATGATGGGGTTTTTAGTTGCGGTAAGTGTGATGTTCTCGAAGGTTATATTCCTGGCATATCCGGATCCACCCTAGAAATTTACAAGAACAATACTTTAGAGCTTGAAACTAATAGATATAACATAATATATATATATATATATATATATGAGATTCTTAATGTTACATCGATCGTTATAATTACCGGCCATGTCTTGATTCTTGCTCCATTTTGAGTTCCATTAAAACTACAATCTCTCACGTATACATTTTCCACTGCAGCATAAGCCCCATCTGCTCCTAAGCTCCCCACACTGTTTGCAAACAGAATTTGACAAATTAAACAATGAATATGGTAAATTCATATAACTTTAGTTATGTGGTTATTTTGGACAAACCTAATTCCATGACCTGGTCCGCACGCAATCTTGGCTATCCTAACATTGGAAGAACCAGAACTGATTGCAATGCAGTCATCACCTGTAACAAAAATGGAAAGAAAAAAAAAGAATAAGAAAAGAACTATGATTAATGAATGAAAAATGAATTAACTTTTAATTACCAGTTCCAATTTTAGAGTCATGAATATTGACATAGGTTGAGTTTGTGACGTTAATTCCATCAGTGTTTGGACTTTCATCAGGTGCAATTACAGTAAGATGGGAGATATCCACGTCATTGCTTGTGCTTATACCAATATGAGATCTTGGGCTGTTTATATGGGTAAGTCCACTCAATCGTAGATGATCACATCGGAGGAAGTGTAGAGCCTGCATTAACATTATATATTTTAGTAAATTTAAAATAAAAAATAAAAAAATATGACCGTTTATTTAAATTCAAAGAGTAATGTTTTCTTGCCGAATGTATTCAGAATAAAAAACAACCTAATTATGAGTTTAAATTTACAGTATGATAATATAAGTATCTAACCTTTGTTGGTCTTTCGCATTTCTCCTTCTTCCCCTGTATAAATTGAGTGATAGTATGTCGTATTAGATAGTTGAATATATATATATAATGACTACATATATATAGTAGAATTTCAACATATGTGAATAGAATTTTACATTTATCAAAGAGCTATCTTCGCCCCACCAAGTTGAACCCTGACCGTCGATTTTTCCTGAACCATCGATTATAAGATTGCCCACTTTTCTAAATACAAGCCAACTATGTGGTGGACACACTTTCCATGCATCGGGTGTTTTGGGTGCCACCAAATTACCCGAGACCTGCCCTCCATCCCCAATAGGAATAGGAAAGGAAAAATAAAAAATAAAAATCATATGTCAATAAATAATCACGACGCATAAAGAAAGGAATTCTTAGTTATAAGTAGAGGATTTATAATAAATTAGATTTATTTTGCATCTTAAAATAGTTGAGTTTATTTGTTAAGATTGATTGTCACTGCTAATTATATATATTTTAGTGTTGTCTTACCTGAACATGAACACTCTTTGATTTGCAGGGACCTTCAAATTCCGAGGGCTGCAATAAGAATGTTTTTCTCCCTGGTATGATAAGTGTTGGTACGTCATCACCAGCTGCAGCTGCTCCACATAAGGCTGTCCATGCTTTTACAAAAGCCTATATCATGCACAGTCAAGAATATAAGACAATGGAAAATGGAAAAGAAAAACAAAATGTTTTAATTTTCGACTTATTATATTGTCAGATTGAATTATGGTCTGAATTGACAGTATGACAACATTAATATATGTCGGGCTATCTTGCTAACAAAAGAATATTAAACTTGACGGAAAACCTATACACGTTAAATGCCAATAGACACAATTGAAAGAAAGAGAAGTTACTTCGGTATCATCAGTTTGTCCATCTCCAACAGCACCAAATTTGACAACATCAAATGTTGTTCTGCTGTACACAATACCAAGCAACTGAGATGAAGCAATGCAAAATATGAAAAAGCTAGTAAGTATGTCCTGCATTTTTTTCACAAGACTAAACCAAAGTTGAAGCAGCAAAAGAAAAAGAATACTGGAGTCCACCAGTTGAAAGAAAAGTATCAAATACGTTTTTATAACAATATGATTAGTTTGAGAAATCCACTAGGCTATGTAGCATTATATATAGCACCCGATGAGAGAAAAAATAATGCTTATCCAACAAATTCATCAAAATAGATAATTTAGATCTTGGTGATTGAGAATTATTTTTTTCCATGTTAATTAAGATTAGGAATCCAGATATATTACTCAGAAAGTGGCATTTTCTTAGAAATGATGACCTTAGATATCACAGGAAACCATGTAGGCCACATATGTAAGAATTTGTGTAAATTTTCCATTTCAATAAGTTACGAATCATCTTATTAGTTTAACTGGATTGGATTTTATGGTTGAACGATGAATCTAATATTTATATTTTGGAAAAGAATCAAGATCCCCGCGTATTCAAATTTATTGGTAAAAGCAAAAGAACGTTACCAAAGATACACTTTTTTTTTTTTTTTTTTTTTTTTTTTGGTCGTAAACAATCCAAGTTCATTTAAACCTCGAAAATGGGAAGCAAACAAAGAAAGCAAAAGCCGAAAAGGCCAGGAACAAACATGTCAGCACTGCTGCACATAAAGATTCACCGATCTTCAGCCAAGAAGAGAAATTCCCCAAAAAGCATACACATATATATCAGCACTAAAACATTCCTCCATAGATCGCCTTCCGTATCACACCCAAATTCGACATTGCACTTAAGAGAAAACAACAACCAATCACAACACCAAGAGACTGGAGAGCATTGGTGCAAGCACCAAAGCAAGAACCGTAGCAAAAGCTCTAAATACACTCCGATAATAGCGCGGCAAAGCGCTTATAGATATTATTGTTGTATCCCAATGGAGAGTCCAAATCCAAGCAGAAGAGCAGGCAAAAAGAGAAGGAGATATTGGGGTAGATTGGCGAAAAACGGGGGACACAACGACATGAGACATTTCATCTTAGCACAAAGCACAAGGCTCAAACAATCACCACAATGGGGAGAAGCACCTAACTCTTAGTGAGAGCCACGAGCATAGCCAAACATGCTCAACCCGATAAAAAACAACAGAAAAACAAAAGCAAAAATCGAAAAACCGAGAATCACTCTGCAAAAACATAGCAAAACCCTCCAAGAGGTGGAAGAGAAAGGAAATGGCAAGGAAAAAGGGGATGTGGGAGAAAATAAAGACAAAAATTTATCCTTTTCAGTTCATGGTGCTGAACTTAAGGAAGCTTTTCTTTATATGGATGCCATAGCCATTTAGCATTTACAGAAAATTTATCTCAATTGTTTAAAGACAAAAATTTATCTGAATTAGTTCTTTACCACAATGGGAAAAAATTAACTTATTGGGTGTATCTGATGCACTGCATGCATCGATCACTTGATTTACTAATTTTATTTTAAGGTAACATATATCCACTATTTTCCCAATTCACAAAATTAATGCATGATGAGCTCAGAAGGCAATTTAAACAAATAATCTTATTATAGAAGAAATTATTCCAGAAAGAAACACCTCTCATTTGGATAGGCAATCAATATGAGAGGATGTAGAGATTGATGTTGGCATTCTTGCATAAAGATCTGAGTGGCTTTCCAGGCACCATGGAGCTTAATTTGACATGATCCATGACAATGTTGGTGCAGCGGCCCAAGCTACAACAATTCAGTGTTATTGCTTGCTTGCTGGCTAGCGGAAGTTCCTTCAAAGCCACTAAATGTTATATCGCTCACTTTCACTCCTCTGTTATCGTCTACATAGTTTTGGTCAATGGTGATCGGATGTTAGGTCTCTGTGACTCTAATTTGCTCGAAAGTGATCTCCCTAGCATACCCCGATTCGCCCTTGAGAATAAACGAAGAGAGCGATTGATAAATTTTTTTAAAATTTTTTTTTAAAAAAACGGATGAATATATATATTTCAAAATTTTAGTTACCTGCCATGTTTTGATTCTTGCACCATTCTGAGCTCTTTTAAAGTTGCAATTCCAATAAGTTCATAGTTTAATTGATTAATTTCTAATGAGTTTTTTCGTTCCTACATAAGCGATATTAGGAGAGGGAGAAATCAAATGTAGTACCTCAAGTGCAAAGCTTTAATTTCTAATAAGCTTTAACTTAAAATAAATATGTATTAAATGATACCAAAAAACACATTATCAAAATAAAATTATGTTCAACAACATTGAAAGTGTACCTATTTTAATGTATATGTATATTAATTCTATGCAACTAAATTCATAAAAACTTTGATTTTTTGGACTTTAATAGGTTAGTACATATTGGACTATATATAAAACAAGTTATATATATATATATATGTTTGATATTTTTTTTATCCCCAAAATCTCCATGGGCTACAGCCCAGTATAGCTCTAGGAGTACTTCCGCCCATGCATCTCAGTTCTACTGTAACGAAAACTTCAACGAGATGACCTAATAAGCTTTCTGAAAACTTCATAAGCTTTGCATTTATATGAACTTCTGGGTTAACTTTTCATAACATTACCTTTATGTTCGTCATTCGATACATTTTTTTTCTTTCTATAAATCGATATTAGTTTATTCAAGGTCATTGGCACATCAAGAAAATCCATCACTTGCGTTTGAGATATGGATCTATGAGTGATGATGAGGGGTTCAATCCAACCATTAAATTATTAAAAAGGTTTAAGTCCAATATTTCCTCTCTCTCTTGTTGGATAATGAGATTGAAAATCTTCCACAATATTTCTTTTCTGCTAGATGACTAGGATGGAGTGTCCATTGTTTTGGGCCTCTGGCCCATGTAACAGAAAAACAACTAATTTTATACACTTCCGAATTATAAAAAAGCAACCAAATTAATCAACCAAAACAATTAAACTTTATTCTTTTGTTTTTTGGGTCCAAAAACAATTAAACCTTCTGGAAAAGGAAAATTACTATTTATTCCCAATTGAAATGGACACTGTTTTCCTCTTGGGTTAAAAATACAAAAAGAAAAATCTCTACACACATGTCAAACTGTGATTGGCGAGAAAGCGCACTCCATCCTTGAAAAAAGTAAATTATTTTGAATTATAAAAAAGAGAAGAAGAAAGAAGTATATTATTAATTGAGAAATGGAGAATATAATAAGCTTCTCCTTACAAGGCCATAAACCATGCAATACTTTGGTATACAATAGTTAATTTTTCTCCTTACTTACAAGGCCTTTATTTTTTGTTTCTTCTTGTTCTTTTCCTCGAGGAACTACAAGTCTGAGAGTTAGATGAATAGACGAGTGGGATACTTGAGGCAAGATACAGTGGGCACAGTAGAGCCGGAATTTCCTTTGGCATTGTTGCAACTTGCGTAAACCTTCTTACTTGGAACCGTTGAGGTGATATTTATTTTCACCAGTTCAATGTTTTGACAACCCCAAATTTGGTTGCAGTCTAATCTGATGGCCTCCTCATTTCCACAAGTTCCTCTAAAATCAGTGAATCTCACATTGCTCACCAGCACAGCTTTGCTCTAATAATCAGTATTTCAAACAAGTTAGCAATGAGTCTTGAATCAAGACTCATTGATTATGTCGATTCTCATTTCAATGTGTAGTCTAGATTCATAATCTAGCAACATATAAGTATGACAAAAAAACGTTACCTGCTTTGCGCAATCGTGAGCACCGTTGCAGTATTGTTGGTCAATAATGATGGGGTTTTTAGTTGCGGTAAGTGTGATGTTCTCGAAGGTTATATTCCTAGCATATCCGGATCCACCCTAGAAATTTACAAAAACAATACTTTAGAGCTTGAAAGTAACAGATTCTTAATGTTACATCGATCGTTATAATTACCGGCCATGTCTTGATTCTTGCTCCATTTTGAGTTCCATTAAAACTACAATCTCTCACGTATACATTTTCCACCGCAGCATAAGCCCCATCTGCTCCTAAGCTTCCCACACTGTTTGCAAACAGAATTTGACAAATTAAACACTGAATATGGTAAATTCATATAACTTTAGTTATGTGGTTATTTTGGACAAACCTAATTCCATGACCTGGTCCGCACGCAATCTTGGCGATCCTAACATTGGAAGAACCAGTACCGAGTGCAATGCAGTCATCACCTGTAACAAAAATGGAAAGAAAAAAAAAAACTATAATTGCCTGCAAAACAATGTGCATGGTTAATGAATGAAAAATGAATTCACTTTTAATTACCAGTTCCAATTTTAGAGTCATGAATATAGACAAAGGTTGAGTTTGCGACGTTAATTCCATCAGTGTTTGGACTTTCATCAGGTGCAATTATAGTAAGATGGGAGATATGCACGTCATTGCTTGTGCCTATACCAATATGAGATTTTGGGCTGTTTATATGAGTGAGTCCACTCAATCGAAGATGATCGCATCGGTGGAATTGAAGAGCCTGCATTAACATTATAAATTTTAACAAAACTTAAAATTTAATAAAAACATGACCGTTCATTCAAATCCAAAGAGTAATGTTTTCTTGTCAGACGTATTTAAAAAAGAAAAAAGAAAATCAACTTAATTATGGGTCTAAATTTACAATATGATAATATAAGCGACTAACCTTTGGTCTTTCGCACTTCTCCCTATTCCCCTGTATAAATTGAATGATAGTATGTGGTATTAGATAGTTGAATATATATAAAATATATAATGACCACATATATATATAGTAGAATTTCAACAGATGTGATCAGAGTTTTACATTTATAAAAAAGCTATTTTCGGTCACTTTGCTCCACCAAGGTGAACCCTGGCCGTCAATTTGTCCTGAACCATCGAGTATGAGACTGTCCACATTTCTAAATGAAAGCCAACTATATGGTGGACACACTTTCCATGCATCGGGCGTTTTGGGTGCCATCAAATTACCCGAGACCTGCCCTCCACCCCCAATAGGAATAGGAAAGGAAAAATAAATAATAAATAATCATATGTAATAAATAATCACATATGAATAGAGGATTTATAATAAATTAGATTTATAAGATTGATTGTCACTGCTAATTATATATATTTTAGTGTTGTCTTACCTGAACATGAACACTCTTTGATTTGCAGGGACCTTCAAATTCCGAGGGCTGCAATAAGAATGTTTTTCCCCCTGGTATAGTAAGTGTTGGTACGTCATCACCAGCTGCAGCTGCTCCACATAAGGCTTTCCATGCGTTTACAAAAGCCTATATCGTGCAAAGTCAAGAATATAAGACGATGGAAAGTGGAAAAGAAAAACAAAAAATGTTTTAATTTTCGACTTATTATAACATTAATATGTCGGGCTATTTAACAAAAGAATATTATACCCGACGGAAAACCTACACACGTTAAATGCCTATAGACACAATTGAAAGAAAGAGACGTTACTTGGGAATCATCAGTTTGTCCATCTCCAACAGCACCAAATTTGACAACATCAAATGTTGTTTTGCTGTACACAATACCAATGCAAAATATGAAAAAGCTAATAACTATGTCCTGCATTTTTTCACAAAACTAAACCAAAGTTGAAGCAGCAGAAGAAAAAGAATAGTGGAGTCCACCAGTTGAAAGACAAGTATCAAATGTGTTTTTATAACAATATGATTAGTTTGAGAAATCCACTAGGCTATGTAGCATTATATATAGCACCCAATGAGAGAAAAAATAATGCTTATCCAACAAATTCATCAAAATAGATAATTTAGATCTTGGTGATTGAGAATTATTTTTTTCCATGTTAATTACGAATCCAGATATATTACTCAGAAAGTAGCATTTTCTTAGAAAGGATGACTAGCTTGAGAGTAAACTATTGATCACCAAGATATTACACGAAACCAAGTAGGCCGCGTATATAAGAATTTGTGTAAATTTTCCATTTCAATAAGTCGAATCATCTTATTAGCTTAACTGGATTAGATTTTATGGTTGAACGATGAATCAAGCAAGAGAACGTTATGCCAAAAGATTTACACTTGTTTTGGCATATAAATGATGGTCATATGCAAGGTCTAAAATATCGATGGTATCGAAAATATTGGTAGTCCAAAAATACTGAAATTTCTATGGAAATATCAGGATATTATCTATATCGATAAAAATTGAATAAAAAGCACAGAAATTGTAAGAAAAACTTGGAAATTTTTATTGAAAATTTGGAGGATGTTTATTAAGTCAATTATCTATTAGTTTATCACAAAAAAATTGGAAAAAAATTTATCGCATGATGGGCTTAACTTATTTAAGTTGATTATATAGCGAGTTAATAAACACTGTGAGTATAGAAAATATGTAGTAATTAATGAAAGAAGATTAAACACATCATAATCATTTATATATAATGATTTACTACAATATTTTACACTTTATACATTGCATGGTAAGATACATGAGTGACTATGATGTTCAAAATTTTCAATATCTTCATCATCTCTGTGTAGAGTAAGTGTATTATGAGTAGTTATCAAATGATAAATCCCCAAAATAGTTTTCCATGTAATTGTTAACATGCCACCTATATGGATCAGAGATTGGTTGACGTTGTCCATAAGCAAAATCATTTGAAGATTGAGTCTCGGATTCTTTCCATGAGCCACTCGATTCCATCCCAAAAGGAAAGGTCAAAGACTCACATTCTCATATGAAAATCTAAGTCTTGCAAAAACAGTTCAAAACAAAACAATATAAATATACATATTTTAGCATATTATCACAAAAACATAAGCAACATGGTAGTTAAAGCGTTGGTGGACTGAAATGGTAAGGGTTTGAATCCCTTTTTTCCTGTGTGCTTTGTGTGTTTTTTTTTCCAATTACATCGATATTTTAGATATTATAGCGATTTTGACAAAATATTGTTAAAGTGTGAGCGAAATTATCGACATCGATATTTTCCGATATTATTGTCGATATCGATATGTGTATGGATATGTTCATAAATATCCATGACCTTAAAAAACGATAATATCCTCGATATTTCATCGATATTATCGATATTTAGACTATGCTCAAATGTTCATTTTTGTAAGCGTTACACACATTAATAGCTACTTTCTTGACATACACATATCGTATAAATATCAATAATATTGACGATAATACACGGATTCCAAGCCTCTGCATTTAATTTTCGTGATCATTGTTATAATTTAATCGTTTAAGACTTGACACATTAGCAAATGTTGAAAAATCTAATAACTTGAAGCAATAGAAATTTTAATTCAATCTAAAATTAAAAAATCAGACTAAAAATTACAAAAGCCAAAATTAAAAAAAACCAAAAAGCCAACTCCCCCTTCCCAATCCCTATCCCCGTCACTCCTACCCACCCCCACACCACTCATATCGTCATGCCTCTCTCAAAACACTTGTCTGTTCTGGTGGTCTTAGTCGGTACAAGGATTGTAGGGATGGGATTTGGCACACTGAAAGCCTAACTCCCCTTTTCCATTCCCCTTTACCACAAGCACCCCACCAATTACGCCTACACCAGTGAGCCCTAAAGCAATCTTCTAGTTAAGGGACGAAACCCACCAGCCAATTACTGTCTCTGCCTTAGGTAGAAGAATGATCCACTATGAATGAATGTGAAGATTGGAGCAGCCTCATCCGGAGCCCTTTTGCCAAAGAAGTCGTAGTCCCTTCCCCCCCACCTATGGTGGCAGCTGCGCGATTTTTAATTTATATTTACTTAATTTTTTTGAACGATGAAATAACTGTTTATTTTAAAATAATTTTCTGATAAAAAGAAAAAGAAAAAAATGAATTTTGATGTGTCATGTCATAAACGTTTAGATTATAAGAATGGTCCAGATATTGTGAAATTTCGGTAAATGCATGAAGACTAAATACAGAGGTTTGTGATCCTCTTATACACTGCATACATCAATCACTTGATTTACTAATTTTCTTTTTAAGGTAATATACATCCGCTATTTTCCCAATTCACAAAATTAATACATGATGAGCTCAAAAGGCAATTTAAACAAATAATCTTATTATAGAAGAAATTATTCCAGAAAGAAACACCTCTCATTTGGATAGGCAATCAACATGAGGGGATGTAGAGATTGATGTTCCATTGGCATTCTTGCATAAAGATCTGAGTGGCTTTCCAGGCACCATGGAGTTTAATTTGACATGATCCGTGACAATGTTGGTGCAGCCCAAAGCTACAACAATTCAGTGTTGTTGCTTGCTGGCTAGTCGAAGTTCCTTCAAAGCCACTAAATGTAATGTCGCTCACTTTCACTCCTCTGTTATCATCTACATAGTTTTGGTCCATGATGATCGGATGCTTGGTCTCTGTGACTCTGATTTGCTCAAAAGTGATTGCCCTAGCATACCCTGATGATCATGGCCCACTCTCAATATAGGAAAGGTTCTATATATAATAAATAAATAAAAAGGAGAAAAAGCATTCAAATATATTACTTTATAATTACTTAGAATTCTTAGAATGCTTATTAGAAGGTTCATGTTTGAAATTAATCAGATAAACTGAACTGAGTTCATGAGAGTATGAAAGTGTTGGATTTAAGTTTAATTTTGAATTTATATAATAATACGATTTGAATATATTGGTTCATGAATTTACTTATTTACATGTATAAATAGAGTATATAGTTTCACCAGCTTGTGTATATTAACCATCTGCCTCAGTTATTCCGTGGTGTTATTTTTTTAGACTCAAATTGAAACATTTGCATCCAAGCCCTATATGTTTTTGTATTCTCACTATATTAATTACTCAAATTCCCAATCATCAATGAGGCCTCTTCCAAAAAATATTAGACATCAGAATTAAATTCTCTCTAATTCACCACTCCTAATTGAATTTTTTTTATTTTTATAGTACAAACGATAGTTTAAACTACAAGAAGGGGTTCTCTCACACACAACCAACATGTCATGGAATTTCGAACCTTAGATTTCTGGTCTGCAAGTCAATGTCATTTTCTACTGGGCTAGACCCCATTGACACCACTCCAAATTCATTTGTGTATATATAACTAAGGAAAATACTTGGCTCCTTGCATGTAAAGAGTTATTCCTTCTTGTAGACAAATCACAATATGACGTATAATCTTTCATTCAATAATTTGAATGAGTTACATTTGCATATGTATCACGAGACGAATGACTCCTGTAAGGAGTCAAGTAGTGTCCTATAATTAATCTCCATAGGCATTTTGATTAAAATACAAAATCTTCATCTTCTCTATAGCGGAGCCCCAGGCAATCATGGTGCAGGCAAGGCACAGCAGGGGTGGTGCAGCTTGAGGTTCCATTAGCAGAAACTTGATGAGTTCCAGAGGCCCATGATGTCATGTTGACGTGGCTCATTCTGATATTTGTGCAATTTGTGCTTGCTGCACAGTTCAACGTGATTGCATTCTGCACAGCGCTGGTTCCCCTCACTCCAGTATATGTCACATTGCTCAAACTGAGACTGCCTTGGTCTGCCCCATTATTATAAAGCATATAATTAGTAATTATATTGTGTGTGGATTTAGTTGTTATACTGTCTCGGGTTTAAATCCAGGCAACACTTAATTAGACTTTCGAAATAATAAACTTATTGCTTACCTGCCAGGTTTTGATCCTTGCTCCATACATAAACCCTTTAAAAGTACAACTTCCCACAAACACTTCTTCAACTGTTTCATATGCTCCACCTGCTCCAAGGCTTCCCACGCTACAAGAGACATAGTTATATTCATTTTCATATTTACTCCCTCAGGCAAAGTTCTGAGTTCGAGTCTTAGCATCCGTGTAGTGTGTGTGAATTTAGTATATTATCACTCATCTCAATAGGAAAGGTCCTAAAAAATAAAATAAAAAATTACTTCATCCATATCCTATTTATACATTTTCATCCTATTGCCGTAAGTGCATCCATCTCTCACAATAGTGGATGTGGAACTCATAGTTTCACATAAGTTTATCCGTCCTGTGCTACCTAATAATACCAGACCAAAAATAAACAAAAAATTTGGTCATTGACATAACTTACTCCATGCCCTGGGCCACACATAATCCCCGTAATATTGATATAAGAAAATTTTTCCTTAATAGCAATGCAATCATCCCCCCTAACATTAATAATGAGTATTTTCAAGTTGTTATCATTCATAATAATAACAAGAACACATAGTTTTTTTAAGAGAAACTCGCCAGTACGAAGAAAATTATTTAAATAAAAAAAAGAATACCCGATAATTAAGTGGTAGATATATGAGATTACCAGTTGTAATGGTACTTTGATGGATGCTCACATTTGTTGCGGAGTAGAGATCAATTCCATCAGTGTTAGGGCTTGATTCAGGAGCATTTATATTGAGATGAGAGAGAGTTACATTTTGGCTGTAACTTATACCAATGTGACCTTTTGAGCTATTAACATGAGTGAGTCCCCTAAGCTGAAGATTAGGGCAGTTGTGGAGGTGTAATGCCTGCAATATATGTCACGCTTAATAAATTAGCCAATTCTTAATTACCTAAATTCTATTGGGGTTTTTCATATTATGTTTGTATATAATATGCAGTGAATCAAAAAAAAAAAAATCATAATATTGAGAAGAGTGTCTTACTCTAGATCTATAGCAAGTTCCCACACTCTGAAAAGGACCCGGATCCTCTGCTGGGATTTTCTCTGTCATGATCTACTTAACCTTTCTTCTATGCGCGACACCTCATTAAAATTTCATCCAAGGGACTCTAATGTTGACACATCACACACAAAACCCAAATAGCTCACAATTTTTCTTTTGAAAATAAATATCCGATTTGAATTAACTTGAGTTAACGTGGTCTTCTTCCTTCATCTTTTTTTTTTCAGCATCCCAGCACGCTCTCCTTTCCAACCTCACTGTCTCTCCTCTTCCCATATGAAATTCAGTTCTTGCTAATGCCCAAAATTTCATCATGTAACTCTGGTACTACTTTCATATCATAAACCCAATCTCTCAAGTATGAAATATGAATCAAAACATCCGAACCAAACTAACAAATAGTGAGCACAGTTGGCTGCATCTATTTTTCTTGGAAAACGAATGACCTTCCTAGAGCAATCTTTACTTATGTATAGATCTATTATTTTAATTTTTTCCACAGAATTTCTTGATTTTGTAATTCTAGTTATGTTTTTGTAGGTTTATATTCCGATTCAGTTCAATTTTGATACGGGTTACATCTGAAAACCATGGTTGAAATGGCTATGGTGGTCATGTACGACTCATTTGACATCTTCTCATCTTTCTTTGGTGGTAGCCCATTCAATGAGAATATTTGTGTTGTGGTTCTTATTTTGTGAAGAACAATTGTAGTCACATGAATTGTGTTTGTTTCTATGATGAGAGTGATAGTAGAAGAGGACTAAGATAGAGGCATGGAGAAGATACTGTGTCTTTGGAAGAAAGAAAAATTGAAAAGAAAAAAAAATGGAAGAGAAAAGGCCTGCACACGTTAACTCACGTTAGGTTTAGGAATTGTTTTCTTCAAAACAAAAATTATTCGGCATTTAGGTTTTGTGTGTGATGTGTCAACATTAGAGTTCCTTAGATGAAATTTTAATGAAGTGGCACATATAGAAAAAAGTAAAGCCGATTATGATAGAGAATATCCGAGCAAAGGATTCGGGAGCCCCTTTTTTAACCAAAAAGATGAGTCATGCATAGGTCTCCAATCGTGGATCCCATGAGAAATGAGAGAATCAAAATAGTTCAAATCCAAATATCTGTGCCAAGGGTCCATTTCAACATGATCATATTGTTTTGTTTCCTTTTTCCCTTGAAATGGTCGGGAGAGAACACCACTATGGATTGTGAGTTGATTAATTTTTGTCTCGAATTTTGGTCAAAGTGGCCAGAATTACTGGACTCTCATCATTTTAGGGTTCAAGGCACCGTTCTATCGGCCTGATGTGGTGGTTTTTCTGTTTCTTTGTTTATTTCCAGACCAATACATCGCTAATTTAACATACAAATTAAAACCAAGTTTCTGTTTCTTTAAAAATTATTCCTTCATAGGAGAGGACTTTCATAAAGATTGCCTAAATTAAGAAAACTTGCATAGCACGAGAACAAAAAAGGGAACTGATTCTTCTCACACAAGATCATTTTTCTTGTAAAATCTTCATACCGACGTTCAAAGGCGGAGAAAGTACATAAAATTCCCTCCAAGTTGTTTTAACCCGCAGGAGCATAAAAGTTGGAGAGCTAATTAATACAAAATAATACTGCAAATGGATACTAAAATTTCAAACGCGGCTACACCTCAAAGCCCCAGTTATGCCTGCCTGCTGCTACCTTTGTTTGTTGTGTGGAGGAGGGGCTGCAAGTTTCTAGAGACCACAAGTTCAAAGACTTATACATCAACTTTGAGCTTCTACCTCATAAAACAAATCGTTTAAAATCAATCAGTCTGACAGATAAAACAGAACGTCCTGCGACACACTCCTTCATCCCACCAAACTGATGCCTTCATTGTAAACTGAGAGACCCAAACATCAATTAAGACGGCACTGCATACAACAATAGTAGATTATTATGGGTAAGTGGGATCCTGTTAAGCCATGTAACAAAGAGGAGAACAGAGCATCAAATTTGAATTGGTGAAATAAATGAGTACACTAATCCCACCAAAAGCTCCCTCAGTTTTCAAGGGAAGACAACATATATACCACTCGTAATTTACCCTTTTTTTCTGTTTTTAAAATAGAACTATCCTTCTCTATTAAAGAGAAGAACTGTAACAAAATATTGCTGTTAAATTTTTCACTCGAGAAAACAAGTTGCAAGTGGCACTCCATGATCCCAATGAGTTATTCTCCACCCTTTATCCATTTTTACATTCCCATATAAGACCCCAAACAATTATGATAAAGAATGATCTCTACTTCTTTCCATTTTCAAATAGTATACCAAAAACTAGCAGTTAGCACACAATGAGAAATCATCAAACAAAAAAAGCACGGCCGAAATACTATTTTACTATCAAAGTCGACCGTGTATCAGAATGACACAAAATAAACTTTGAACCCAGCAAGAAAACATACTGTATGTGGCAGTATCAATCTGTTCAGGAAGCTCCTTTATATCAACCTCAAACCTTTCCTGAACCTGCATTTATAAACCCAAAAAGATTAAAACTGACAAACTGCAAAAATAAAAACAATAAACAAAGTGAAAGTTCAGAAGGAAAACTGATTCCATACATCATTAAGAACATCAGAGTCCGCTGCAGATGAAACAAATGTAATTGCCAGACCTTTGGTGCCAAACCTACCAGCTCTGCCAACCTGTGCAAATTTCAATGTGAACACTCGAAGTTAGATGCATCCGAGGTATATTCACCAATGTGTTAAATTTCATCTTAACAGTAATAATATAACCAAACATATGTTTTGCATCAGGGATAATCTAAATAAGCTTATTCCATTCACAGTTCATCATATAACTCCTAAGAGATGCACTACACAACAACAAAATAAAATAATTGAATACCATTTGCATAAAAGATACATAACTATGTATAAAAAGGCATCTGCAAATAGAACATGTATTGGGAACAAAAATAAGTTAATATTCCACACCGCACTTGCACTTCATTGGCATGCATATTCGATAGAACCATTGAACTTTCCAACCTTGCATATTAATGTTTGTCAACATGAACACAGCCTCAAGTACATGTATATGCATTATTATCATATAAATAAATGCATTGTCAATATCGGGCCTCTCATTCTCTCGCAGCCACAAGTAAACCCATAATTCCCTTCTGGAAAAGACGCAAGGGCATATATTGATGTACTATACCATCCGCAATACCCCCAAAAGAAGAGGAAGAAACAGAAACAAAATCATAAAGACAAATATGATACCTATATTAAAAATTCAGTTAAACAAGAGACTACTTTCAAACCAAGGAAATAATATTAACCTACCCTGTGTAAATAAGTGTCAGCAGAATCTGGCATGTCATAGTTGATAACGATGTTAACACGCTCAATGTCGATTCCTCTTCCAACCAAATCTGTGGCCACAAGAATCCTGTTATGACCCTCCTTGAATCCTTTGTAGCGCTTCAACCTACAAAATGCATACCATTTAAGATTAAACACTAGAATATAACTTAGCCAAACAATGAGAGTTCAACAAGACACTTCATATTGGAGATCAGGGCACTCGAAAAAGCTCGCTTGCTAAGTTTACATCAAACTTTATAAAACTTCACACACACAAAATCATCAGAGGGAAAATTACAAACCTTTCTTCTTGGTTCATTCCAGAATGGATGCATATAGAGGGAAAATTGCACTCTGAAAGTAACTTGTTCAATTCAGCGGCTCTGCTCACGCTCTTGACGAATATAACAACTTGGTTGAAGTCCAGTGCATCAAGGAGGTCGTTCAGCTTGCGGTTTTTCTCTGCCTCGGTTAACTTGATGTAGTGCTGAAATATCGTATATAAAGGTGAGATTCACATTAATGAATAAGTATAATCAACAGAAAGTCCACTTGCAAAATACAAACCTGTACTAGACCATGCAGGGTCAACTTGGCTTCATCGTCAACATATATTTCCATAGGCTGAAAGGAACAAATGTCACAGTAAATCATATTAGGGGCCTTCCTCAAGCTAATAGAATCCAGAACGAAATGAATGACGGATGCAGATCTCCTGAATCAAGATTCTGGTCCATCTGTTTTGTCTCCTCGAAGATACTTTTTCTAAACCACACCAAGCCACCACCATTTACACATTGACCCTCAATACTAAGAAATTTGACAGCTTACCCAGGCTGATCCCAGTTGACACCAACTCGATCACCCCACAGACCCACTCACCACCCACCCTCAACTAGTGAACCCCAAAATATCCTTGACTGAAAAAAATTAAACCCACGGGTGACTTACTAAAAACAAAAAAATGCCCAACCCAGAGGGGAAAAATGAACCTAAGGATATGGTAATGCAGAACACAAGGCACTCATCCAACAAAACTGTGAGAACTCCTAAGAGATGGCCTCCTCCTTGTGTCTCACTTTTTCTTTTTTACTCCAGTTGAACACCCTCGTCAAGCCGCAAATTCCAAATAAATGACAGACTATGGTATCCATATTAACAAAATGCCAACGGCAAGCACGTCATGGAACCGCCGCATTCAACCTAATTACATAACTCTCGGAGAAAGTGGGATTATGAAAAAAGAGACTTCAAAATTGAAGTAGAATCGGCCATGGGACATTACATCTTGCATAAATTTCTTGCAAACCGGGCGGATTTCTTTGCTGAGTGTTGCAGAAAACATCATCACTTGCTTATCATGCGGAGTCATCTTGAAAATCTCTTGCACGTCTCTCCTCATGTCTGCACAGAGTATAAGGCAAATAATAAGAAAATGAGTGAACAATAACTGAGACGTACATGAAAATTGAAACAGAGCACAAACATTATCTGTAAAATGAAAAGAAGAAAAAAACATACCTAGTGATTCAAGCATTTTGTCACATTCATCAAGGATGAAATGCCTCACATTCTTCAAGGAGAGGTCTTTATCCCTTGCCAATGCCAATATTCTTCCAGGCGTTCCAACAACAATGTGAGGGCATTCATTTTTCAGCAAATCTTTGTGAAGTTTGATATTGACACCACCATAGAAGACAGCAACCTTGAGATCAGGCAAGTACGTACTGAACCTCTCAAATTCATGACAGATCTGCACAGGAGTAAAGTAACATAAGTAGGGAATTTATATACATGAACGTAAGGCAAAAAATTAATTGAACAATAATATTATAAGAAAGAATGCAAATCCCAAATGTACCTGGTAAGCTAATTCTCTAGTATGGCAAAGAACGAGTGCAGAAACTTGGCCTGCTACAGGGTCAATCTGCTGCAAAGTTGATAGAACAAAAACAGCAGTTTTCCCCATCCCAGATTTAGCTTGACAAATGACATCCATTCCCAGGATAGCTTGAGGAATACATTCATGTTGCACTGATGAAGAACCAAAGAAAACCGCATCGATGGAACCATTGGTAAGTAAAACATAACCTCTCCAATCTTTTTATGAAAGTCTTTATCAAAAGCATACTAGTTCTCTGAATTCAAGATTATGATAGTAGAACAAATTACCTGCACAAACATGCATCAAATTGAATTAGAATTGAACACATAAAAAACAAACGAGAAGAGGGTAAAAGAGAACAAGAAAAAAAAACTACTGAATCCTTATAATGGAAGCGAATTTCCAAAACATGTGCAAACTACTTAGGAGAGAAGGACCATTATCTGACCTAGAGCATAGCAATCCAGGAAGTTAAAAAAAACTCCACCAACACCCTTTCCATGAGAGAAAAGTGGAAATTCCATTTTCAATTTTATTTGTGCATTTAAAAGAATTTACATGATACATCAGAACAATCATTTTTAGGATTTAAGATAACTAAGAGTGAATTCATCCTTCTTAGGATTTAATTCTTAAAGGGCAAATTCATCCTTTATAGTCATTTGACTTGGAAAGGGAAAAACTGATAAGCAGTGAGTAAACTAAATCTAAATCACAGCTCCGTATCTAAAAGGAAATTCCAAATGAAACAAAGAGAACACAGGTTTGAAATGTCACAAGAAGAAACCATCCAAATTTCCACATGTTAACTGAAAAATAATTAGTCTGATGAACATTTATGACATAAACTGGAATGAAAAATATACTTGTATATATGAAAATAAGATCACGGGCTTAACTGGCAAACTAAGAGTCAGGATAACATTGTTTGTTTTCGGCTACAAATTCCCGCAAAAAACAAAATCAATTAGTACGAGTTTAAAAGTTTGCCTTCAGACGGATGCTCAAACCCGGAGTCCACAATAGCTCGAAGAAGCTCTGGCTTCAAAAGGAAATCTCTGAACCCTGAACTGTGAATTCCAACATATCCCCTGCACAAAACCAAAAATAACTTAAAAATTAGACCTAAATAGAAATCAGAAGCAGTCATGATCACAATTCGTATTTGAGCAATCTCATTCAAGCAACAGATAATATACAATTCATAGAACAAAAAGGTTGACCTTTTTCATTTTCATCCTAATTTCCTGTGTTTCCTAAGCAACCAAACTACAAACTTATTTCTCTTCGTTGCCTAATCAATCTGATCAAGGAAAATAGGCCAAAATCCATAAAGCGAAAACTCACTTCTTAGGGGCTTCGCCATTGACTTTAGCTGCGGAGTCGGGGGCCTTCTCCTCCTCTTCTTCATAATCGACAAGCTCCTCCTCGTACACATCGTCCCTTGTTTCGCCCATATTCTGCTGAGAGAGACCTCCAATTAGGGTTTCGAAGCTTGAGACGCAAATTAGGGTTTTGAATTTTGAATCGGACAGAGTTAAAACAAATTAGGGATTTGGAGAGAGAGAATATACCTGTGTGAAAGTGTGAGTAGGTTGAATTAGGGTTAGGGTTCGGAGTTTGGAGTCTGCAAACGAAAACGTTAGATGAAAAAACGAATTTGAAATTTTTCGCTAAGAGACTCGAGAGAGAGCCGGGATGAGACCTCGACGAAAAAGGAGAGCAGAGTGAGGTAGATAGGGTTACGAGGAGTGGATTGGAGCCACATATTTATACAGCCTAGTCCCTTAATTGCCCTTGCCGTTTACAATAATTACAACAACAGCTATGATTTGTTAGCATTTTTCGTGGGATTTTTTCTTGAGGTACCAACTTGGCATTTTTTACCGATAAAAACTTATGCAATTTTTACTTACTAGAAATGAGAGAAGTCATCAATTTCGAATTAGGAAATTGAGGTTTCGGAGAGAGAAGAAGCAAAAATAAGATAAATTGCTCTCTTAATCAATTTAATTTATCTTTTTGTAGATATTGAATTGTTAATTTTTACGGAGAACTCACAAAATTTTTATTCCCATATATTAGGAAATGAAAAATAAACACAAGAAAGTCATAGATTGAATAATTCCAACACATGAGTAATTATATAATTAGCTTCTTTTACTAACTAAAAAAAAAAAAACTTTGCATTTAGAATTTGGTATTACAAGTATGTACAAATTATTAATTTCAATTATTAATTAATATTTAATGAAATAATGAGAGCAATATAAGTTGCTAATGGTCAATTTTATATTAAAATGACATGTTTTGATGAAACTAACTTAGAAAGATTCTCACACTGATCCAACAACAATGAAAGTGAAATCCTTTTTGTTTTATATCGAAGAAGATTAAGATTGAAACAAAGTATTACCAACTTATTAATTGTATCTCATGTTATTGGAGAACTTTATTATTAGTGGCTCAGTAACATTTGGCACGTTATTTGTCGCATGAAGTCACACCCTTGCACGTGCTAGAGTCAATGGAAGGTTTTTTATTTTTTTTTATTTTTTGGTTTCAATATAAAGAAAATGAAAGGGCTAGTGAAGTATAGCTTAGTTGGTTGAATTCTTCAATCTTTACTCTTGTGAGCTGAGGTTCTAAACCACCAGGTACCTAATGAATACATGGGCGCAGAGATTTGAAACCCTCAAACACCATATGAATATTTGTGTAAACACTCATTTCCAATTGCTTATACTAAAATTAAAAAAGGGGAAAACACTTTCTTTATAGATATAACCAAAAAGGTTAAAAGATGCTTTATGCCGAGTTACACAGAACACCATTCTCAAGCCCAATGGCCCAAACAGAACCTTCAGGACAAATCTTCCACCTATGAGAAGATATCTCATTGTGAGGCTTTAGATCCCAGCCACATCATCCTGAACTATAAAGCTGTCTGATGGTGCTAGCTAGCTACCTACTTGCTCCCTCATTCTTCAATGGCCTATGCTTTGTACTTGGTACCTTTAAGCTCCTTAAAAGCCACACCAGAACCAGGTCTCTCTCTCTCTCTCTCTCTCTCTCGTTTATCTGAGTTGTTAATTGATCACTGACTCAATGCTTACCGAATGTATAGGCAACCATAGCAGCACTCAAGGGCTTGTTCGAATAGATAACCTGGTTCAAAACTCTACAACTGCTAGGTTTTTCCATGTGAAAGCTAAGGTTCTTTAACTCTTTCCTCCTTTAATCTTACTTGAATTACTTGCTAATTTGCAAAATATTTGGAATTCAAGTTATTTTTGGATATACATAGCTTTGATGCATAGATAAGTACATATAACATACTGGGTTTTATTTATGTTGGTAGATGTTAGATATGTTGGATGCTGAAACTTTGGTCTTTTTGATCCCAATAGGCTGAAAAAAGTAATGAAAGCATAAAACCCAACAGCATGGTTTGCTCTGATTGTGAAGGAAATGGTAAGCTGGATGTTGGAAATAAAGAGTGCTAAGCATGTAATCTATTTGGATTTGGATAAATTTGTATTGTGCTGTGCAATTGAGCAGGTGCAGTCCTCTGCTCACAATGCAAAGGTAGTGGAGTGAACTCTGCTGATCTCTTCAATGGGCAGTTTAAAGCTGGTGACTCATGTTGGCTTTGCGGGTAACCAAGCACCTTCTCCCTCCTTTTTTTTTACATGGCCACCATCCTTCATTGCCATCACAAAAGAACACAATTTTGGAACTCACTGAGACAGATTCTACGTGTTGTTTCGTTCTTATTATTAGCATTTCCTTGCAGTGGAAGAAAGGAGATGTTGTGTGGAAATTGCAACGGAGCTGGGTTTCTTGGAGGATTTATGAGCACTTCTGATACTACGTCTAGCTGATGAAGCTAGCCTTTCTCTCTGCCAAATTTGAAGTATGTCATTAGGTGTACAACCTTCCTAGCTTCATACTTATGTACATTGCACTATGTATAGATGATGAAGTCTTTATAAGCATATGAAATCTTCAATTACAAAATTTATTTTTTGAAATATATTCATGACCTTGTAGCCTATTAGTACTTGCTATGGATGGAAACTTATGGAATTTCAGATTATAATGTGGAGTTTGCTGTTCGGGATCGAATTTGATTGGGAATTTCATCTTAAAATATGCTTATATTTGAATATTATAAGTACAGATAGAAGTAGAAGGTTTTCATATATCCATTAGCTTCCATATGGCTCATTGGGATGTCTTAGTGATGGCCATCTGAAAATGGCTAATGGCTCCTGATGAATTCAGTCATATTTCGCTCAAGCAAACGGGTTGCCTCAGATTCAGGGTGAAAAACATGAAACACATGAGACTCCTTCTCAGCCTCCACCAGCTTCACTTCTTTAACTCCTTTTTTCTGCAGAAACTCAGCATACATCACTCCCCTCTCTTTCAAAAAATCCAACCCTGCCACATACACTGCCACAGCGGGGAACTCATCGATCCATTCGGTTGCAGACAGTTGTGTCTTCTCAAAGTTACATCCGAAATAGTCACGGTTGGAGCCCTCAGGTATACTTAGTCTCCAAAACATGTCAATGCTTGCCACATCCCCTGCTCCCTCTTCAGCCATCTCTTTCTCAGTTCTCTTTTCACTCCCAAAATAAGGATGTATCAACAATAAGCCGCTTATTTTGACATGACTGATTTTATTCCGAATGACTTTCACAGCAACATTGTGTGATATGTTTCCCCCTGCACTGTCCCCGGAGAGAAACACCCGGGAGAGGTCAGCTTGGTCCAGCCATGGCTCAGAGCTTACTTGGTGACCAAGCCAATCAAGTGTGCAGTAACAGTCTTCATAAGCTATGGGGAGCCGGTTCTCTGGTGCTAAACGGTAGTCAACCGAAATAACAATGGATTGGGATGCAACAGAGAAGCCTCCTAGGAAATGATGGTAGCCAGGCCATGTGGTTGAGCCAATGCAGAAGCCACCACCATGAAAATAAACCACTACTGGAAGCTTACTCAAGGATGTTGGATTACCAGGAAGGAAAATCCTTCCAGTAATTGGCTTTGAGGAGTCGATGATCACATCCTTGGACTTGAATCCGTTAGTTGATTCTGGTGAGGCAGGGACCACACCCGGCACAAAGCGTTTTACAGATCCATCAGAAAGAACTTCAAGAAAGTCTGGTGCTTCTTCAACTGTGGACATTTTTTTTCAAATGGAAAAGATTACTATGCACCAAAAAGATTCACATGAATGGTTTAGTGTTTGGGGGTTTAAATAGGTTTATTGAGCATTGTAAAAGCTTTACATTTTGCATAATATACTAGCATGAACTGGTGATGAAGGATTAAAAAACCATTAGAAAACTGGTGCTGGTAAGGATTTGATGTTAGGTTCCTCATGTAAGGTGCATTTGATAATAAATAAGTCATCAGTATTAGAGAAAGGGTTGGTAGAATGTAAGAGGAACTGAAAAACTTAGCAGTCAAATAGTGTGTCATGTATCTTTCTTTTTTTTAATACAAATTATAGTCTAAGCTAATTAATCTAGTTTACGGAAGGAGAATTCGTACTTGAGTGCAAGGGATCGAACATGTTTCTTTATAATAAGCATATTACCCCATGCCCCCATTGTGTTGTTCTTCCCACCCAAATATAACTACTCCCAGATTGTCAAAACTTTCAAAGGGAAAATGAGAATTTAAAAGAGATTTTCTATTTAAACCTCACACTTCTCTTAGTTCACCCCAACTTTTAATTTAAATTTTCACAATTTCTAAGTAAACCCCACTATCTTCCCAAACTGCCCTTAAATACACTCTAAGCTGAAAAAATAAGAAATAAAAGAGATTTTCTATTTAAACTCCAAAAGCTACCTTTAGAGGAGAAAATACGTTCTGAGCATGAGAAATAGTAAGTATTAAATTAATGTTTTGATGATATTTCAGAGTCTTATTCATTATCTGTTGTCAAGTGCATAAACCCAATTGTGCCTCAGAAAGAGTAAGAATTGAGAAACTGGGAGGTGTGGTTTATGATGGCTACCTTAACGGTCAATTATCAGTGTCACGAGCTCTTGGAGATTAGCACATGAAAGGCTCCAAAGGTTCCTCTTGTCCCTTAAGCGCAGAGCCGGAGCTTGAGGAGACAACTCTGAGTGAGGAAGATGAATTCTTGATCCTAGGCTGTGATGGGCTGTGGGATGTGATGAGCAGCCAATGTGCAGTTACAATTGCAAGGAAAGAATTAATGCTTCACAATGATCCTGAGAGATGCTCAAGAGATCTGGTTAGGGAGGCACTCAAGCGCAATACCTGCGACAACCTGACAGTAGTTGTGGTATGCTTCTCCCCAAACCCACCACCTTTGCTTGAGATCCCGAAATTGAAATTCAAAAGGAGTATATTAGCAGAAGGTCTGAATCTTCTGCAGGAAGTACTAGATTGTAAATCATGATCAGATTTGATGCTTAATCACATTTGTGAATGATATTGAAGAATTGGTCATTTGGAAAGCTCAATTGGGTTTATGGTCTTTGGAATTGGGCATAGGATGTAGAAGAGTTTGTATTTTTTTTAAACTTAATTTGAAGAGTTGTGGGGTGTGTGGGGTGTGTGTATAGATGTATTAGGGTTAAGTATTAAGTTGGATGACCTTTTTTGTCTTTTTACACAATAATAAAACTTACAGTTTAATAATTTAAATATTAGGGTGAACTAAGAGAAGTGTGGGGTTTAAATAAAAAAAATCATTTAAAATTATAATAAAAATTCCGAAACCTTTAACATGGGATAAGCTTTGAATTTTTTTCTTTTTTATTACTCTTTTCAGGAGAGAGATCAAAATTCCTATAGACCTCCAAACTGCCCGTTTTGGAAGAATTGCTGTCTGGGAAAAACAAATTAATTATAGGGAGACTTTGGAAAAACCCAAAGGAGAGAGAAATTTTGTAAAAGAAGCCAAAATGGACAAATTTGCCCTTATTTATTTTTGAATTTCCTAAGAAATCATTTACACTTGCATGTCTTTAATTTGAAAGTTGAGAGATTTTTCTGTCTTTTTTGAAAAAACTTTGGCTTTTTCCAAAAGCAAAAATTTTTTTATGGCTAAAACCTAAATTTACTTTAATTTTATATCCATGCATCTTTACTTGAGTGGCTATCTCGTACCTCAATTAGACATGCAAACATCACACTTGGACATGGCGACTGACAATGGCCAGGTAAAAAAGAAAGGATTTCCAAGGCTCAATCACATCGTTATGAGCATACAATTTGTATCTGATACTGGTGTAAATTCATTAATAAAAGGAAACCTACATCCCAAATTTGTCAAAGGAATTTATTTGGCCGCTTGTTCTAAAACAGGTATATTCTTCAAATCCTCCTCTACCACATTGGTTTGCAAAGGGGGCAATGAGAAGGCACTGACGGTTGAACTTCCACTCCGAACTTCTTTCAAGACACGCAATGCCGATATAGTTTGTCTCACATACACGCTCTCCATATGCTTTATTTCTGCAAGTTCTGTAGGAGCTCTAAATAACCTATCTCTATTTTCAGTCACAGTCGTAGACTCACACCGTTCTTCCACTTTGGTTGCTTCAGATGGGACTGATGGGCCATTCTTCGAGAAAACATGATCAAGCATCGCCTCACACTCCTTCACAAGCTTGTTCAGTACATCAGTTGTGAAGAATGGCTGTTGCATGACCCTTTGGACAAAGGGAAAGCGAATTAGAGCACCAGTTCGCTTGTCATGCTTCTTTAGTATCTTCAAAAGTCCTGTTGAGAAAATAGGAAGCAAAAACACCAAAAAAAGAACGTTTCAGGCTTCTAACAGTTAGGAAAAATCAAAGGTTGACAAGTTCCTCTATCAATTCTAGCCATTCATTTTGTGCAGAGGAAAACTAAGACAAATAGCATGCCGGCTTTAACCAGAGAAGAGATCTAAAAGATGTAAACCCAAACCAATGATCTTAAGTAAATTCAATCAAACTCTCCATGTTCGCTTTACTGGGTTTTACATCATTAACAACATGTAATATTGCATAATTAGTATTTTTGCAATTACAACAATAAGAGATTCATCTCATGTGTATTTGCATAACCAGAATGTCAATCTTTTCAAGACGAAGCCTCTCTTCTGCAAGCCCTGCACAACTACAGGATAAAGATTTGTACCTGTATAGTTGAGGGCACTGTAATTCTCTAACAAAACCATCTCTCCATGAAAATCCACTATTTCTCTCCCTACTTTCATCAACTCCTCAGCCGAATCCTTCACTTCTGCTACCCTGTCTTGCAGCTCCTGCATTCCAAAACCAGACCCAGAATATATAAGTAGTGAAAGTAGTCATCAACTCTTGGCAAAGAAGATAATACAGTTAATATAGCATGGTTGACAATGATTGCTGTGGTGCTTTAGGCCAAAGCCTATCTAAAGCATTAAGCATGGCAGACTCTTCCTTAATCCTATCGCGCAAGGTGATTAAAGACAGAAGAATTACAAGTCACAGTAAAATTAAACTGAGGGTCACAAAATGAAACATGGGCTAAGTTTTTCAATACAATTTTTCCAATCAAACTAGGTGATTAAGGATGGAAGAACAAATTGCAAGTCACAATAAAACTAAATCCAGGGTCAGAAAATGAAAAGTTGGCTCAGTTTTCTTTCTATTCGATTGGCTAATCAAACTCAAATTACAAACATAAATCTACAGCATAGTTACAAGAATCTGCGCCAATCAGCAGCAGAACATGGCCTAAAACAACGAAAAACTAACCAATTTCATCAAAAATTCAATATTATGCATTAAAGACACAATCTTTTAATCTCCTGAAGCAAAATTACCATACAAAACTGAACATAAAGTTTCTGAAATCCCAAGCAGCAATTCAATCTCTCAATTTCTAAGCAAGTTCTCATATTCCAAAAAGAAAGAGAGGAAAATTTTTGTACAAAATCAATAAAAAAGAAATTATACCTTCCATCTAATAACATACTCTTCCTCTTTCTCCTCAAAAAAAACATTGAACTTTTCCATTTCGTTCTCTAACAACCTCACAAAATCGGTGACCTCCTTGGAAACCTCAGCACCTTCGCCGCCCTCGACGGCGATATCTCCACCGTCCGTACGGTCGTCCTCGTCGTCGGCGTCGGCCAATCTGGGCCGTTTATTGGGAGGCTTGTCTCCGTCTTTGGGATAGATCAGCTTCAGCTGCTTCTTCAAGTCCTTGTACGATAAAAACTTGTCCCGCCATTCTGGTAAGGCCTCCTCGATCAGGATGCCGAGGCTCTTTGAGAACTTCATGCTCCCGCGCTACACCCAACACCCGAATATGGAAATTCGCCGGTGAAATGTCGGGTTTTGAGACGGCGACGTTTGGATGAGATGAGAGAGAGAGAGATCGGTGATTATATTTAGAAGTGGAATTAGAATATTCGTCAAGTGGGTTATGGGGAATATTCTCTTTGTTGATTAAAGGATTGTATTTTATCTTATCTTTTCCTCTTTCTTTTTCTTTTTGATATTATCTTTAGGACTTTTTTGTTTTGGCCTCGTTTCTTCATAATGTTGTTTTCTCTATATGAATTAAAAATACAGGCTTTACCGTATAAGGACAAATAGAAAGACACCAAGATAAAATGATCAGGTCTTTCAAAAATTGGATAAATCAGTTCAGTCACTATCCATAGTGATGTAAAATAATCAAAAATTGGATAAATCAGTTCAGTCACTGTCCATAGTGACGTGAATTAACTCTTATGTCATTGTCGAACAATGACCTGATAGTATTTCATGTCATCATTGGACAATGACTAAATCGTTTTATCCAATTTTGAAGGGGTTGGACCATTTTAACATTTTGTTTGTGTGAAGGACTTTTTAATCTTTTTTTTTTATTTTTATAAATTACATGTTTTCAAAATATTTTACCTAGAATCCACGTGGCGTGTTATTATTGGACATTTAGGCTCCACACATGTGTCAAGTAATCAATTTAATATAATTTCTAATATAATCGCATGACAAGAACCAATTTGATATACTCAACGTAACCTTGAGGACCAACCATGTCACAAAAAAAAAGAAAAAAAAAGACCAAAGGTGATAATTTCGTAATCATCAAAGACCATTTGTGATAAATAAATAAAAATGCTTTATATTTATAGATTGAATTCAAATAATAGGGATGATTTTTATTTACTTCAAACCGTTTAAATTTTGGGGGTTTTAGATTGCAAATTCCACTTACTTAATAGATTAATCTTGAATGCACAAATTTATAGAATGATGGTGAGAGTGGTGGTGTAAAATCTTGCTTATTTGGTGATATTTCTATTTTAATGCTAGAAGATGTCTAGAATTTGAATTTATCATCTTTCATTCATAAAGAAAAAACGAATACACACAAAAGCGGGTATGGAGTTTATGCCCCTTGATATTTCCCTATTTTTTATAGATAACATTGCAAGACTACTCTTCAAATCCCTAATGGTGTGTTTACTAATCAGGAGTTGGAATTCTTATCAAAAATTGGATTCCACATATGAAGGATTCTTGCTTTTACTTTGCATCAATGAATTGAAAAGTAAGTGAGGCCCACACAAAATTAGGAATTGAATTCTAGATTTTGGAGGAATTCAATTCTTGTGTGGGATGTGGTATTATAATTACTGGAGAACTAACCCATTAGGAATTTTTTTATTTTTTTTTATTTTACCCATTACATCTTCACACAATTTTTAAAATTCCAAATTTGCCATCTACTTTAACCCAACAACTAGGACATTTTAGTAATTAGTACTACTCCTACCCCAATTCTATATGGTTTAGTAAACAACTTCAATAGGAATCCGAAATCTAACTCCCCTCAATCTAACTCCTCCTCAATTCAATTCATCTTCCTCTTAATCCAATTACGGATTAGTAAACATGCCATAAAGACATTCATTTATCTTTCTTTGCTCATGTTCGCTTTGCTGTTTTGCTCACTCTCACAATTCCTCTCACTCTCTCACAATTTCACTGTTCTTGTGACTTCCACAATCGTAGCTTCATCCACAATTTAAAGGTAAAATAAAAACTTAATTTGAATTGCATATAATAATTTAATGAATGATATAGTTAGATTCAAGGTCTAAAATATTGGTAATCCAAAAATACAGAAATTTCGATGGAAATATCGGGATATTATCGATATCGATAAAAATTAAATAAAAACCAGGAAAATTGTAAGAAAAACTTGGAAATTTTTATTGAAACTTTGGAGGATGCTTATTTAGTCAATTATCTATTAGTTTATCACAAAAAATTGGAAGAAAATGCATTGCATGATGGATTTAACTAATTTAAGTTGATTATATAGCGAGCTGACAAACACTATGAGTGTAGAAAATATGTAGTAATTAATGAAAGAAGATTAAACACACCACAATCATTTATATATAATGATTTACTACAATATTTTACATTTTATACATTGCATGGTAAGATACATAAGTGACTTAGTACCACATAGAGTTCCTATGAGGTTCAAATCTTTCACTATCTTTATCATCTCTATGTGTAGAGTAAGTGTATTGTGAAGAGTAGTCATCAAATGATAAATCCCCAAAATAGTTTTGCATGTAATTGTTAACATGTCACCCATATGGATCCGAGATTGGTTGATGTTGTCCATGAGCAAAATCATTTGAAGATTGAGTCTCGGATTCTTTCCATAAGCTGCTCGATTCCTTCCCAAAAAGAATGGGATATGAAGGGTAGGGAAATGGTTGGTTATGAGTATAATCATAGTTACTACTTCCCATTCTCATGTAAAAAATGTATACTTTCAAAAAGTGTTTGTGTTAATACTAGAAACGACATTCTTCCCTCTTAGGACCTCACTTTGAAAGCAGCAAGGGTAAACAGTGCAGAATGGCCCCTATTTTTATAGAAATTAAGAAGAAATTGGTTTCAAGAGTCTCATTTTTATACGTCCCACAAAAAAAAATTTAATGATATACATGTGTGAACTTTGTCAAAGTAAGAAATGTAAGGTCCATCATTCCTTGCATGTCCATGTCTCAATATTCATAAGAAAAAAGAACTTACCACTTGGACGCCACGATACAAAGCAAACTAAGGATGACTAATTTTACGAGAAGAAACACCTTGAATCCCCTTTGTGTTTTTCCCTTTTTTTTTTTTCATTACATTGATATTTTCGATATTTTAGCGATATTGTAACAAAATATTGCTGAAGTGTGAGCGAAATTATCGACGTCAATATTTTCTGATATTATCGTCGATATTCTCGATATTTATACGATATGTGCATGAATACGTTTCGAAATATCTGTGATTCGAAAAAACGATAATATTCTCGATATTTCGTCGATATTATCGATATTTTAGACTATGGTTAGATTACATTTGTTGATAACAATTAATGCACAAAGTAATGTGTGAATTTATTTGAGCTGCATTTTTTTTTTGGTAAATATCACGAGGTGTCCCCACATTCAAAGAGTGGGATTAATTCCTGCTCGAGGTTTGGTTTGCTCCTGGCCACACAAAGTGCTTCTAACGAGTTTCGAACTCCTACCATTCAGGCAACAAGTAGCTCGCCAACTAAAGGTAATAGTTTACCAACCGCATCACACCTTGTATTTTTAGATGAGATTTTCTATTTAAACCTCACACTTCTCTTAGTTCACCCCATGTTCTAAGTTCACCCTAACTTTTAATTTAAAATTTCACAATTTCTAAGAAAACCCTACTATCTTCCTAAACTACCCTTAAATACACCCTAAGCTGAAAAAATAAGAAATAAAAGAAATACATTGCGGTTGCTACACTTTGCGCTAGGAGTGGGCCATCTAATTGACCATCAATGGAGAATACATTGAAGCTTTTAACATAGTGGAAAAGCAACAAGAAAAATAACCTAACTATTGAAGCAGCAGCAGTAGGATTATAATTTTAAATGCATACTGGAATTCCATAAGTGACAATAATATTAATGTCCCAGCAAAAAAAAAAAAAAAAAAAAAACAAAACAAATGGAACCTCAAATTCGAAATTTAATACTTTCTAGAGAAAGAAAATAGCTTTACCAAAACATCAGGTATAAAAAAGAAAAAAAAACAAACAAACAAAAGCAATCAACAGCCAAGCAATCAACAAAGGGAAGATAATAAGATCATTACAGCCAAACAATCAAGAAGTCTTTCCATCAGCTCTCACACGAATTTTAAAGAGGCATGCTCGTCAATGTTCTATGTCTCTGGCAATACGATGTAGAGGAGTTTGTATCTTTCTAAAACTTAATATGAAGAGTGATGGGATGTGTGTATAGATGTAGTAGGGTGAAGTATTAAGTTGGATGACTTTTTTTTTATTTTTTTACACAATAATAAAACTTACGGCTTAATGATTTAAGTATTGGGGTGAACTAAGAGAAGTGTGAGGTTTAAATAGAAAATCTATTTTTAGATTAGTGAGTGGTATTGCCAAATGATTTGAGATTTTGTATAAGTTGTGCCTTTGTATTTGAATATTTTTATTTTGACTTGTATCCTATTTTTCTTTGGTTTATCACTGAAAATGTTATTTCACAAAAAGTATAAATATTTGAAAAGGCATAAAATTCTATAATATAAAAGTGAAGCAGTTAAATAGAAAAATACATAAACATATTCCAATAAATAAAAATAATCAATAGTTAAAAATCTAAATAAATTGTGAAATAAAAAAAAGGTTAAAAAAATTAAAGAAAACAATGAAATTTTAAGAGTGTTGTTATTTCTACCCCTTTGTCCTATTTCCTCACCTACCTTATCTTCCCACCCACCATATAAATTTGAAAAAAACAAAATCTTATCTTTCCACCCATCATTATTCCTTAAATACCCTTAAATTATTAAAGTAACCTAATAATAAAATAATATTTTTTTAAAATAAAAAACGAAACAAAAACACTTCTCTTCCCCCCGTCCTGACGCAGCCCCACCCCCTCAGCAACACTACACTACCCATCATCCCATCCCCCACCTCTTCACCCTCCTCCACCATGGCTTAAGCAAAATCCTAAAAAAAATATAGTTATTTGTGCTGAGCTTCTTCAATCTCTACGCAAAATTGGGGTTGAGGGCTAGGAGCTACAAGACGAAGCACGATTAATACCCAAAAATGCGAATTCACCTCTACACAAAACTCTTGCGAATTCACCTGCACTCACCTTTCGAATTCACCTCTAGTCTAATATCAATAAAATACTAATTCACCTCAAATTCAGAAGAGAAAAAAAAACATAAACAAAAATCTAGAAAGACAAAATAGTAAAGAAGCAGAGAGAGACAGAGAGGCTTTAATCTCATACACCAAGTGAGTTTTTTTTATAAAGAGAAACGATTGTAGTAAAAGGGTGGAAGGCATCCACAACACTTGATGTTAAAAAAAAAAAAATGCAACCACAACCAACAAAAACAAGAGACCACACAAAAGAATCGAAAAAATAAAAAACAAAAGAGAAAACGAGGAACACAAATTCATTTGAACGCTATCACCAAATCCAACATAATGAAAGAAAGAGAGCTCCTCTGGCAACATCACCGTCGGGAGCTATGAGTTCATCGATGTCGTCAGCGCCCAATCGAGCTCGTCCACGTGGCAGATCAGGTACTTCGTGGATCTCAACTTCGCCGCCAAGTTCAAAATTGCTCCGCCGACGAGCCAGTACTTGCGTTTGTTGCAGCTGTTTATGAGAGACTTAATCGACAACTCAAAGGACCTGGTCAGGAAGGGGGAGAGAGAAGAGAGAGTTTTTGTTTTAAAAAATTGTTTTTTTATTTTTGAAATGCTTAAAAAAAAAAAAAAAAAAAAAAAAAAAAAAAAAAAAAAAACAGAAGTCATTTTACAAAGAGATAAATTTATTATTAAAATTTTAAAAATAAAGTGGATAGAAAAATAGGACAGATGGTGGAAATAGCAGCACTCAAATGATTCTGACAATTAATTTGTCTCAACATAATGATTATCCTTTCTTCATCGTCAAATCAAAGTAAACAATAATTACAGCAGATGGGAAATGAGCGATCACACTTTTTTGACTGAGGCATTTCATCGAGCACTTGGCAGATGGCATTTACTATTTTGAATTTTCTTACTTTTTTCGATTTTAGTCGGAGTCACAAAGCGGGAACTTCTTGAGGAAGGGCAACTGAAAAGGCGTGAAGGACAAGCTCAGTGCTCACGCTTGTTGGGTTTCATTCATATAAGTCTCTCTCCTCACAGGCTCAGTCTCTCTCGCGCATTGTCTAGCTCCGATTTCGAATTTTAGCTTCAAGAGGTCAGTGTGGCTTTTCTCTTTCCTGACTCTAGTTTCTGTTAATCTGTGATTGTTTCCCGAAAAAATGTGGGAATAAAGTGTTTATTTTTTGTTTAATTTTGTGAGAATATGATCAGTTTCTGTTCAGTTTGGCTCTTTATGAGCAAAATGAATAGCGGATGATGAGTTTGAGAAAAAATTTCCTTTGGTAACATTACATGTTTTGAATTCTATGCCGAATTATTTTATCAATCCTCTGCATTTTGTCATGATGTATTGAATTATGGGAAGGGGGTAGGAGCTCCCATAATGTGGAAGCCCTTTTTCCCAAACCAGATACATCGATCCCAATCTGGGTTAGGTGTGGCAGGGCTATGAGTTGATCTTTTGTAAAATAGGTGCAAGGGGCTCTTGGACCTTTTAGTTGTGGAGACCACTGTTCTTGTTTTGATTTACACCCTTTTATGCTTCAAAATTCATTGAATTTCTTGCCGTCTTTGTATTTGAGTGGAAAACAAAAGACAAAACATTTTGTTTTGTACTTCGTGTGCTATTCTTCAATCCAGATTGATTTAGTGGTAGATTAGAACCTCAATCCTTAGGCCTGTGTACAACATCCTTTTCTGATAAGCAAGGACGTTCAGGAACAAGTCTTGGTACAATATTTGCATTATAGTTCTTTAGTTTTCGTTACGAAGAAAACACAGAGATGAGATTTTCAACTTTCCTCCTTCATCACTGGTCAGTGGTTACCAAAAGGTTACTTTCTTTTTTGTTTTTTTTTTTTTTTTTTTTTTTTTTTTTTTTTTTTTTTTTTTGTTTGTTCGTTCCTGGGGGGTATTACTTTGGTGGTTGAATCCTTTTGTGAATGCTAATCTATGTTACCATATTTGCTCACGCACATATTTTTTATTTGTATCCATTCAACTGATGAGGTTATTTCATTTTCTTTTTCTCTTTTGTTCTCAAGCTTTGAACTGGCAGTGGATATTTCTTACAGAAAATGGAATTCGAAGGAAGTGAAAATGGTTCAGTAGTAACTCAAGTCAGTTTTGGTGGATTTCAGCATCATGTTAGGGCAAAAGATCTTGTAACCTACTTGGAAGATGAAATTGGGGTTGTATATAGGTGTAGGTTAAAAACTTCTTGGACCCCTCCAGAGTCCTTCCCAAATTTCGAGATCAATACTGCAGATGTTAAAAGAACAGATGATTATAGCAGGGTGGAGCCCCATGCATTTGTGCATTTTGTATCACCTGATTCAGTAACTTTTGCTATGGATGCAGCAGGCCGAAGTGAACTTTTTTTGAACAATGAACCATTGAAAGTAAGTATGGGCCTTGAGAATCCATATTTTTTGAACAGGAGGAGGAGGACCAAAACTCCATTCAAGTTATCTGATGTGCATGTTGAGATTGGAAGTTTAGTTCGCCAAGATGAGTTTTTTGTTTCTTGGAGAGGACCTCCTTATGGGGTGGATTTTATTGTGGATCCTTTTGATGGAACGTGCAAGTTTTGCTTTACAATGGACACTGCATTTTCATTTAAAGGGACAAAGAAGCTTGCAGTGATTAAATGTGATTTTAAGGTGGAGTTCTTGGTAAGAGAAATCGCTGAAATCAAACAATACACAGACACCTCATATCTTGTGATTCTGTTGCGGCTGACATCATCACCCTGGGTTTCATATAGAACTGCTGATGATGACATTGACCAATCAGTCCCATTCGATTTGTTGGATGATGATGATCCTTGGATTAGAACCACAGATTTTACTCCTAGTGGGGCCATTGGGCGTTGTAATTCTTACAGAGTTTTAATACCACCCCGCCATGGTGCGAAGTTGAAGAAGGCCATGAATTATCTTAGAGAACGAAGGGTGAAGGAGGTTTGCATCAAATGGCCACCTAGGATTCAGGATGAACCTGATTTTGGAATGTCTAATGCAGAGCCTTTCTTCAGTATTCAGTACGAGGAAGATATTTCCTTTGAGATAATGTTCTTGGTTAATGCAGTAATGCACAAGGGCACTGTTAATCAGCACCAGTTGTCAGACAGTTTCTTTCATTTACTGAGGAGCCAACCAAAGGAGATCAATGTGGCTGCATTGAAGCACCTGTGTTCTTACAGAAACCCAGTTTTTGACGCATGTGAGAGGCTGAAAGTTGTCCAAGATTGGTTGCTGAAGAATCCCAAGCTTGTCAAGGATCCTCCTAAACGGTTGGATGATATTGTTGAAGTTAGGAGGTTGGTCATCACCCCAACTAAGGCCTATTGTCTTCCGCCCGAGGTTGAACTATCCAATAGGGTTCTTAGAAAATACAAGGAAGTTGCTGATCGGTTTTTAAGGGTTACCTTTATGGATGAAGGCATGCAGAAAATTAATTCCAATGTTCTGAACTACTATGTTGCTCCTATTGTAAAGGAAATCACGTCAAATTCCTTTTTACAGAAAACAAATGTGTTTAAAAGGTTTAGGAACATTCTGAATGATGGATTTTACTTATGCGGTCGTAAGTACACTTTCCTGGCCTTCTCATCCAATCAATTGAGAGACCGTTCTGCCTGGTTCTTTGCTGAATGTGTGAACATTAGTGTCGGCAACATCACAAGTTGGATGGGGAAGTTCAACAACAAAAATGTAGCAAAATGTGCTGCTCGGATGGGTCAGTGTTTTTCGTCTACATATGCAACTGTAGAAGTTCCATCAAGCGAGGTAAATGACATTCCAGATATTGAGAGGAATGGGTATGTTTTTTCGGATGGGATTGGTATGATCACTCCTGACCTTGCACTGGAAGTTGCAGAGAAATTGAAATTGGACAGAAATCCACCTTGTGCATATCAAATAAGATTTGCTGGCTGTAAGGGGGTTGTGGCTTGTTGGCCATCCAAAGGCGATGGGTTCCGGCTTTCTTTGAGGACTAGCATGAACAAGTTTGAGTCAAAGCATACGACATTGGAAATCTGTTCTTGGACTAGGTATCAGCCAGGTTTCTTAAATAGGCAGATTATAACGTTGCTTTCAACACTGAAAGTTGAAGATGAAATATTCTGGAGGATGCAGGAGAAGATGGTTCTCAAATTAAACCAGATGCTCGTGGACACGGATGTGGCATTTGATGTACTCACTTCATCCTGCGCTGAGCAAGGAAATGCGGCAGCTATAATGTTGAGCGCAGGTTTCAAGCCCCAGACAGAACCTCATCTACGAGGCATGTTAACCTGTATACAAGCCGCACAACTTTGGGGCCTTAGGGAAAAGGCTAGGATTTTCGTCCATTCTGGGAGATGGCTTATGGGCGTTCTTGATGAGCTAGGAGTACTTGAGCAAGGTCAGTGCTTTGTCCAAGTGTCGACCCCATCGCTAGAGAGCTGTTTTGCAAAGCATGGCTCTAGTTTTGATCAGATAGAGAGGAATCTTCAAGTGATTAAAGGATACGTTGTGATAGCAAAGAATCCTTGCCTTCATCCTGGAGATATAAGGATTCTTGAAGCAGTTGATGCCCCAGGTTTGCACCACTTATATGATTGCCTTGTTTTCCCTCAAAAGGGTGATAGGCCCCACACGGATGAAGCTTCTGGAAGTGACCTAGATGGGGACCTCTACTTTGTCACATGGGATGAAAATCTTATTCCTCCAAGTAAGAAGAGCTGGATGCCTATGCAGTATGATCCTGCAGAAGCCAAACGTCAGGGGCGTCCTGTTACTCAGCAGGTACTTATCTACCATTTTTAGTGATTATCTATTATATTCTATGATATTAAATTTTGGGAACATGATTATCATTATTTTTTCTCTTTCCATGAATGCTTTTCTTTCTTAGACAAGCAAGCTTCTCATTATCTGCATGCTTCTACAATATTATTAATAAAATAACATTGTGGTGTCGTTATATTGGATAAGGCATGTTAGACCCCTATTTTTTAAGGAATTTTCTTGTAGAGTTGATAATGTTAGTACACTGTCCCGTTAACACTTGTGAATCATGTCTAGTTTATCCTTATACAACAATATTTTGTTTTATGCTCTGTGGGAGCATGTAAGCTTTTGTTACCAGATTTCCTGCAAACGCATTAGATGCCACCATTTTGTTATGGCTGTACTATTAATGATACAGGCCTTAAATTTGTTTGTTTACCCTTAATCCTAAAAATCTATGCCGGTAAGATGTGGACTGCAATATTTTATATGATAATGTTCCTCCGCACATGGTCCTTTTTCCTTTACTAAAGGTCTGAATATGTAGAATTCAACCTATATTTAATGATTCTAGGTCAGGATCTTATGCTCTGATACCATGTTAAGTTTTGTTGCTTTACCATTGCTTCTTAAAAGCTTAAATTATTAAAATGCATGTCACTAAATGTTTTATATTTTATTAGCATGAGTTGTCATCATGAAGTTTCCTAGCAAGTGGTTTTTGTACAAGAAACTATTCTATTAATTAACACATCTATAGCAAAATCATATCACTAAAATGTGGCCGAATTCTGAGCCATTGTCTAAATTAAGAATCAAGCTATGATTCATGGAAACTTGTCTTCATTTATATTAGGTTTACATTCTAAATCGTTTGTTTTTCCTTGTTGGGTTGCTCTATTTTGAAATCCCAAGTTTGTCACAGACGCTCTCTTACTATCATTAGAGTCTAAGCTGGTAAGCCGGGGACTACAATTTTCTTATAAGCTGACGTTTCCCCTCACATGGTCCTCTCCCCACTACTAAACGGCCCAAAGTGTAGAGTTCAACTTATACTGGGAGGTTGTAGTTTCAAGGATTTATCTCCCTCTCTGATACCATGTTAAATTTGTTTTGGCTTTACCATTGTTATTCAAAACTTAAACTATTAAGATGCATGTCTAGAAGTATTTTATATTTTATGACCATGAGTTGTCATCTTGAATTTTCCTTGCAAATGGTGTGTGATCACAAGAAATTATTTTAATAAACACATCCACAGAAAAATCATACCAATAAATGTGGTAGGATTCTGAACAATTGTATAAAGTAAGAATTGAGCCATGATTCTTGATAACCTGTTCTGTATTTGTTTTAGGTCTAATTATAAGTAGTGTTTTCCTTGTTGGGTTTACACAATTTTGGAATCCCAATTTGTCACGGACACTCTCTTACTGTCATTGTGTTTATACCACAGGATATAATAGATTTTTTTGTGAAAAACATGACGAATGAGAACCTAGGGCCGATATGCAATGCACATGTGGTTCATGCTGACCGCAGTGATTATGGGGCTTTGGATGAGAACTGCCTTAAACTAGCTGAGTTAGCAGCATTAGCAGTTGATTTTCCGAAAACTGGGAAGATTGTTACCCTACCACAGCACCTAAAGCCAAGGTTGTACCCAGATTTCTTGGGTAAAGAAGACAACCAGTCATACAAGTCAACTAAAATTTTGGGGAGACTCTATCGCAAGGTTAGAGATGCGTATGATGAAGATGCTGCAACCACTTCTGAGCTACATTATGTTCCCAGTGACATCCCATATGATATGGATCTTGAGGTTCCTGGAGCGGCTGATTTTATATTTGATGCATGGGAGAAAAAGTGCTCGTATGATGGTCAGCTGAAGGGTCTAATGGGACAATATAAAGTCAAGAGGGAAGAAGAGATAGTTACTGGGCATGTTTGGTCAATCCCCAAGTCCAACAGCAAGAAGCAAGGGGAGCTGAAAGAGCGGCTGAGTCATTCTTACAATGCTCTGAAAAAAGAATTTAGGCAAATGTTTGAGAACTTGGATTCAAATTTGGAGGCTCTTACTGATGATGAGAAGAATATATTGTGTGAGAAGAAGGCCTCAGCATGGTATCAGGTAACTTACCACCCTAAATGGGTGAAACAATCACCGCCTTTGCAAGAGCCAGATGGTCCTGGAGATGTTGTGGTGATGTTGAGTTTTGCATGGATCGCAGCTGACTACCTTGCCCGAATCAAGATTAAGTGCCGCGGAGTGGAACATATTGACTCTACAAAGCCAATCAACTCTTTGAAGAGGTACCTTGCTGATCGGATATGACAAGCATTTTAAGTCATTGAGATTGTGTCTCCTGTTGCTCTCTGTGAAACTTCATGGTGACAAGGCCATTCTGCCATTTTATTAGGTCCATTTTTATCTTTCATTTTCTGTTTGGATTTTCCTTTGAAAGTATGACTTTATTGAAGCTATAAGTTTATTGCTTGCTTGCAATTAAATGTCTTTTGGTTGACTGCAAAACATTTTTCTTTGCTCCTTTGAATCTTCAAAGCCTAATTGTCAGATCCATTAATCACTACCCATGTTTGAATCTTCAGGAATAAACTGAAATTGCATGAGCTTCTACTTAGAGTCCTTTAATTCCTTATTTTAGCAAAAAAATTCTTCTCAGGTTTCAGTTCTCCTTTCTTTGATGGGTTTAAATAGTGTTTTCCTCCAGGATCCAAGGAGTTCCATATGGATTTCATAGCAAAATTAATGTCCATGAAGATGAAAATGAAAATGCAGCTCATTTCGCTTTCGGGTTTTGTCGTAAACTAAAATTAATTTGGCAAAAATCAAATTGTTCAAAGGGTTTCTTTCACTGTACTGTATAAATAAGTATTCTACGTCAGCTACAGTATTATACTCTAAATGGATTGATATGGTATACAGAGGTAGATCAATTCCATTTTGAGACTTGAGAGGGATCCACGACAACAATGAACGATAATCACAACTAAAAATCTTCTATATGTCACTGTCACTGTCACATCCACCATCAACTGCCCCATTTGATAATCACATGCCCCGAAATTAATCCTGCAATGAAAACTTGTCCCTTCTCTCTCTCTCACTCTCAGTCTCAGATAGCACAAGTGTCTGTAGATGAAGGGCTTTTAGTCTCCTTGATGTATGGAGCATTGATCACCCAACCACTGAGAGGCCTTTCTCTTCACGATTAGGTCAGTTTCACATTCATGGTCTCTCAATCGTACGGACTCTAAAGGAGCAACTCATGTGGTCTCAGTTCGTTGTCATTCACACCACAAGATGTGTTCCTCCTATTTTTCTCCCTCTTGAAAGCTCTACATCTATTTATCTTCTGGTCCAACAATACTCTAATTTGTTATTACTTCTTGAATTATTGGCAGTAAGTTAACTTCAAAATCATTCTGCTTACATTCACGACGAGAATTCAATTCCGGTTATGCAATTTCATCAATGAACTAAAGTAATCCTTATATTTTGATTTTTTTTTTTTTTTGTTTTGTTCAAAGATCTCTCAAATTGAGGAAAGTTTAAGGAAATATTAAAGTTGGGTTTTTTTTTTTCATTCAAATTAAAAATAAGTTTAAGAGAGGATTTGGTATGATTTGATATGTGATGTCTGCTAAGTTGATGCTGATTCTATTGATGTGGAAACAAAGCATGATGGGTATGTGAAAATTGCTTAAACAATCAAGAGATGTTCTTTTCAATATAATTAAGCATAATCAAGTATAAGTTTCTTTTTCATTCCAAAAATTTCATTCATCTCATGTTCTAGGCATGCAGCATAGCACGGAACTACCATGATGGTATGCACTTTTATGGTGATAATAATATATATTATTATACCTTTTTGTGAATGTCTTTGAGATAGGCATGCCCCCAACATCTAATATAAAAAAGTATATAAATTCTATATGATGCATTAAAACAAAACAAAAAATATAGGTTGGCATGTCCTAGGTTCGAATTTACTGAGAAATAAAATGTCAGGTATTTTTTCGTTTGTTGTTGGAATATAATACGAAATTCCAATTGCTGTGTTTTTTTTTTTTTTGCCTGAAAACTCTCACTGTAATTTATACAGCAATCATCTGAGACACACGACGACACCTAGTGGAGAATCAAGATATTATGACAGTCCTAGGATTTGCCCAAAAAGATAAAATAAACATTCCTATATATGGAAAATATCAAGTATATGTGTCAAATTATTTTTACTATTTTTCTATTTTTGAATTTGTCTGTAAAAGGATGCATATAGGGCCCAATGTTACTGTGTTTTTCTTGTTTCATTAAAAAAATTTAAAAATTTAAAAACCACACCAGAACAGTAACATGGTATGATGCTATCAGCATTTTGTCTTTTCTCATCATATTTGGGTCATTAATACAAGATAAAGTGAAAGTATAATTATTATATTTACCAAATTAGCAAGTAAACAAGTTATAAATTATAAAGTATGCTGAAATGAACCAAATCTGCAGAAAGAGATGAGCTTAGTTATCTACATTTTACTATTTCAAGACAAGTATTTGCTACAACCAACCACAAACCTTGACCAGCATCTACAAGTGGTTTTAATTTAATTAGTCTTTATACAATTTTCCCAGTTACCAGTCACAACACAAGAGTGAGGTGGCATTTTATGATTTGATATACTACTGCTATGCTTAACTTCAAGGACTGATTAAAGACTAGGAATTGAAGCAGCTGGTTGGTTCCTAACTTCCCTTTAAATAATATTTCCTTCTTGAACATTACTTGTTGTTGAAGGAATTGGATAATTCCAATTAAGTAACTCTTCTATCATCTGCATTGCAAGCTTATCCTCTTCATCCTGATCTGCTTCACTCATTCCAGCCTCAATCAATCCCACCATTGATGAACTCGTCGATGACGAAAAGGATGAGGAGGATGAGGAGGAGGATGAGGAGCACATGGATCCATGATGATCAGAAATGTGTTTCTTTTTCTTCCCAAGCTCGATCCTCATGACCCAATTGGAGCTTGCCCGCGATCCGGCAGGGCGCTTCTGCCACACCCCAATGTGAGAATTGTCATTGTCAAGCCTCAGGCAAGTGAGGGAGGGAGATGGGTCTTTGCAGCATTTTCTGAGCTTGGAGTTGAGCAGCTCTGAAAGTGCCTTGGGAGACCATGGAGAGTCTTGGTCAGTGGGCTTTGTGTCTTGACCAGAGCTGTTGTTGTTGCTGTTGTTATTTGAAGTGGGGAAATTGGTCTTGGCATTTTGTCCATTCATCAATATGGCTGCTTGGTCATATGCTCTTGCTGCTGCCTCTGCTGTCTCAAATGTTCCTAGCCACACCCTCCTCTTACTAAATAATAATCACAAACAACAACAAAAACCAAAGAGAAATCAAGAAATATCAAAATCTTTGCAGATAGAAAAATCATAATTAATATGCAGATAGTCTCACATGTTACGTTATGAAGTTATCATATTCTTTCATTGTTAGAGAGTCTGATATGTTATGTTGTTAAACGGTTGGAAAAGTGTAAATGTATGGTGAACTTACAGTAAAGGGTGGCGAATTTCTGACACCCAAGAGCCCCACTGGCGCTGCCTCACTCCTCTGAACTTTCTGGACTGTACCATGTTATTAAAATTTAGAGAGAGAGAGATAGAGAGTTTTCAGAGATGGGATTTTAAGTATGCATAATATTGGGTGGATATCAAAGAGATGAAGAGAGTTTTATGTTCAATGTGGACATTTATAAGAACTGTCGGTGGCTTGCTTTGGTCGGAAAGTCTCTATGTAGTACAGAGTGCAATAAAGTTTTCACCTGCACAACACAAAACCATTATAACACAACCCTCAGGTTCTTGACAACTGGAACCAAAGGAAAAATGAGCATCCTGTTATGCCCCTCTCTTCTGCCCACCCAAAAGAAAAGCATTTATTATTTCCATTATTTACACAACAGTTATCTTCTTCACACCCCCAATTTTTTTTTCTTTTTTCCTCGGATGAGCATTAAGGTGTGTTTGGTTAGGGGTTGACTCAAAAGACTCTTGTGGATTTGTTATTTACTCTGCTAGGACCACAGGGGTCTCTAAATTATTGACCTTTTGATGTCTAAATTTATTGCTGTTGTTGAATTTTCTGACTATTATCATGTAGCATGGGTTGAATTATTGAAAACTTTTTTACATGATTGGCTTAACACTATTTTTCAGACCTATCATGCTGATTTGTAAACTGCAACTGAATAAATAATCTGATGAGCAAGAGGCTGCTTTTTTTCCGGTCCCTTTCTTTTAATCTTTCAAGCAAAAGAATAACGTGATCATCTTAGATTTACCAATATGTCAAATTCCGATTAGCTAATGGGGTATGATATTACTCAGTTGGTTGATCTATTCCACCTTCATTCATATGGGCAAAGATTCAAAATCCCCAGGTACCCAATGAATTTGTGTAAACCCCCCTCCCTCAATCACTTATACTCAAAAAACAAAATAAACTTACCAATCAATTAGTATTTGAACGCACCATGGCATGTTACATAGATTGAATTGGTTTGTGATGTCTTGGGAAGGCACCTTGGAAGGAAAGGTGGAACAGATTCTAGCTTGACTTTTCTGCAGATACATCCCTTCCTTCGTATACAAAATCAACGAGATTCCTCTTCCACTTTTCTCTTTCTACATGTATAATAATTTGATTCATTCCAAACCCTAACAAGCTACCAAATTTTCTCCAACAAAGTCAGCTTTTTGTGCAATACCATTTACATCTCCCACGTATTCCTTGAAAGTTTTGTTTCATTTTCTATGTTGCTTTAACTTTTCCTTGAAGCTATAAATATGTATATATATATGCTTTTATATGTATATATACGTGCATGCTAATATCTTTGTTGTTTTCGATTTTCTGTAGCTCTCTCTCTCTGTTTGAGCAAATTTCCAAGAGTTTTAGTGAGAGAAGGTGAAAAACAATGCCGCGTTTGCTTCATGGGACACTTTTGGCAACGATATATGAGGTTGATAGGCTATACAATGGATGTGGGCTCCACTTATTGTGGAAGGTAAACCATTTTTTTTTCTTTAACATGAACTGAAAACTTTTTAGTTTTGTTCCTATTTCTTTCAGCAAGTTTTGTTGTGACATTTATTTGTTGTTTTATGTTACAATCCATATAAAGTGATCATACTTTTAAGGGAAAAGAAGGTATAAACTGACCAAGGAAAAATGCTTGTACTTTTTCTTTTTCTCAGAATCATGGTAAGCCATGTAAAGGGGAAATTTCAAAAGTGATAGCCTAAACAATAAATGATATGGTTGTAAAATTTTTATCTGAATTTTTTTTTTCTTTTGGGGTAGAAAATGGTTGTAAAGTTGTAGAGTGAGGTTTGACCGAACCAGAAAAAAAAAAAAAAAAAAAAATATGGAGTTATGAGGCTGAAAATATATCTATCCCAACTAGAAAAACTTATTTGCAATGGGATAGCACTTCTCATGTGTCATTGCGTTTTTGGTCTGGGATAGAAAAAGTATTATCCCCGTTGCATGAAAGTGTTTCTCCCTACCCAACTGCTGGCAATAAAGCCTCAAATGACTTTTCAAAGGGTGCTTTGCTTTTAGAACAATCATGCAAAAATCTGAATTAGAAAGACAATAGTGGCTCATTTAATTAGAAAGACAATGTGAGCTTGAAGTTTTGTTTGACTTGTGTATCGGTGATCTCAAATACCATACAATCTATTAGTTTGTTCTGTGTTTCTCTCTTTGTAGGCTTGATTGCTCATAAACTTTGATACATCTGATATTTTCATCCAAGGAAAATTTCTATTTGCATATGATTTACATCTGGATATTTTTAAAGAAGCTTATGAAATCCCTGACTAAATTATAAAATCACTTTCCCCAAGTTGTCACCAACCAACCATATCTCCAAGAATTTGTTAAACTCTGTTTCTCTTTCTGAAACTATGGAGCATAGCGCTAATGACAAAGTCCTAACAAGATTCTGATGGAAAATACATATCATTTGTAACTTGAAATCTTCTTTTAACTCCTGCAAAAATGAAGAGATGTCCTGTGAGGTGCATCATCTTTGATCAGTATAGCCATGCAAATTAATCTGCTGAACTCAACTTTTGTTTGCACAAATTTTACTGTCATGCCAAAGTACCATGCATAATGTCTAATTGAAACTGTTTTGTTTGTTTGTTTTTTTTACCATCTTTCAATGGTAAAAGTGTCTGTACAATTTGTGGTTATTCTTTTCTGGTGAAGTGTTCTTGCCCTGATAATTTTTTTCCCTTACTTTTGACTCTGTCGTTGCACAAAAGTCACCTAAAATCTTTGTAGCTCAAATCAAGAAGTTGGTGCTGTGCGGCCCTAAACAGGTATATTATTAATGTCAATCTCATTTTCCTCCAAACTACTGATCAATCTATTTCTGTGCATAAATTTACCTTAAATATTTTGTAGATTGTTGGATCCGAACTCTATGCAACAGTTGATCTTGATAAGGCCAGGGTTGGCCGGACCAGAATGGTAAACGATCCCAACAATCCCAAATGGAGGGAAGACTTTCACATCTACTGTGCTCATAATATCTCACACCTTATATTCACTGTCAAAAGTAACGATCTGATTGGGGCAACTCTGATTGGAAGAGCTCATATACCTGTTGAAGAAATAATCAAGGGTTATGCGGTGGACAGATGGGTTGAAATATTTGATGAAGATGGAAATCCCATCTATGGAAATTCTAAAATTCATGTCAAGTTGCAATTTTCCAGTGTTAAAGACGACTTCCATTGGTCTCTGGGGATTAAAAGTCCCAAGTATGATGGTGTTCCTTGGACATTTTTCAATCAAAGAGAGGGTTGCAGGGTTACACTATACCAAGATTCCCATGTCCCGAATGATTTTATTAGTTACATCCCTATGTATGAGCCCCAGAGATGCTGGGAGGACATCTTTGATGCGATCACTAATGCAAGGCACTTCATTTACATAACCGGGTGGTCTGTGTACACTGAAATAACCTTGTTAAGGGACCCGAGTAGGCGAAAAGATGACATTACACTAGGGGAGCTTCTTAAGAGGAAGGCAAATGAGGGTGTTTCAGTTCTTTTGCTTGTTTGGGATGACAGAACTTCTGTTGAGGAACTGAAGAAGGATGGTTTGATGACAACCCATGATCAAGGGACCGAAGAATACTTTCTAAACACGAAAGTGCATTGCTTCTTATGCCCCCGGAACCCTGATGTTGGAAAAAGCATAATTCAAGGTTTTCAGACTGCAACAATGTTCACTCACCATCAGAAGACAATTGTAGTTGACAGTGAGATGCCTGGTGGAGAATCCCAAAAAGAAGGATTGTGAGTTTTGTTGGGGGTATTGATCTTTGTGATGGAAGATATGATACGCCAAAACATCCCTTGTTTGCAACTCTAGACACAACTCACCAGAAGGATTTCCATCAGCCAAACTTTGCTGGCTCTTCGATTAGGAAAGGCGGTCCAAGGGAGCCCTGGCATGATATTCATTGCAAACTGGAAGGGCCTGTTGCTTGGGATGTCTTGTACAACTTTGAGCAGAGGTGGAAAAAGCAAGTTGGTGAAAAGTTCTTAATTTCACTAGGCAAGCTTGAAGAAATCACAGTTCACCCACTAAAAAATATGTTCTCAAATGTCAAGGAGTCATGGAATGTTCAGTTGTTCAGATCTATTGACAATGGGGCTGCTTTTGGCTTTCCTGAGAAACCTCTGGAAGCAACACAGCTGGGCCTTGTGAGTGGGAAGAATAACATCATAGACAGAAGCATTCAAGACGCATATATCCACGCCATTCGTCGTGCCAAAAACTTCATTTACATAGAGAATCAGTACTTCCTTGGAAGCTCATTTGGCTGGAAATCAAAAGACATTAAGGATGAGGATATTAATGCTTTGCATCTTATACCAAAGGAGCTCTCACTAAAGATTGTTAGTAAAATTGAATCAGGGGAGAGGTTCACTGTCTACATTGTTATCCCAATGTGGCCAGAAGGTATACCTGAGAGTGCTTCTGTTCAAGCTATATTGGATTGGCAAAGAAGGACAATGGAGATGATGTATACTGATATCTCTGAAGCCCTTCTGAGAAGGGGTTCAAATGAACACCCCAAGGACTATCTGACATTCTTCTGCCTAGGCAACCGGCAAATGGAGAAGGATGGAGAATATAAACCTCCAGAGACTCCAGAGCCAGACACTGATTATAAAAGAGCTCAGCAGGCCCGGCGTTTCATGATTTACGTGCATTCAAAAATGATGATAGGTAAGTCATAACTGTAGAGTTCCGTCATGTTTGAATGTGAAATTTTCTCTAGCAACATAACATATTAGATATATTGTAAGAGATTATTTATCATGTTCCAAATTTCAAATACATATTAATGAAAGTCTGCTAACATGTGCCTGTTTCAGTTGATGATGAATACATAATCATTGGATCTGCCAACATAAACCAAAGGTCCATGGATGGATCAAGGGACTCTGAGATTGCTATGGGGGCATTCCAGCCTGAACATTTAGCTACCACAGACCCAGCTAGGGGTCAAATCTATGCTTTCAGGTTATCACTATGGTTTGAGCACCTTAGAGTGCCTGACAACTCCTTCACGCATCCAGAATCTTTGGAATGTGTCCGAAGAGTAAATCAGATTGCCGAAAAACACTGGGATCTCTACTCAAGCGACACACTTCATCAAGACCTTCCAGGTCACCTTCTTCGCTACCCTGTTGGAGTAAGCAAGACTGGAGATCTAACAACACTGCCAGGCTTCGAACATTTCCCCGATACCAAGGCTCGAATTTTCGGTAATAAATCTGAGTACCTTCCTCCAATCCTCACAACCTAGCAGTTGGGTCTGCTCAAGATGTGTTATTACTAAATGCCTAATCTGGATGTAAATTCCTACTAGTCATTAACAACATTGTTAAGTCCCTGAATTGTACAAAACATATGCAAATTATTATCCAAATAAAAGTTTAATGTTCATCAACTATGATCCTGCATTGCTTTTCTTAACAACGAAGTCCAAAAATGTCCTTCCCTTTTCCAGTTCCTCCTGTTCAATCATGCAAATCTAAGAGACAACCAGCCATCAAAGTGCCCACCTTCACCACTGTAGGCCCAGCCACAGCTCCATCATCATCACCATCCTCCAATACATGAATCATTGCTCTCATTAAAACCTCATTTAATTGCTTCTAAGCTTGTATTCAAAATGTAGGACCCAGTCCAAAAAAGCAGGCAAACAAGGATAAGATTGCTGATCTAACTGTAAAGTCAGTGGTCATGGTCTCATTGTTTTGGATATGCATTCTCTCAGATACCTTATAATTTCAAATTAAGGGTTTGCCCTGGGAGCATTTGTCAAAGTGTTGGCAGAGGCTGTTTGTTGCAGATGGTTTCTTGCATATGATGGTCAACACAATGGACAAGAAAGCATGGGAGGTCTTTATCTTAGAAACCATAAAATTTAGGAAACTGATAAAATAACACATACTTCTACTCCCCCAGTGATTTACAGATCAAACAGACAGAAAAATCTCACATTTTGCTATGTGTCACATACACAAACTTTTGACTTCCTCTCTTGAATTTCAATATTTGGACATATCATTTAATATACCTGAGAGGTGCTTTTCATAAGGGCATATAGAATTATAGATTAGTTGATACTTTCTTTTGCCTTATCCACTTCAAGGGTTAAAGTCAATGTCCTGGTTCATTCAAATCTCTAGTATATATCATATCCAATGCTGGGGCAACCAAGAAAAAAGTAACTATGCATATCCACAGGGAAACCACAATGGGTTGGCAATCAAATAATTGAGTTCTTGCTACAATCAACTAAATCCAATTAAAAAATGATCTAAATATACAACAACAATAATGATCCAAAAACACTAGACGGATTATGATAGCATGATTGATGGATTCCATCAAAACCACCATGGACCCCCCAACACCAACACAAATCAAAAATTTCATACAAGTGGTTGTAACCTACAACAAGAAAATAGAAAGAATAAAAAAAAAACCCCAAAGCAACCTTTGGTTTTGCCTCCTTCCTCCCAATAAATAAAGTAATAATCCTTCCATCACAAAACACATAAAATTAGTGAGAATATTAGAGAAAGAGAGAAGAGAGAGTTTTTAAAGAAAGAAAGAAGAACGAAGGGTGCCCCTTTGGTTGAATCAGAAGCCAACCAGAGGGCCAGCTTTTCCATGGAGGAGAGAAGAAACTGACCTTACCCAATTGCCAATCCAACCATGCCATCTATCAGGTCCATTATTATAAAGAAAATTAATTCGAAAATAAAACTTGTTTTTTTAATTGAAAGTGGTTGTAACTTATATTTCCGTTCTCTGATTTCAATTTCCCCCTTTTGTTTTTTTTATTGGGAATCAAACAGAGCATGAATATTTGTGATTGTGTTTGAATTTGGCTGAAATTAAATTGGTGTTTATCTAAGTGCTCTGTTGCCAACTCTAATTGTATGCATTACGCAGGATCGTGAGGTGTGTTTCTCTCCTTCGTGGATTTAGGGTATCGGTGGACAAGTTTAAGCTTGGCCGCGTCTAGATGAAAAGCTGTAGATATCTTCCGTCTTGGGTCTCTGCCATTTTCACATGCATGGGGTGAGTTTTTTTCTTAATCCTTTCTCACTCGCTCTTTTTTTCTTTAAAAAGAAAAAGTTGTGGGCTTTGTTTGTTTTATGAGACAATTAAGGGAAATGAAGAAGAAAAGTTGAAAACTTGGATTGTTTTTTGTGAATTTTCTCAGCAACCAAACAGAGGGGATTTTGCTGTAAATGTCTGGTTGTTGGGAGAAGCAATGAAATAAGAATAATAAAAGTGAGACTTCACTCTGAGAATGATATTTTCTTTTCCTATTATTGAGACTGGAAATCCAAATCTGAGCTCAAATTGGACATGCAACTATTTGGTGTAGTTAAATCGATTTTGCTGGTTCTGGGATGCTGACATCACTGGTGAAAAAACAAAGATCCAAAAGTGCAATATTTTGTTTTTGTTTCTTTTACCCTTAGCTTTCTGGATGACCAAACAGGGACTTGAGGTTTTCGTCTGTAGCTCAAGCTTGTTCCTTTAACTTTGTTTTGGAATCTTTGCACTCGGGTTTGCTTGTTTGTTAAGCGAGCTTGAACTGAGTGAACAGGGAAACGTGTTGGTGGCTTTTTTATTTGCCATTCTTTGCTTCATGCCTTAGGCAGTTGGTAATCGTATTCTTAGGGGTTTCCCTTTGGATGGAATTCTATAGAAAATATGTATTCTAGGTGTTGTTTGTTGTCCCAGACGGAGAGATGCTTTGGGAAGAAACCCTGCTGTTCATTTTTTGTATTCACTGGTGCTTGTTTTCGAGCTTTTATGGCTCTACTTACGGAGAAATTCAAAAGGAAATGCGAGGCACTTTTCAGTGTAAGGGAGAATATTTTCTTTCTTTTTCTTACCTAAAATTTAATTCTAATGAATTTCTCCAGGAAATGACCATGCCTTGTCCTTATTTTAAGTTTTTCATAATTGAGTATTGAGTACTGTGGTCTTTGTAGAACTTGGATCTGGTGGTGTGAGTTTGAGTGGCTAAGTTATTTTCTTATGTTTTAATTTGATACCTAGGTTTGTTACAAATGGTGGATTTGATACCACTGATATTTTGCTTATAGAGAATCAATGATGGGTTGCATTTGCATCAGTTTCTTCCTTAAGGTTCTGTCTATTTTACCCAAAAAAGAAAGCTAGATTTGATTATCATTGGAAATTTCAGTAATTGGAAGATTGTTCAGTTTTAAATCATGGGAAAGTGTACGCAATTGAGCTTTTACTGTTTCCTATTTTCTTTGTTTCTGGAGTGTGGGTACTTAGGGGGTCCCAAAGAACTTTAGGATGCAAACTATGTACGCCCATGTAGTATTATTAATTTTCAATTTGTTTTTTTCTTGTTACAGTTTTTCATAAATCCTGGCTCCAAGACTGGGAATCAAGTTGATAGGTGTCGTACTATTACTAATCATTTTTTGTGGTTACTTAAACCTAATTTGTAACAGAGCAGAGGCTGTCTTGGATGCTGTACTGGTACCCAACCCCGACTACTTATTGCGGTCGATGAGCCATCAAACAGACTGAGAATTCAAGGTCGATCGGCGAGGAAAAATAGCATATCAGAGGACTTCTGGAGCACTAGCACTATGGAAATGGAGAACAGTGGAGTCCAGTCCCAGAAAAGCATCTCATCGGTCAGCACTTCAAACCTCATTGATTCCCATGGTACTTCTGGTAGCACAAGCAATACACCTGAATTTGTAAATCATGGTAAGTCACATGAAATAACCTCTCTATTTCTCTCTCTGGTATGAACTTGTCCTTTAGTCACTCATTGAAACTGTCTTTGATGTTGTATGTTTATTTTGCCCTTGTCATACTGTGTTGTTTGAGTCACCTACTTCATTCTAATTTATTTAGTATAATACCACTTATATTTCATCATATGTATATCTTATTATTAGTAAATTTTGAGTTTTATTTGTTCAATACATTCTTTGATAATGTACATAACATCTATGAATGTTTTACACCAAAATTATGTGTTTCAATGCCTATATCTGTCATTTTTGTTGATTTTTTCCCGATACCTAAAACGATAACGATATATCCCCCGAAATCTCCGTAAATTGGAGGCCCGATATTATCTGCACGGTCGATATTTTAATCCTTGGTATAGCCAGATAGATATGGCCCAGCCAAGCTTGGGATTAGGTGGTTCTGATAATCTTGCTTTGGGTAATTAGTCAGAGAAAGAGCTACCTGTTGGTTGTATGGTTTCATCTATCTCAAGAATTTTACCACTGTTTTCAAATGTGAAAATGCTCTTAAATACAGAAAACATGTAACTGGGAGTAGCTTCTTGTACTTTTTATGGGTTTTTCCCGTATGGCTGCTATCCATGTATGTTTTATTTGTCTTCAACAACAAAAGAGAAGACAACGGTGGATATTCAGGAAAGCTTGATTCACATAACCATTTTATTTTATTTTATTTCCTATCTTCATTGTTTTTATTGATTTTAATGCTTTATCTGTGAAAACTTAAGTTTGGTGTGGTGTTGATGTTTGTGTCATTTGATCAATTTTTGTAATCTTTTAGACCTGCAAAGTGAAAGCAATGGGTGATGATAGGTTTTGTGGTGCTTTTCTGAAACATTTTTGGCTGAACTTACGTCCAGAGTCATAATCATTGTTTGACAATGCCTTTAATTCCAATTATTCTAGCAAACTAAATTTTTAACTGGTGGAAATTTTAATGGGTTCAGGTCTTTTACTCTGGAACCAGACAAGGAGTCAGTGGCTTGCAAATAGGTCTCAACTCCAGACGCAACTTCGAGAACCTAGAATAAGGTGAATTTCTGTATTGCCTATGACACTAGAAGTATTTAATCATCGTAGGGGCATGTTACATTCGAGTAGGAATACGTGCCCCGATTTAGCAACTTAACTATTTACCAATTTTCACTTGATTTTAGCTTTGTCTTGTTTGCACCTTGGATTGCACTAGATACACCATTGCTGCCTGTGCAAGTTTTTGTCCCTTGCAGTTCTATTAGCATTTTTCACATTTCCAGCATCCATAATATATACCAATGATCCAACTACTGTGTTTTGTAGTTGGAATGCCACTTATGAGAGTTTACTTAGTACCAACAAGCCGTTTCGCCAGCCGATCCCTCTCCCTGTAAGTTGACTTGGCTCCACTTGTTTCCTCTGCTGGTATTTGCTTCTGCAACCTCTTTGGTTCTGACTGTTGAATTTAAATGACAGGAAATGATCGATTTTCTTGTTGATATATGGGAGCAAGAGGGTTTGTACGATTGATCCAGCAAAGCCTGAAAAACTTTCTTTTCTTTGGCTTTTCTTGCCCAGCTTTGTAAATTTACGCAAGTCTTTGAATCTTTGATATTGATGCTTGCTTACATATCAATTGCGATGTTAGATACATTTGAGCTTTTTTATGAGCTAAGTGCCCCAAAAATACACCTGGCTTTTCTGATTAATTACCCTGGAGATGAAAAAAGCCAGTAGCCAGTAAAATCAAAAAGGAAAAGAAAACCAAGACATGAAAACTATTGGCAAACTTTTTTTTTTGGGGTCAAAATTGGGATACTGCACTGATTATTTCTCTGTGAAGAGAAGACAAAGTATTATTAGTTCAGCCACAAAAGCATAGTGCTTTCTTGGTGGCATCACGACCTTCATCATTTCATCAGAATTTGATATGATCCGGCCCATGATGCCAAGAACTTCAAAGTCATGGATCACTTTGCCGAACATCTTGCTCTAAGAGCACTTCCAGCAATACAACCAAGGGGAGGGATGGGGGTGGAGTTTGGGCCAAAATCGCGTTTCTAGCAACAAAAAATGGCCAGGGGCAGATGGTGGGACCCAGAATTTTGAAATTTTAAAAATAAAAAAAAACCAAAAAATTATTGATTTTTTTTTCTATAAATACCAACCAATACTCTTCATTTTTAACACCAAATCCGCATACATTTTCTTCTCCTTCTACTATTATTCACTTTGTACTCAATATTTTTATCTGATTATGAGATATGAATAGAATTGACACATATGAACCCAAAAATCTTATCCGAAAATATTATCCAAATTAATTGTTTAGGTAAAAAAAAGTTGAAAAAAACAAATTAATGAATAGTATTTGCCATGGCAAAGGGCAACTGCTAGAAACATACATTACTTTTTGCAAGGGCAGCCACTATTCACATGAATAGTAGCTGCCCTAGCCCCCCCTTGCCATGACAAGGGGCAAACTGCTGGAAGTGCTCTAAGAAATAAAGGCGATGGACAATGTCATACTTTAATCATATTTTACACATCTGAAAATTATCAAAGACGTAAATTTGACGGAATTTTTTTAAAATCTGAAAATCAATCATGGTTTGGTAATCAATGATCTTTTTAAAAAACTGAAGATTTAGTTTTTGATATGACAACAAATCGAAATGAATCAAACAAGAATTAGACTTATCATTCGATACAAACCGGAATTAGACCTAACCACTCAATGTGAACCGTAGAAGACGACGGCTTATTAAAAAAAAAGGTGTGAGCCATCTCAATGGACCCAAGTCAAACAAAACTCAGCACTTGATTAATGTGATTAACATTTTATTATCAATCTAGATACAATGTCATGCATGTCCCATGTTTCACGTTTAATAATCCTATTCGAGAATAAAATAATAAACAAAAATGGATGCGTGAAGTATGAAACATACTTTCTCCTTTTAAATTCAGTCCCTTTTTTTTCTTTTTCTTTTTTCGGGGGCTAAATGCAGTCCTTGAATGCCCCCTTTGGTGTGTACGCTTCCAAAGTAATGGTGTTACAAAAACCAAGCCCCGCCCCACAGCCTTCTTCCTGTTTCTCTCCTACTACGCACCAGACATTGACATTTTAACACCGTGTTTTGTCCCGCCTCTTCCAACATTGAAAGTGGACGTGGGCCACCTCCATTTGAACTTTTAAGATGAGATGGGCCAGCCCAATAATACATGTTCTAGGGTTTTTATTTGTTTAATAAAACGATTTGACGTTCATAAATATCGTGGCGAACACGGTCTGAATTGGATCAGTTTTATTTTAGAATTACAACTGAATCAATTATAATGTGGCGGTTTGCTTCGATTCCAGTTTAGCAAAAAATCATTTAAGAAACTGAACCGAACTAAATTAATATTTAACAGTTTAGTTAAAATTAAACCAATGTGAAATATGTTATTTACATATTAACTTTAAAAATAAATAAGTCAATCGTCAACATATTGAATGGTATTTAGGGTAAATTCAAATATTTTGAGTTCGAGCCCAACATAAAAGTTCGAACTCTCATGAATATAAATAAATCTATGTTTACATTGGAGATGCAAGTAATTGTACCTATTTGAGAGCTTTATCTTAAGATCATCGGGTGGTTGTAAGGATTATTCTTTACTAATAAAGAAGAAGAAAAAGAGTGGGTTGGCAACTTGGGCACAAGATCTTATAGGTTAATCGGGGGATGTCTTCCATTGGATTTTCTTTTTCTTTTCCAGGAGGAGTCCTTGCCCTGCAGCTTATTTAACGTTTTTTAGCTGGAAAATATATTCCAAAGAATCATGGAATTTGGATGCTTTCTTCATTGAGAGGATCCAAATCCATATCCCTAACCAATGGAAAGAAGAAAAAAAAACATATCTCATGGAGAGCTCAGCCACTAACTCAGCCACTAAGCCAGAGAGGTTGCATGCTAATTAATTAGCTTTAGCTGGCTAATGATCTGCACCTGTATAATTTAATTATATACTTATAGAAAGCATCCTAGTGCTTATTACTTGGGCTCTGGCTCTGCGTGGGACTAATTATATTATAACTCAAGTTGCTAGATTTAGTTGCTTAATTATATACCCAATTGGGATTAAGAATAGTGATTAATTAGTCTTGGATGGATTTGAATATGGTCAAACATAGCAGGTACGCATGTTATGATGTTCTTCCAAATTGCTTGAGTAGGATACATTATAAAATCTAGAGAGAGAGAGAGAGGTCTTCAAATAAAGCAAAGATGAATGCTGAAAGTGTTCTTGTGGTGGGTATCAAAATGTGAATCAGAAAACATTAGAATTAATCTTCTTTCCTTAACCTTCCCTTAAAACAAACATTAGGGAATGTAATAGCCTTTGTTCATGTGGCAAAAGAGAAAAGAGAAAACAATTGACTGGCAAACAGCAGAGCAACTTGGGTCAAAAGATAATCGTATAGGGAAAAGCGAAGAATCAGTGAGCCTTGTTTTTTTATTTAAATTTGAAGGTGCATATCTCTGCAAAGCTGTGCATTGTACATTGTACATGGATTTGCTGTAGTTTTAAATTATATATTGTTTTAAGGTAACTAATATAAATAACAAGTGGCACCGGCCCAGTTGCGTTATAGATTAACTTACCATAATCATTCTTCTATACTACGCTTGGATCTGGATCCCATGAGAATGAGATGGCTTTTCCAACTGGTGATAACATATTGTTAATTAGCATTTGTTTACCTTGGAGGTACCAAGTAAGAAAGAGTACAAATCCAACTATCTATGCTACACACATCGAAAGTGCGTGACTATCATCGATGCGTGTAGGACTCATTGTCAAATAGCAGGTAACCTCATTTACGTACATTAATAATTAACAACCGTATTTTTAACGTTTATCTTTAAGAAGAGATGAAAACCATGTACACTACTTACTTTCCCATAAGCTATGAAAGTTGAGCTTTTTTCCTCATTTTTTAAGCAACTTCAACTTTAAAGTACCCTGCAATTGTAGGTTAGTTGGCCCCAAAGGACCAGGGAATTCTTGGAGCTCTACAATTCTCTTTCTAATTCAACCAACCCACTTGCCCTGTTTTGCCAATTATGATAGCCGCATTGATTGATCATATGAGTGGCTATAATCAATTATAGGGCATGGATGATTCGATCCACAGCTGGATTTTAATTTCCCATCTGTGAATAGAATAGAATAGAATAATTTCAACTTGATGGGCAAGTGAAATTACTTAATTATTTCTAATTTGGGACTCTGGCTCTTGGGAAGTTTCCAAGTTGGAAATCTGCAAGTTGTGATTAATTAAGCATTTAAATTAATCTGATATACTAATTGGATGGTTCAAGGAAGGAGCAAGTTTAAGCATGTATTATTAGTCTAGCTGAGGTGGGAGGGGGTTTCAAGGGAATTCACATTTCTTTTTCATCTTCTTTGTCAAAGTAATGTGATTCAATGTATTTGATATGACTGACAAAATAAACATACCATATGTCATTTTCAGTCCAATTTTCAAACAACACTATAGATTTCAATTCATTGTTCCCTTCTTATGATGCAGAGGGTACATACTTGCTTGACTCTAAACGATAGTTTTGAATTTTTATCGTCACAATTTTAAGGGCGGCTGTAACTTGTAATTAATTTAATAATGGTTGTGTATTTTTCTTGATGGTCTTAAGGGTTGTTGTACTTAGTTTCTTTCGGTTTATAATTACAAAGTTAAGTTTATCCTAAATTCAATAACCACAACTCAGAGCAGACAAGAAACCTTTCAAGCCAATCACAATAAAATAAAACCAATTCAAGAGAGTTGATTCGATTTTTACGCTATAAAAATTACTCTTGGACCAAACCCAACCAAATTATAATTAATTTGGTTATGTTTGGTCTATTTGGAGATCGCTAAATCGTGCCAAACGACCTCTATGTATATCACTTGACATTTTATTATTGATTAACATCTTTACTATTATGTTTCATCCAACATATTGCTATCAACAACTTAAAACCCTAACTTATTCAAATTTGATGTTCTCTCCCTCAGAATTCTTTCATTTTCAATGGTAAGAAGTTTTCTCAGCTATTGTACGAGTGTATAAAGTTCACTTCAATATATATATATATAAGAGATAATAAAACAATTTGTTAGTTTCGTATAAAGGGAAATAACTACCAAACTGGTCACTAAATGAATTGATTTGGCTGAGTGTTTGGTTTGAGACCTAACAAGGCCAGGTCGGGTCCACCTTTACTCTGTAAAATATATGTATTATTGAATAAATCTAACATAAAAGGAAATCGAAGCGTACCAAGCTGGACCGCGTCCACATCTATCCAAAACAAGTAAAAGGTTATATAACTTTGACTAAATTTAACATAAAAGGAAATCGAACAGCATAAAACCGGACCACATTCACCCCAACACAAAATAAGTAAGAAATTCATATTTAAAAATAAATCTAACATAATAGGCAATCAAATAAATTAAGTCTCTTTTTTTAAATATATATATATATATATTAGAACAATTTCAGTCTTGTTTATCAATTTTAGTCTTGAATAGAATTCTTAGAAATCTTCCTACTTCTAAGCATCCAAAAAGTGTTTTATATTAGGCTTATTCCAATAAGAAGGCTTTGTTATCCTGTTAAACCAAGACTTCTACCATAGAGAGGGGATATTTCCACATCAAATCCAAAACAAACAGCACCACACCATAACCTTGTGTCCAAACAGCCCCACTAAGCAAACCAAATACCAAAACCAAACGTAAAAAAGGCAGGTTGCGGTTTCTGGTATTCATTGGGTGGGTGGAAGAATATTACAAAGAAACCCACTTTCATTGCCCAAATACACTGCATGTGAGTTTTCATTGCGTGTATGGTCAAGTACCGAAATCTCCCATTCACATTAAAATCTCCTAGCTGACCAATACGCACCCCTCATTTCTCTCTTCCCTCACCTCCTCTTTCTCTCTTTATCTCTCTCTCCTTTTTGCCCTATCTGATAGGGTTTTCATGTCCTTGTAAGCTCCAATCTCTCATGCATCACTGCATCCAAGCACTATACGCCGTTGTTGTAGCCTTAATCTTTTCTGGGTCTCTCTTTTTTCCTCTCTTTCGAGGGTTTTTCGGTGGAAAGCTTTGCGGGTTCGACCTCCTGGGGTTTTTTGAGCTGTACCCATGTCAAAGCTCCTTGGTTTCCCTGGTAAGCTTTCAGCCTTTTCATGTTTACGTGTTAAGTTTCAAGATTGTTGACTTACTATATTTTGGGGTTTGTTTGAAATTTGTGGTTTCAAGGCTGTTTACCTTTCAGACAAAAAAAAAAGGCTGTTTACCTTAAATAGTTGTAGATCAGAGATGAAATTTTGTGACTTGACATGATCTAGCTTGTTGATTAGTCGGGTTTTCTAGTTTTGTTGTGAAATTCGTGCATACATGATTCAGAGTACGAGTTATGATTTCAGTTTCATTTTTGAAATGATAATTTAACTTTTATTGGTCATGGATCCTCTTGAAGGCTTAAGTAAAATAGTTGTACGTTTAAAACCTTGAGATGGGATGTGCCTTCTGGTTCATGTATTTAATTTTAGGTTTAATCTTTTCCTTTTTTGGGTGAAATTTATTGCTTTGGATAAGTTAAATTAACGCGTCATGGATCTGATGTGAGATCTTTAATATGAATAGCTTATTGCTTTTAATGAAAGTCTAATTTTGAAATTTTTTTTTTCTCGTTTGATGTTCTATGCATATGTATTGGATTGGATCTTGATTAGTTTACTGCAAAACTGTATATAGGGATTTGTATCATGTTAGATAACTGACGCTACTTGCAGTTACCTGCCTGCCTTGTAACATATTATGAATGCTAATATTATGTCCTTGGTTAACAGGTAATGATGATTTTTGCCCTGGGGGGTCAATTTATACAAACCCCAAAGAACCTAGCCTCTTTTTGTCCCTTGGTAATCATGCGGATGTCTTTTTTACTCCTCGCAAGAGGTCTCGCATCAGTGGTACATTTGTTTTCAGCGAAGAAGGTTTCGAGCAGAAGAAGCCGGTGTCTATTGATGTTCTACCAGATGAATGCCTCTTTGAAATCTTTAAACGGTTACCTGGAGGTGAGGAAAGGAGTGCCTGTGCTTGTGTTTCCAAGCACTGGCTTACACTTTTAAGTAATATCCATAGGGACGAATTCTGCAGCAACACAAACGACCTATCTTTGAACCCTCAGAATGAGGTCACTGGAAATAAGGATCAGGAGGTTGAGAGTTGTGGATATCTTTCCAGGAGCTTGGAAGGGAAGAAGGCAACAGATGTTAGACTTGCTGCCATTGCCGTTGGAACTGCTAGTCGAGGAGGATTGGGAAAACTTACAATCCGAGGAAGCAATTCTGGTCGTGGGGTGACAAACCTTGGCCTTAGGGCGATATCCCATGGCTGTCCTTCTCTGAGGGTTCTTTCTTTGTGGAACGTGTCCTCTATTGGGGATGAAGGCTTGTGTGAGATTGCTAATCGGTGTCATATGTTAGAGAAGCTTGACCTCTCCCAATGTCCTGCAATATCTGATAAAGGTTTGGTTGCAATTGCAAAGAAGTGTCCTAATTTGACTGACTTATCACTTGAATCCTGTTCTAACATTGGGAATGAAGGTCTTCAAGCTATTGGGCAGTGCTGCCCCAATCTCAAATCCATTTCAATCAAAAACTGCCCTCTTGTTGGGGATCAGGGAATTGCTAGTTTGTTATCTTCGGTCTCTTATGTCTTGACAAAGGTGAAGCTTCAGTCGTTGACCATCACTGATGTGTCTCTTGCTGTTATTGGACACTATGGCAAGGCTATCACTGATCTTGTCCTTACCAGCGTCCCCAATGTCACTGAGAAGGGTTTCTGGGTCATGGGCAATGGTCATGGGCTGCAGAAGTTGAAGTCCTTCACTGTTACATCTTGTCAAGGTGTAACAGATACCGGGCTTGAAGCAGTAGGGAAAGGCTGCCCGAATTTGAAACAGTTTTGCCTTCGCAAATGTCTATTCATTTCTGACAGTGGGTTGGTATCATTTTGCAAAGCAGCAGGATCACTTGAGAGCCTTCATTTGGAGGAGTGCCACAGGATTACCCAATATGGGTTTTTTGGTGCTCTTTCAACTGGTGCAAAATTGAAGGCTGTAGCATTTGTCTACTGCTTGGGACTTAAAGACCTGAACTTAGGATTGCCTGAGGTGTCTCCATGCCAATCTCTTCGATCATTGTCCATTCGTAACTGCCCTGGATTTGGGAATGCTGGCCTGGCACTGTTAGGTAGACTTTGCCCACAACTGCAGCATGTGGACTTCAGTGGGCTTGAGGGTATAACGGATGCTGGGTTTCTCCCACTACTTGAGAACTGTGAGGCTGGCCTGGTAAAGGTTAATCTTAGTGGTTGTGTGAATGTAACAGACAAGATGGTTTCATCCATGGCTAAGCTACATGGTTGGACTCTGGAAATGGTAAATCTTGAAGGTTGTAAGATGATCAGCGATGCAGGCTTGGTAGCAATTGCAGGGAACTGCCCATTGCTTAGTGACCTTGACGTCTCAAGGTGTGCAATCACCGATTTTGGAATTGCATCCCTGGCCTGTGCAGACCAGCTAAATCTGCAGATCCTCGCCATGTCAGGGTGCCCTTTAGTGTCAGACAAAAGCTTGCCTGCTTTGGTAAAAATGGGTCAGACCCTTCTGGGCTTGAATCTTCAGCACTGCAAGGCAATCAGCAGCAGCACTGTTGACCGGCTTGTGGAGCAGCTATGGCGTTGTGATATCCTTTCCTAGGCTGGGAAGAAAAGGGGTAATTGCCCACTCTGGAATCAGAATCACCACCTACAACGATGAGGGTTGAATAGTCAGGAAGTCAAGAATCGTAGTCAGCTTTTGTGAGTAACCACAGCTTATTTAGTTTTTGGGTCCATCAGCAATGGGTCTTTAGACATCAAGTTCCCCGGTTCCCTTTTCCAGGGAAAATGGCCATTTACTCCTTTTTTGCAGGTTTCCTATCATTGGAGATCTGTTCCTGGTATTTTGGCGCTCGGTAAAGGGCTGTCGCTTAGTGGCCATATATCCCTGAGAATATTGCTACCGGGTTCTTGATCTAGGTTGTCTTTCCAGTTCGCATTTGTCCTGGTTTTGTATTGCTAGGTGTAGGGAAGCTCTTGTTTTTGCTTGGTTATGTTTAATGCTTAGGCCAAGCTCTTTTAGGGTTCCTACCATACCTAGTTCTAAGTCTGTCGATTGTTGGTTTTACCGAGTCGTTCACGTTTTTTTTGCTTGTATTCTGTACGTGATGGTTGGGCTTATGTTTTCCTCAAAGGTTTAGATCAGAGTTCCGTAGTCATTGATTTGTCTAGAGGTCCTGTGTTGGGTTGCTTTTGGCAGTTCAAAGTTTTGATGCCTTGTGTTTGGGGGCTTTGGCCTTGGCAGCTTTTTATGAGTCTGCCATGACAATCCTTTTCCTTCATGGAGGGATTGTTTTTTTTCCAAGCCCCTGTTTTTCAGGCATCATTTGTTCATGAACTGTACTCTGCAACTTGTTAATTATGTAATGAACTCTCTATCTGCCCTTTGCGATGTATGCTTTGAATTATAATGAATAAAATTCTCAGTCGTGTTTTATGATATAAGATTGTGATCTTGATTTCATTTTTGTTCAAATTTAGTCACATTCTTTCCGCACCAAAGATGCAAAAATGATGTAAGCAATTCTTGATACTGTGGAAGCTGTTAACGCGTGCCAAATTATTTTCTGCGAAGCTTCCTTGGCATATGTTTTGGACATTTCAAAAATCATGACCATAGATTCAGCCTTTGTGGCAGAAGTCCTCGGAAGGAGAAACACGTGTAAAACGGGGATAATATTGTTTTGCTATTTTCGGCGGTCACGCGTGATAAAATTTTCATGTGACAGTATGTAATTGATTGAGAATAACAAAAAAATGTTATCCCAATTCAATACAAGTTTTTCTGCGGAGGTTTGAAGGGCCAAATAAAACTTTTCTAAGGGAAACTGTGGAGATAGAAATAAAGGTCAAAGAGCATGTGGGAAGTCAACTTTTTTTGTTTTTGTTTTTTTCTCTGGCGCATGACCTTTAGTTAAAGGCACCTACAATAAGATTGTTTGTATATCTTGATGATGGTGGGCTTGATCTAGTTCACATTTGCCTCTCTACAATGGTGGTTGCCCTAATTATTCTTGTCTCTATGATTGCTGTCTTGTCTTGTTCACACAAGCAAAACACGCTTTCATGGAAAGTGGAGCCTTACTAGAATATAATGGTGGTGGTGATGGTGGTGGCAAGTGATAACCACTAATAAGAGTTTGTGCCAGATACTTGAGAACCACATCTCTAAAAGCTTGAATGAATGCAAGTCCTGGAAATTGTTTTATTAATTTGGAAATTGGAAGACAATTTTGCTTTTTGCATTTGATTTTTTTTTGTTGCCACATAGCAGACAGCCTGTTCATGTTAATCATAGAATACCACTAGCAATATTATTTCTTTTTTAGTAAATTTAGGTTTTAGCTACTAAAAAAAAATTCACTTTTGGAAAAAGCCAAAAATTTTACGAAAAAGACAGAAAAACCTCTTAACTTTCAAACTGAAGACATGCAAATGTAATAGATTCCTTAGGAAATCCAAAAATTAATAAGGGCATTTTTGTCTATTTTGACTATTTAAAAAATATTACTCTCCTTTGGCCTTTTCTATATGAGCAACCAATCATTTACTCCAAAAAAGGTTATGCTGTTATCGTCTGAATCAAGTTAAAGAAGAGGATTGAGTTTTACATTCACTGTCTGCTTAGGTCGATTTCATGTTCATATCTCCATTCCAAAGCAAATCAGCTCTCTCTTCAAAAGCTTTTGATACCCTATTAGTCAATCAATGGCCGGAAGGCTGTTGTAAATTGCACGAAAGTGGAAGAAAGTGAAGAAAAATCGAAAGAAATTGCATAGGATAAACTGGATAAATCAAGGAAAACAGAGAAACTGAAGAAAATGCAGGAAAACTGCAAGAGACCCGGTTATACATGCCCAAATGATGACCCGGCCCATTTCCATGTCCCCTATTTTTAATGTCAGCCAGTTTTCTCTATTATAGGAAAAGGGTGTCTTGGTCTCTATGTAGCCGGTTGTGGCCTTGCGGTTGCATGGAAGTTAACCAAGCCTAAAAGAGGCCACAATCCACATAGAGACCACGGCCACAAAAGACTCCAGTACCGCCTTGTGGTTTTTGTTTCCAACACTTGAGACTCACGTCTAAACCAAGCAAAAAGTATACAGCTTGGCTTGTTGTAGACCTATAAAACTAGCTCCATCTTGGTTTTCTCATAAATTGCACAAACCATGGTTCGAAGTCGAAGCCATCTAACTTCGAAATTACCCTGCTTGGAGTTGAAGTAACATAAGAAAGCAAATAGGTCAGGATATTTACAACACAAAATCAGCCTTGATTGATTCCACAATTCCTAATTGTTCAACAAGACAGCTTAAACAGGATATATTTCCAAGCACGAACTATCTAACAAAAGTTTCCAAAATTTTCCCCAAGTCTTCTTCCCAATTATCTGGCCAACTAATGCAATGCTTAAACATATAAATTAGACAAAACAACCTGGCACATAGTTACATACAGTGCGGAAAACTGGAGTGCAGAATTCCAATGACAAGACCAGCAACCTTGAAAGCAAGCAAGCACACAACAACAACCATGCTGCTGACTACAGACAAGACAGACATCACAAAACTATAATGCAAAATTCTTCATGCCTTCTTCGTCGAATTGATTCAGGTATAATACCTTTCTTATTTTCATAAACGGAGTCTTTTGAGGGCTCTCTCTGGTGCATCCAGTTTTGTCCATACTTTGTACTCAATGCTCCAAGGCTATAGGTTCTTCTTGAACATAGATGGGATCATGTTGCTCTTCAACCACTGTCTCGTCATCTGTATGGGGCTGTGCTTCACTTGTCTCAGCCTTCGGAACTGCCCCCTGCTCTTGGGTGTCAGATCCAGCTTCACTTTTTGCATTGGGCAAGGTGGCATTCTCCTCATTCATTGCATCAATTAAGTTGTTTTTTCCCTCATTTGTTGTCTTAGAAGTAATTTTTCGCTCATTCCCCGCATTAGGTAAAGTGGTCTTTTCAGACGGCAGTCTAGGAAGAGACTTCCGTTGTGGCTTCTTTGGATGCACAGGAGAAGGCCCTTTAGCAGAGTTCTGAGGAACTTTCTCATCGAGACTAAGCCTGCTTGATCGATCATTGGTATTACTGTTTCCTTCAGAAACAGCGGGAGGTAAGCTCTTTCTACGGCCGAGCTTGGGAGACTTGGCCCTTGTTGTTGGTATCTGCATCCATTGCAATAAAGATGTCAAGGCCAAAACAAACTTCACTAACAATCCCATATCCAATAAATAAATTAACCCTGAATGCTGTCAAATAACAGCAAAGTACAGTGAAGCAGGATTATCATGATGTCATGCCCGCTTTAACCAAAAGTAGGCCCATAGGAACCCATTAGAGAAACCCTCAGATGCAACTTAGGAACTATATAATCTAAACATAAGTAGGAATTCATGTTCAGATTTTATATTAGTCAACAAAACTGACACAGATTCCTTTTTCTCATTGCAAGGAGGTTAACAAAAAACTGAGAATCCATTTCTGCACACGCACTTCTTCATATACTTCCAGTCAACTATCAAAATGAAAACGGTAATAGCTTGGTGCAGTATTGGTTACAAAGAAACTAGTCAACAAAAACCAGATATGACTAGTTGTTCCCACCAGCAAATTGAATGGGGTAAGATGATGTGTTATGATTGAGTGATTTATAACTTGTAGGATTGGCATGGTTAACATTTGCAAATTGCCAAGGATGAAGGAGGTATGAACTTAAAAGTTTAAGTGATAATAGATGCAATCTGTTCATATCATGCCTGAAATAAAAGATAGGGTACAATACTAAAGAATAGGCAATTAACTTAAGACTAATAAATCTACACACTAAGGGAACATTGTCCACGGATACACATGCTACTAAACTAAGAAATATAAGCAAGAATCCACGGGAAAATCTACCTAAGGAATCCATACTAATGCACGAAAGACAACTGTAAAGTAAGAAAACTAGCAATGCAACCAGCATGAGTCCAACAGGGGCATGGTCACTGAAGAACACGCTTGCATTACAAATCACCATTCAGAACCTTCTCAAATAATATATTTGCACACCCTGCGACTAATCTATACATAATTGAAAAATGAATTCTCTAAACTATAGCAACCAAATCAAATTCACCAGAAGACTGCCACTTACACATGAACAAAAGAAAATGCACTATGCCATTTGTGATTTTAAAAAGAAATAGAATACCTTCTTTAGCTCCACCTTAGGAGGTGGAGGCTCCTGATAGAAGCTTGGCATTGGAGTTGCTTTAAAAGTCAGTTTCTTCCTGAGCATCCTAATCTCAGCTTCTAGAGTTTCCTGTAAAAGAATGGAATAATTTCAAATTAAGAACGGTTGCACGAACATGTTTATCGTTAAACATTGATTGAATACCACCTTAGACTTGGCTTGCAAATTATTCTTCTCCATCTCCTTTGCATGTATCTTTTCCTCGAGTTTAGTGTAGAACTGCCAAATGTAATTGTAAACATTACATTGATAACAGAAATAATGCTGGAGGACACAGCATAAAAAGAGCAGAAGATGCAAACGCAGAAAGCTAACCTCTCTCCTTTTCTCAGCTCGTTCATCACACCTAAAACTGAAACCGTAGTTCGGAAGTGTACTGACCCTAGGCGGTTTCATGTCTCCTTCTGTAGGACTTCTAAGCAGCAGTTAAGGATAAATGATAAAACAATAACGAAAACCTAGACAGAAAATGTAGGAAGACCAACAGCTTTGGAAGACAATAAATGTTTAAAATGATAAGGATACAAAGAGGATTGTGATTCTCCTTCAGCCTTATTAAGGGAGTCTTTTTTCAAAGGCTTCAGCTTTGTCTTCTCCCTGTAAAAGGAAAATCACAATAAACAAATAGCTAAGTTAAGAAGTCAACAGAGATGGTTGCTAATTTCAACATCTCAACTAGAGCTGATCACCAAAAATTACGAAGAGAAAATAAAACATAAGAGATATAAGGCATTAGGGAGAGACGAAGAAATAGAGCATAAGCACAAGCAGTACTTACATGGTGCCTTCAGACAATTCTGTATCGGATTTCTCAAGTTGCTGCTGCAATAAGATAGAGATTAGATACAATGATCAACAAGCACAATGATAAATAAATAAAAAACCAAACAAAAAAGTTATATCCAAATATTGGGCAAGCTGCGAGGGAAAGATATCAAGGGCAATTATTGACTTTTACATTGGATGACTGAACCTGTCGCCCATTAAATGATCTAGTCTTGTTAGGCTGTTTTGGGCGTGAAGTTGTAGCAGCTGAACCATTTGAGACAGCAGCTGTCACCTCTCCATCATTTCCATCTTTACTTTTCTTCACCCAAACTGGCGAGACATTCTTGGGACCAGAAGGCTTCTCATTCTTGCTCTTACCTTGACCTTTCTGCACTTTGGTTTGCTTTGAATGAGGATAGCCTTTCACTTCCCCTTCCTGCATCACAAACACATAAATTGGCATTGCAATCAGGTCTGGAGTCATATAATTACTAAAACCAGCCAACCAAATTCCAGCATTCCCTACCTTAGCAATAGTCAAAGCAATAGTCAAACCATTTCTTTCAGGGTTGACAGTGGATTCCTCTTTGGCTTCCCCAGTAGATGAGTTATTAGTCACACCATCATCCAACTTGACGATATTTTCGATTTTCCCATTTGAAGCTGCAGTCTCGGTCGTAGTAGTTTCGCTGACAGTCCCATTTATGTTGTCTGAAACAACACCAGGTTGTCCATGAACACCATTTTGATGAGCCACCTCAAGCCCATAGGTGGCTACCAAATTATCCGAATCCATGACACACAGGAAACTACAAAAACAAAAAAGACATTATCATTTTTAAACCATAAACAGCTGAATATAGGTCATGGGTCATAAACATTCCTGCATGCTAGGACGAGAAATAACCATATGTTTAAAACTGTTATCCATAGAGGAGTTACAAGACATCTCGGACTGTAAAATATGAACTCGAATTAAGGATTTGCATATATTGCCCCATCAAACTGTTAATTATTTTCCCCCAATTTCTCTGCAACCAAACAAAGTATTCATATACTCGCTGCCCTTAGGCATCAATCAATTGAAGGAAATTCCAAAATGATTTCAATCAGAAATCAGTAGAAGAAACAGAACCAAAATGAATCTGTTCACCTCTATCCTTTGTTTTATCAAAATACACCAAGATTTAAAATTGAAAAATAAATAAATAAATACATATATAATATAATAAAATCCACATCAACCGCAAAACACAAGCGCATTTCCAGGAACAAAAATCTGTCATTTTACATTGATCTAACATAAACATGCAACAAATAATTAGTAACAGAAACCAACGATCCGTACGGTTACTGAGAAAGTGGAAAACAATAAAAATCGATAATTAAGCTATCCCGAGAGCTCAAAACTCAATCTTGAAGCCGAAAACAACACAAAAGGCACACGATTCAATAGTTCCCTCACATTTTCCGCTCATATTCTCGGCACCCAAACGGACTATCAATGTAAAACAAGCTCAACAGTTTCCACTCACCTCGATAAGCGTGAAACAATCAAAACTCCATTAGCTGGGGCCGGACCGGGGAGATGGGTTCAAGGATCTGAGCGCCGGAGAGCGAGGGTACGACAGTGACGACGGCTGAAGCGGATCGGAGGATCCGAACCCAGAAAAGGGAGGATCTTTTCGGATTCAAAAGTCGGAGCTTTGATTTTTCCTTTTCATTTTTTTCGGGTCTAAGAAAGAAAATGCGAATAATAATAATAAAAATTCTAGTGGATTTGAAATTTGAAGGAGCGAGTTGAAGCTTATGAAATATGGAAAATGGAAAAAGAAATGAAATTATATGTGAGTTGAGTGAGTGAGTGAGTGAGAGAAGACACGGACTGAGTTATGACTCGGAGGGAGAGGTTTGTGTGTGTGTGCGCGTTTATACGATTGGGATTTAAAAACCAAATCCAGGTCAGGTCAGGTCAGGTCAGGTCACTCTCTGTCTCTGCCCCAACCAAATACATCCCATATACGGCTACGAATACCATACATGGTTTTACGGTTTTACGGTTTTCGGACAAATACAGTTTTAAGGTTAAGTAACCACCTACTTACCAAGTAACCAACCCCAACTTTCCATCTATACTTCTAGAATTTGAAGAAATATTTATTAAATATTAATATAATTTTTCTGAACATAGGTGGAAAATCGAACTCTTTCATCATTAGAAAAAGAAATACGAGTCAATGAGGTCTTTCCCAATGAAAAATGACATTGTCTTGCATACAAGAGATCTCATATTCAAATCCCCATGACATCTTCGTTGTGTGGATGTGAGAAATCCAACTCTTCTGTAATTTAGACTATCGCTTATACTAAAAAAAATGAAGAAGAAGAAATATGAACCAATGGGGTCTAGTGCAATAAAAAATGACATTGATTTGCATACTAGAGGTCTCATGTTAGAACCTCCATGGCACCTTACTAATGCGTGTGTGTGTGTGTGAATCCCCATTCCCCTTATAGTTTAAACTACCCCTTATATTAGAAGAGGAAAAAAAAGAGAGGAAATATTTTACTTGCTAGGAATTGAGGAAGCTAACTTTATATGTTGAATGAATATAGTTTTAATTTGATATTTCAGGTTTCACTCATATTCACAATTGATATATTGTTTAAAAGAAACTCCTCTTTCAAAAAATAAATAAATTTGAAGGTAGTGGGTTCCTAATTTACTAAAAATGATGATTCATATTTCCTTTTCGTTGGTTATTTTGTTTTCAGATCATAGAGGTTTCTGATTTCTTACTTTACTTTCTCTGGTGGAAATGTGTCTCCTCTCTTCTATCACTTTCTCTTACCAATCATATGGAAAGTACAATTATGGAAATTAGTTTTCTTCCTCTCTTCTTGCCAATTATGTGATAAAATGCATTTTGCAGATCTAAAATCTTTATTTCCTAAACAAATTTAGAAATTATCACCTCTTTCTCATTCTGTGGATTTTGTGGGGACAATGACTTTTCCTTTTCTTTCAGTTGTTATCAAATTCAGTGTTTCTCCACTAGAAAATCGATATTATTTACATTTTTGTCTATTTTCCTTTTTTTTTCTTCAAAAATATAAGGAAAAAAAAGAAGGGGAAATACTAGCTACATAAATAAGTTTTGTAGTATATTAGGCCACACTTGCATTGTGAAATTAATTAACGAGTTATAATATGGGTAGACAACATTTTATATTGCATGAACTCGAGGTATAGAAATAATAAATACATATACGTGTGATAATATGAGTTAATTAGTAACACCATCACACTGAAAACCTACTCAACTACATATCCTTTCTACATTCTCCGATCTCATTCTAATTGTGCAATGTGATTTGATAATCAAAACCGTCTATCTTCTAAGTCACCCTTTAAATGTCATCTTGAAAAAAGTCCTCAAATCAGAAATGGTTTAGTCATGTAATTGTCATACAATAAAGAGACAATCTAAGTGTTTTAAATTATCACACTATTAATCAAATGGCTAAATGCTGATTTGGTTATTTTTTGCGAGAATTATATATCCTTGAATGATAATCTAGAAAACGAACCATTTCTATCAACATGCCAAAACATGAAGTGGAATTGAGAATTTTGAAAGAAAAGATGACGAAAAAAGTAGCTTACATTCCCCAAAAATAAAAACAAGAGAAATATTTTAGAAGTTCGTGATATTTTTTCAAATTGTAAGCCATGCTATAAGAAAATTTAATCAATAAAGTCTGTACTTTAGAACGAGTTATCTTATTATTTGCAATTTAGCAATACAAATTTGCTCATCAGGCAATCTCAGAGTTATATCTTACTATTTTACACTTTAAAAAATAGTATCTCAAAATGTTACACTTGTGCCTCTACTTTCGTATGGCTTGACAAGAAAAACTCCTGTCCGAACTAAAATTTTCTTGAGTGATAGAAAGAGAAAGATAGAGTGGAAGAAGAGAGGGGTGAGGTGAGGGGATGAGGTCGTGACAAACCGACCAATTCAGCTGAGTTGTCGGGTGTGTAAAGTAAAGAGCTGCATGCAACCGACACCTTCTTTACGGGCCCGTGGCCACCATGCGATCCGATTGTATGTAACCGAAGAAACTTCCCATTCTCTCTCTCTCTCTCTCTCTCTCTCTGCTCTTATTTATAGCCTACTGTTGCAAATTCATACTTCTTCTGTGCCCAGACTTAAATATATGGATGGCATCCACATGCATGGGCATGGCAACCTCTCATTGGCTGCATCAAAACCCCTTTTAAATTTAATTTGCTAGAGCCAAATTATTTAATGCAAAAAGAACTTTAAAAAAAAATAGAGGTGGGTTATTTTATCTTTTCAAGGCTCAGGTGAAAGGATCTCTCTCTTTATGATGAACAATATTCCGATTCCGTCAAACAACTCTAATTGACATAGCCACAATGAATATAACATATAGGGTTAGGGTGTTTTCACAACCCTAAACCCTATAACACCTAAATTTGAATCTCCCTCCTTATAGATTAGATGAATTTATAGTTTAGATTATCGCCAAAAAAGGTATTCTCACTCAGTAGTTATTTAAATTACAAATTAACGACATAGCATATTAGAGTGACAGTCTCGTATTGCTTTATAAACACATTAGTCTCTTCGCACGCGCTTCTGCACCTGCGAGAGGCTTTTAAAAAAAAAATTAAAAATTTATTTTAGAATTAAAAAAGATAATGGTTAGTTGTGTTCCATAATGGTTATTTTGAATGTTTCATCATTCCCTATCTTTTACTTTATATATATATATATAGATAATAATAATAATCAGAACCGGATTTTAAGATTATAAAAAGGGTTAAGGAAAAGCAAAAGAGAAGGGAGAAATTAGGCAAACAAACTAGGACCTACTACAACTCAAACCACCACTTGTTTAGCAAAGCATTCTCAAGACCGAAGGAAACTTTTCTTCTTGTTTGTAACTTGCTGTGCTTTTAATATACTTTAAATAAGGATATAGTTTAAGGAACAGATTGGATTAGACAGTTCTCTCTTATATTAAAACTAAACAATTTGCTTTCACTTAATAGGATGTTTTACCTTTAAAGTCAAGTTGGCTGGAAAGATAAGATTTGATCCAAACGGAGTCTTCCTTGTCAACCTTGGACACCTTTGTGCGTATGCACCAAATTAACATATGTTACCACTAACTCTGACTATGTCCATTACCCAAGAGAAAATTGAACCATGTCATAATTTCTTGTAATCTTATCACAGCAACAACAACAAAAAATTATTTATTTATTGTGGGGCAAGATGTAGACCAAATTGTAATGCGAAAGCAATTAGTTTGAGGGTCAGATATATTTTGATAGATCATCGCAAGTCAAAAGATATACAAGAATATGATCGAGAAATTATAGGCGTGTGTATGTCATGATTAATTTACTAAATATATCAAACACCATTCAGATGCTCACCCACCCCAATCCTCGCCACTTGCCCCTCTTTGCCTCTTTATTAGCCTCTCATAGGACTTTTATCAAACAGTTTGTCCTCATAGCATGCCTCTGTAGAAAACGACATCGTTATAGGTTATATGGAGGAGACACAAGGAAGCAGAGGTGCATGGGAGCTGGCAACGTATGCCTCCTTGTGGTTATAACTCTCCTCACAACGACATTCTATGTCATTTGCACGTGTGGTCTGTGCCCTACTAAATCCTCATTGGCTCTGCGCAGGGGCCAGTTAGTCATAAACATAAAGGACTCTTCTTCTTATATTAGGTAGGCATGACATGATTGACTTAGAAAACCTACACATAATTTTGGTTTGTGCTTATCTCCTCCACTCTGCCCACTGCCCTTTCTCTCTGTAACCCCAATTTTTGTACTATATATGCTTTGTATTTTGCAGTCATCAAGAACAAGGGTGTATCATGCCATTGCACCTAATTACACTTGCATTCTACATTTTCATGATGTTTTGTAGACGAGATGCGTGAATCTATTTTTGTCACGTGACATGTTGAATAGTCAAACATTCCAATTCAAAAATGACTTGCGTTTGAGAAAAAAAAGTTGAACGTCAAATTTAGACACATGTCATCTTTTAACTGGATTGTTCTGCCACTCAACACTAAAATTGCGTGATATGATTGGTCCCAAGTAAAATTTTCTATTGTCGAAGTGGGAATTCTTTGATCTTGGGTTCCAATCAAATTGTGATGGCGCCTTAAACGATTGCAACTTACAAAGAGCTAGTCTTGATTTGAAATCACCTCTTTCTATACCAAGAGACTTCTTATTCTTAGGTATAATCTGTAGTTTCGTGTAAGAATATACATCTTATATGAGACTTGTATTGCTGAAAAATAATAGTTCTCATTCATTCACATTAAAGAAAACTTTTTTTTCTTTTCTTTCTTAGAATGTGATTGAAAATGACCGGAATATAAATATGGAACCTATTTTCTAGACAAAACAAAAGAAAACCTTATGTTGATTACTGACTTTGGAAATACTTCTGGACTTGGTCTCACCCAGGTGAACGAACAACCACTGGTCAGGAATTCTTGTGGCCCAACAATGTCTTCTTTTACTTTAATTCTTCTTGCCCCCTAGTCACTTCCATTGGTATTGTTTTACAACATATTAAAATTTAAATAAATAAGTTATATAATTTTTTAGTATTGTAACAACTTAATTAGAAGCTAGGGTTGAAGTTTTCTAACTGTTAATTCCATTGCCTGAAAAATTAAGTTAATTTAGTGTTTGAATACGTGATCTCTTAGCGTAATTAAAATTAATTTAATGTATAATATAGAGAGAGTTTTTATTGAGGGATCCCTATTTGAGGGACACCCTTGTTGGGCCAACTTTGTATTGTATTTTACTAATCCAAACCGTCTATTTTGTATATTATCATTCAAACATCATCTCTACAAAAAAAATCACTTGAATCCGATATAATTTGATCATTCAATTGAATTATTGAAATTTTATTACTTTCTTGAAGTAATGTGTTAATTGATTTTGTAGGACACAATTGGATGTCGAAATGGTTTTCGATTTGTCTATTTTTTTGTAAGGATGATCTATAAATGTAGACTTAAAAAATAGATGGTTTGGATCGTTGAAAAAATATATGTAGAGGACCCTAAAGGGTGTACCTCAAATAATCTCTCAATAGAATGTGACTATATATATATATATATATAGTATAAGCGATAATCTAAATTACATGGGAGGGGGATTTCACACTCACACACATAACTATATGTCATGGGAATTCTAACTTGAGACCTCTTGTATGTAATTCAAGGCCGTTTTCTATTGAACTACACCCGTTGCCTAATTTAGTGTTTATTTGATTTTTTTAAAGAGAAAATGGAAAACGAAAAAATGAAAACAGTTTAATGTCCTTTTGGGACCACAACTGTCAAATACTAATCTGGCGCATGTGCTTATACCCAAATCTTATACACACACATTTCTTTCTGCATTTGTACAGACATTATTGTGAAAGCTAGTTGATTACGATCTCTTTTGTTTTAATTAACTAAACAATATAGATTCCTATGCAGATATTTGCTTAAATATAAGTTGGTTCCAGACATGAGACATGTGATCAAAATTTAAATTAGAAAAATCCATAAATAAATCATTTTTAAAAACTAGTGTTTAAGTAATTGATTAAAAGATAAGGGTTTAGTTACTTTCATTACAGAAAGATACACTGAACAGAACCATTCAAAACAAGACCTACAGGCCACAGAGCATACAATGCAGACATCAACACAGGGACCCTCTGGACTGTCCTTATATGGTTTGGTTTTGTACAGGGAAAAAATAAAAATAAAATCAAGAGGCTCGAGATCTTTTAAGCACTAATGCAAAGCTTTCGTTCTCCAATGTGGGATATTTTCGTAACACAATTAACATTTTTCTTATTTATGTACTAATATAATCTTTTCTTTTTTCGAAAGTTTCATATGCCTTTTTTTTCAATGTTATTTTCTTGGCAACCCTTTGGTGGTGACCACAGAGACGAGAACTGGTCAAATTACAATATCAATTAAAAGCAGAAAGCGGAGTTGAGTTGAGACGTCCATTTAGTTTCAGCATCTAATTCTGCTTTATACATGGATGTCATGGATAAGTATGGATCAGCCAAAAATTAGGACCCTTAAGAGTTGCCTGACTCACAAGGAGACGATACCTTTGGACATATGTTTTTGGCTCAGAACTTCACTGCATATTATTATTTTTATTATTTGCACCGATGGCCCTCATCTTTCTATTCAGCTCATTTGCGTGAACTTATGTGATCAATAAATGTGGTTCAAATAGATAATATATATTATGAGGAAATGGGCCGCATCTTTGACGAGGAATGAGGGAAGTGGGTCTGTGTTTTTGGTACCCAGAAAACAACCTTTGGGGCCTTGCTGACTTGCAGTTGCTCAGGCCCAGAAATTTAACCCTGAATCCACATGCTATTAATTGTAATTTAGAAACTACGAAAATCAGTGACACAGCACAGCTGAGAATGGGAGTCCCCACCATTAGAGAGATTATCTTGATGGATCACTTTCTTATGATTAAATTATGAAGCTAGAAATTTATGATTGCTCTATAACCTAGACTTTCTCACATCATACAGCTACACTTCTGGTCCAAAAATTCATTCTTTTTGTGCTTCAAGAGCGTAAACCAAGTGAACATTTTACTGATTGTACATCAAGGTCGTACCTGAATGATTTGATGACATGTTAATTATGCAATATAAAGTCTTGCCTGGGGTCACCTTCCTTACCTGTCAGCTAATCATTTGATTAATGCTGGCAGCTAATCATTTAATCATTTGATGGGTCACTTTGAACAGTTTATATGAGGATCTGATTGACCAACATTCATCACTTCTTGATCTGTACTGTGTTCCATTTCTGCATGATAGGCATTATGTTGCTCCTGCAATTATTTCACAAGCTCTTCCACCTGGCTCCTGAATTCACTAGTTTGACATAAGCCTTCTTGAAATCTTCAAAGAAAACGTCCTGGTCCTCAGCATACTTTGTGATCCATCTGTACACGAAATAAGCTTCTCTTCAGTCGGATATGAATACAAAACACATACTACATGTAACATAAACATGAAAGTTGATACCTACAATGCAAATGAATACTCGTGTATACCGAAAATGTATGCGTTTTGCTTGCATGGATTAGGCAATATCTAATAACTCTCTGATTACTAGAGCATAAACATATCAGATAAGTAGACACATATCTATGAGAAATATGTAAGTCAAAGTAACTAAGTTAGTTGGCTAGCTCAAGGCAACGTGACAAATTTTCATTTCGTTTCTAAAGCCAGATTATTAGATACAGACTTAAACCCTTGCATTTTCTTTTTACAAAAGAAAAAAACATGAGATGATCATTATCTCAACTAATGTGAAGAACTTGTGGATTGATTTAACCTAAATTAGATTTGTCTTGCATAACTACTGTTTAAAGAGATATTCGCTCTTTATTTCAAAGTCTTCCAGCCGAATTACATTCATTTCAATACTTGTTTTAATAACTGGTTTGGCTGGCTTAAATGCTTATCAACATATGGAAGAGCAGAAAAAAGGACAGCTGAAAGTTTTTGAAAGAAAATAGACCTTAAGCATTCATCATCCTTGGCAAGTGCACGATCTGAAGGAAGCCCAATCATACTACCTGCATGCAAAGAATAGAACCAGTAACCGCACAGTATAGAAAAGGAAACTTTCACAAGGGGAGAAAATAAATGTATACAAAGTCATGAATTTTTAGAGGTGTATAGATAAGTCGCAACAATGTTTTCCCACTATCATGGATCGCATGAAAGCATGCATTCATTGGGAAAAAAAAAAGGGGACCATATTAATCAAGCAAATTGATTAAATCGCACTTGTGCATGAAAATGAAAAAAATAAACTGTTTGAAGATCAAACAAAAATTGGAAGTTCACTCTTATGAAAAAGCAATTACTCAAATAATAGAACATGATTACTCCATTACGTTCATCTTTTTCTGTTATTATATCATGTTGTAAGTTTGTAACATGAACTCCCCAAGAGGGGCGAGCTTAAGTGAGAGCAGGGGTTTCTCTTTAAGCCTAATTTAATATCCAGATTATCCATGTCACTGCTATTTACCCGAAGATGGTTTCTCAAGCAGAATTTTGAAGTATGTATTGTCAAAAACTGTTGGACTTCCGAAACCTTTATTTCCAATGGTATGAGCTCCTGACAGAGCAACAAGTTCTTGAGTTCTGCAAAAACAAAACAGTCACGTTTTAGTTTAAACCTGTACCAAGCAGAGCCTGGGATGATAAACTTTTCCCCAGTGCTTTACTTACAAAAAGGAAAAAAATACATCTAGAACATACAAATTGAAAAAGGTATCTTTTAGCATATATGAACTCACGAAAAGCCTTTTGTTTGAAAGCTTTGCCTCAGAGCAAGGCATCCAGAGATTCTGCAGGAAGTTTTCCTTCAGGATCAGGCTCCCTAAAACAAAAAGATGAGAGAATGAGATAAGTAGCTATTCACAATGTCATTTCTAAAAATTGGATTTATCAATTTTTGGTGGGATAGGATTAGATTGATGCTCCATATTAATGCTGCAGAGAAACAAGACTTAGAGTATTCTTTCCACTAACTCTACTTTTTTCTTTTTCTTTATAGTATTTCTAGTAGCATTAATAATACTTGGCAACTGAAATATTGAGGATTCAAGCATGAGGTTGTTTTTCCATTGATGCAGCTTACTTTGAATCTAATCTGCCCAACGAAACTTGGATTATTGGACCTCCACATATTGAAACTGCTTCAGCTCCAGCCACAGAAATCATGTCTGCCCAGGACACTAATTTTGGAAACATCCACATGTTAGCACAGCACTAAAACAACCATTAATACAGAAACCTAGTCAAACAGTATTTCAGAAGATAGAAACCTGGTTGTACTGTATCCACCTCACTCTTTGCTTTCTCTAGAATCTAACCAACAATTTAATCCACCAAGAAGTTAGCTGGTAGAAGATTGTTTAAACGACTTTTATTTAATCGATATCTTTGTTCAACAAATTAAGAATTTGGGAATTCGATGGAAACTAATGAACGGATACGCATATAAGAGAGAGAGGGCATGCCTTGAAAGGACTTTTAAGACCTTTATTTTCTGGTCTATCAAGTTCGTAAATGACAGAACCATTCATACCACCTGCAATAAAAACATGAATGAACTTCAGACAATATCTATATTTCAAAGGAACACATGTCAGTGGTTGGCAATTGATTGTGCAATGCAACAAATCTGAACCATTGGCGTATCGGCTACTCACAACAAATCTGAACAATTCGTATATGAATTCCAATTCCAGTTGATATTGCTTCAATTTGAAAGGCCAATGCAGCCATGGAAATGAGTGAAAAACAATGGCTAATGCATACAAATATAGATACCTGAATTCTCATCAACTTGAAAGGTCCCTGCATCATGAAACACCAAACGAAGCACACCAGCAGCCTTACCCTTGGTCACCACCTTCCTAATTTCCTCCTTCACAAGCTCATATTCACTTAAATCCGACCTTTCAAATGTCACAGAAAAAACCCAGTAATTACTTTACAAATATTAATACCCACAAAATTGAAAAGATTGAAGATTTTGTTTTACTCACTCTACCGCCTTCGCAGCAAAGGCCTCTATGCATTCAGAGAAAGGAAGAAGCAATGGCAGTGTGGCTGTAAGTGTAAATACCAGTCCTCTTCTTCCCAAGACGCGATCTTTTCCTGTGATTTTGAAATAATTGGTGCATCAAATAGTACAATTCAGCTTCCTTCCATTGTTCTAAGCAACCCAACACAGTCAACACCTAATCTAATCCGTGATTCATTAGGGTTTTGCTTGCTTTTACCTGAAGAAGCGGCGTTGGCGGCGGTGAGAGGGTTGGCGCGAAAATTGACAGTTGAGGGGGATTTGGCGGGAAAATTGAATTTTAATGGGAATGTGGAGGAAGATGTAGTGGAGGAGATAAGGGAGACGGTGGAGGTAGTTGATGCCATCTGTAACGGACGGTGGAGGTAGTTAAGAAATGGGTTTGTGCGCTTTTGAAGAAGAGAGATTTTTATGTTGGAAAGGGGACTCATCCCCTGCGGTCGAGTCCAGGGGATCAATGTACTGTTAAACACCACAAAGCATAAGATTTGTTAAAAGCCAACCTTTGTTTCTGCGTATGTTGTTTTGGGGTTTTTTCTTTTTTTTCTTTCTAAAGAGAGGTTGTTTTGGGTCTTTAAACATGTACCTTTTACTTGAGCATCTTGAAAGATGAAAGGGGATTGCAAGCTTTGTAATATCTCTTTATTTTGCAATACTAAACTATATCGAACGCTTTATTTACAGAAGAAAAGCAGGAGCTAAGAAACAAGAAAGTGATTAAGCTTAGAAAGTAATGGCTAATGTTACAAAATTTGAGTAATGGAAGAAATATACAGAAATATACAGAAATATGTATACATGGTTTAGCCATCACCCATTAGTGCCTCAGGATCGTCTCTCATCTTGAGTAAATGTTATCTTGGGCCCGAAAGGCGCACTGCAGAAAGGTAGGCATCAGTGTTGCAGTCGGATGGTCCTGAGGAAGTTCCCTCCTCGCTGCTCGATTTGAAGAAATTCGAAAAAAGGCGAGAACCCATTGAGTTGGCAGCTGGAGGCTGAGGAACAGGAAAGAGGCCTTCAAGCATTTGGACAACCTTGGTCATTGATGGCCTCAAAGACATGTCTTCTTGTATGCACCATAGAGCAACCATAATGGCTGTGTGTACCCTCTCGTCTGCTTCAACGTTCCCTAGCTTCCTATCAAGGATGTCCTTCAGTTTGCCTTCTTCCAACATCTTGAAGGCATATGATGGAAAATGAGATTTTTCAGAAGTCTCTGTCGGGTCGTAGTTTTTTCTCCCACCAACGATCTCTAGCAGTAGCATTCCATAGCTATACACATCACTCTTCTCTGATATGGCATAGTTGGTGATCCACTCTGGTGCAAGGTACCCTCGAGTTCCTCTTAGTGTTGTGAAAACATGGCTCTGCTCCCTGGTCATTAGCTTTGCCAAACCAAAATCTGAGACTTTGGCAAGGTAATTATTGTCGAGCAGAACGTTTTCAGGCTTTATGTCACAGTGAACAATCTTTGAATCGCAATCTTCGTGGAGATAAGCTAGTCCTTTAGCCGTACCCAATGCTATATTGAATCTTGTCTCCCAATCCAACAGGAATTCTCCCTTGTTTTTCTTGAAGATCCATTTATCCAGAGATCCATTTGCCATGTAATCATAAACAAGAAGTCGATAGCTTGCTTCTGCACAGAAGCCCCTGAGCCGGACCAAGTGCAGGTGATGGATACTGCCAATGATGCTGACTTCAGCTCGAAACTCTTTCTTTCCCTGACCAATGCCTTCCAATTTCTTCACAGCCACTCGAGTTCCATCTGGGAGAATGCCTTCGTAAACTGAGCCAAAACCTCCTTGCCCAAGCTTCACCGAGAAGTTGTCAGTTGCAGTTTGAAGATCTTTGTAACTGAAACGGATGGGCATCCCAGTCAAATTTTCAAAGAAATTGTCCTCTTCTGAATTCTCAGGAGATTCTGGGGATTTTCTCTTCCTCCTGTAGTATCGATATCCAGCATAAAGTAAGCCACAAATAACAAGTATTGTCGAGATGGCTATGACCACAATATACGGAAAGTGTTTCTTGTTGCTGCTGCTCGCCCCAGTACCACTGCCTCCATCTTTCAAGACCTTAATGTAAGAAACAAAGCCAGATCCCTTGTCTGAATTTTGGAAGCTACCTATCCTGTCAAACAAAAAGCAATCTCTTGTACTGTTTTGGAAGAACAAAGCAACACATGAACAGTTTCCAAGGCAAGACGTTTGGCAACGGTTCAAATCAGTTTTTGAAGAGGGTGGAAGGAATCCCAGTGCAAAATAATAGAGCCCGTCGCCAGCATTTACAAGTTCTGTAGAACCCTTTGAACTATCACATGAGGAGACAATCCCCGCCTTGCAATTTGGACGGGAGCTGAGACCTGAAGGGCACTGACACTTGTTGTTACTGTAACATTCAAAATATGCATCACAAGGTTCCGGGGTGCTGCAAGGATCGCTTGGTATTTTTGTTCCTGAAGGACCACTTGACCCTCCATTCTGAAGATTGTTAAAAGTGATAAATCCATCACTTCCTAACACCGCAATCCATGTGGCATTTGCATCAGTATCAGTCGAGAAAATAAATTGCCACAACAACGCTTTGGTTCGATCATAGAACTTCCATGAATTTTCACTGATAGATGCTGAAGTGACCACCCCACCGTCTTTGTTAATAGTTTTACGGTTTTCTTTAGCCATAGACCAATAAGGCTGTGGTGTTTGGAAACCTGAATAAAGAATCATGTCCCCGGACTTGATTTCAAGAACATAGCTCAAGTTGTTGGAGCTAGGATTGCTTACAAGTTTCATTCCATCAAGAAAATTCTGGTTCCATAATAGGGTATCAGTTGGATGGCTAAAACTTTGCCAAACTACCCCACTGTCATCTCCAAGCAAAACCAAATTTCCTGAGTCCTGCAATTCGATTGCAGAAATATTTTTACCACCAGTATCCACAGACCAAATCACACTTCCATCTTTCTGCAAGAACACACCGCCCTTAACATCAAACTCAAATTTATCAGAATTTGAAACCGGGGACACCCTATTTGCAGTCCAGACTACTGTCAAACTGTCCATGTGGACAATAACTAACAGAAACAATGTGACATCTTGGGGAGTAGTATCGAAGCCAAAACCAAATTCAGAACTGTTAGATAATAGAAACAACCCGTTATTATCAATCCAATTCATCTGAGCCCCTTCGAAAGGCGGAGTAATCTTGCCAAATTTTCGAACACTAGCCAGGCATATTTTGGAAGAGAGAAAAGCAGACAAAAATATGAATCCCATGAAATGAAAGAAGTTCCAATTCCCCATGGCCGCTATAAGAACCAGTACTTAGCCAAGATTTCGAAAACCAGATGATTGCAGAAGAACTATACAGCTAACCGAAGAAGAGACGAGACATATTTACAATAGAAAGAATCATAAAGGAAACAAGGGTGTGAAGAAGAAAATAATGACTTTCAACAGTCTGTATATGAGGTAGCCAATCACAGGATCTATGTTCAGAAACTGAATCTAACAAATTCCCACTTTAAACATGATCCCAAATTATTTTCAAAAGTCCAGACAGTGACCAAAAAAGATTACCACACCGAAGGAAACATATAACTTTACATGTCAAGCTGAATTGAGAGAGAGGTGAGAGGTACCAGGAGTTGAAGAGAACTGGCTAGCCGGTGCAAAGAAGAGAACTTTGACCCTGAAGGATCAAGATGAAAACACATGTGAATAGGAGGAAAGCCTTTCAGCAGTTTAAGCATGGATTTTCCATTGACACTTTTCTAATCTACCAACTGCCCCCTAAGTCTTACTTTACTGCATTGAATACAGCAAAAAGATCCAAAATTTTCATAGCTAAGCTCGGTGGCTGCAATTTTCAGACAATCCTAGCTTCAGGACATAAAAAACAAAAAATTTGACAAAAACCCAGCTGAGGTGTGAACTTAAGGTGTGAAAGTAAGAGACTTGACAATGTCAATTAATGGGCAATTATCCATTCAGCCATGAAGTGAGAAGGAAACGAACTTTGTGCCAGAAAAGAGGAAAATCAAAGGGTAATTCTCATTTGGCCATGAAACGAAAACATGTGAGCAGAGAAACAGATTATGTGAAGAGAATCAGATACAGAAGCAGAGTCTCATGAACATCAATTAATGAAGTTATTTAGAGGAATAGAACAGAACCACGGAGAGAGAGAGAGGTAGCTCTCAACTCCTCATTTTGAAGGTGTGAAACAGAGGTAGCAGAAACAAGTAGTGGATTTGCGGCATGGGTCTCTGGCTTTTTCCTTAATCTGTTTCTCTGCTTCTGTCACAAGTTTGAGAGATCTGAGGTAAGGCTTTCTTTGTTTTTAAAATGCAGTTGAGAAACTGTCAAAAGAGAAGGTCTTTTTGTTAATTGACAGATCCAATAATTAATTGTTTAATTAATTGGTTTCCAATTTCCCATTTCCCATGACAACTACAGAAGCCGCCTTCTTCCTTTTCTCTCTTTTTATATATTTTTTTTTGGTACGGAGGAGGGTTAAAGCCCCAAACAAAACAAACTAAGCAGAAACCAAATGGGGCCTAGCTACACCTACACCCTTAACATCAGCATCCATAATATCACCAATGGTCTAAAATATTTATAATATCAACTAAATTTCGTGGATATTATTCTTTTTTCGAGTAATTGATATTTCAAAATGTATCCATATATATTCTGTATAAATATCAATAATATCGAAAAATATTAATGTCGATAATTTCGCTCACACTTTAGCAATATTTTGTCAAAATATTGCTATAATATAGAAAATATCGATGTAATATAAAAAAGGGAAGAAAAAAAACACAAAACACACATGCAAAGGGGATTCAAACCCCTGCCATTTCACTCCTCCAATGCCTTAACCACCATGTTACTTATGTTTTTGTAATAATATGCTAAAATATGTATATTTATATTGTTTTGTTTCCTTGCAAGAATCAAATTTTCACATAAGAATGTGACCCTTTGACCTTTTCTTTTTGGATGGAATTGAGCAGCTTATGGAAAGAATATGAACCAATTTCCGATCCATATGGGTGGCGTGTTAACAATTACATTAAAAAATATATATTATGGGGATTTATCATTTGATGACTATTTTTCACAATACACTTACTCTACACATAGAGATAATGAAGAAAGTGAAAAGTTTGAACCTCATAGGAACTCTATGTAGTACTAAGGGGGGTGTATCCAATTCTAACTTTTAAATACTTTTTTTAAGTGAATGACTTTTCTAAAGTAGACAAATTCTTAATGACTTTTACATACTTTATAAAGTTAAGTGACAAACTTTCATATACTTTTTGTCATAGAGTTTTATAGACTTTTAAATACTTATTTTTATATTTATTTACAAATAGCATTTATCTTTTATGTTGAATGAACTAGTCGGCATATATTGAACAAAAAATTAGGGAAAAAAACAATTGGATACAATTACATAAAAACAAAGAATAGTTCTCCTTAACATTAGAAAATGATAAAAATGACAAAGTACATTTGAAAATGTACCATAAGGAAATAATTGGCATTCAACTAGCCATGATTCAGTTTTTAAAAAAGCTTAGCCATGATTCATTTCAATGACGGTGAATAAACCATAATACAAATTCCTTTTGAAAATTCCAATGCTCATTACCGTTGAGTTCCGTTATTATCTTGCATGGCATTCCTTTTGAAAATTCCAATGCACCTTTTAAATTTTTATTTATCAAATCTAATCACATAGACAAGTAACATATTCTTAGCAAAAGAAATAATAAATATTACTCAGTCATCAATAATATTTCATAAACACTCACAAATCAACATAAATGGTCAGATTACAAGAGTCTATATTCCAGCAATTCTCCTAACCTAATATGTGGGATGTAATCAAATTGAGAACATTATATGAAAAAATTATCCACCTAACGAATTATGGGTAAAGAAACAGCACCTAAAGAATTAATGGGTTTAGGGGCAAAAAATTATATAATAAAATATTGTATGCAAACATAGCATATGAGACAATCAATATAATAAAATATTTATATGCAAACATAGCTGAAGGAAGTGGATGAGAAGAGATATTCATCAACAGAAACGTGTGGATGAGAAGAGAAGAAAAACATTCAATATTTTTTTACTAACCTGAAGGAAGTGGATGACAATGGGATACCAAAGTGGAGCCCTAACCATGAAGAAAAAAGATCCATCTGCATGATGCTTGATATAACATAGGAAGAAGGAATTGGAGACGTTTGGAGAAGTTTTGGTTCTATCTTCTCAGCTTCCCAATATTTTCATAAAGTCTTGTGTAAATTAGCAAGACTTTTGGTAGTAAGAATTACCTTTAAAAGTATTGAAAAGTCATTTATTTAACAAAGTTTTTAAAAGTCATTAACATTTTGGATACCTCAAAACTTTTAAATACTCTTTAAAACTCACAATTGAATACAACTAAACTTTTAAAGACTATTTAAAAGTCACAATTGAATACCTTCAGACTTTTAAACTCATTAAAAGTCATTAAAAGTTAGAATTGAATACACCCCCCTAAGTCACTAATGTATTTTACCATGCAATGTATAAAGTGTAAAATATTGTAGTAAATCATATATATAAATGATTATGGTGTGTTTAATCTTCTTTCATTAATTACTGCATATTTTATACACTCACAGTATTTGTCAGCTCACTATATAATCAACTTAAATCAATTAAACCCATCATGCAATGCATTTCCTTCTAATTTTTTTTATGATAAACTAATAGATAATTGACTAAATAAACATCCTCCAAAGTTTCAATAAAAATTTCCAAGTTCTTCTTACAATTTCCATGGTTTTTATTCAATTTTTATCGATATCAATAATATTCCGAAATTTCTGTATTTTTGGACTATCAATATTTCCGATACCATCGATATTTTAGACCTTATCACCAAGAAAAACAAGAACCTCCTCAAAATCATGAAGCTAAGGTTGTAGCTCATAGCTCTGGGTAACCAAAGCATCAGCAGAACCATTCTGCTCACGAAACACATGTTGAATAGAACAGATCCACTCCTCTTGCATCAAGCACTTACAATTTATAAGACTAAAGAGAGGATGGGTAAATAAAAGAAAACAGGAATATAAATTGTAAATAATCGTCTAGTGATATGTGATCAATCTAAAGTTGAGAGACACTGCGCAAAATGCAAGTTAGGTCGGTTAGTTAGGGTAATATGTCCCTTTTTTAATACTTCGACTTTAAATTTTCTGCTCTTAAATTAGAGCGTCAACTCAATGTGAAATAAAAAATTAATAATTTGACAAAAAAAGAGGGTTTCACTGAAAATTTGATTCTGTATGGAGTGTAATTTGCGATGTTTAAATTCTTCAGGCTTTGATGTATTGTATGCTATAAAATATTCCCAATTGTGTAAAAGGGAGATATTTTGGATTTTATTTTGGTTGTTGTTAAACTTATGGAAATGGGAAGACATAATCAGAAAGGGTGGTGGTTCAACCTTCAAATATTTTTCTTTTATTTAAGTAAGAACTTTATTTATTTATTTGGTTATTACTTAGATAGACATGAAATACTGGTGGTGGTTGGAGAGTTGGGATCTTTCTGGGTTTTTTCCTTAATGATGTATGGTAGATGAGTCTTCTGCAGTTCGACTTGAATGCAAAAGTTGGATAATTTAATGCTTAGTTGGACTGAGGCGAATTTGGTCAAGTTTCTGGCCAATGGACTCGTTGCCCGTCAGGGCAGGCAGGATGTTTAACTAGAAGCAATTTCAATTTCAATGGTGGGTCCTATAAACTTCTTCTTTGTATATCCAATCCAAGTGGAAGCATTACTTTATGCCAAGTGGAACATCAAGATACAATGTTCTGATCATAAACAAATATTTAAATGGCCAAGGTATTAGATACCTAGTAACAGAAACAAAATGTATCACAACCCTTTTTTACTAAGTAGAGAAACAAAAAAAGATGACCTAAATTGAGCCCGTGATCCTTACCCAAATTGTATAATATATGTGTGAGCATTCAAAGATGACCTAACTTGAAGATTTAGTTTGAAGACTTGCACATTACCATCAAACTATATGCATATATACGTAGTCGTGGATTAGATCAATTAATCAAAAATAATATGTCTGTCTTGTTACAACTGATGAGTTTGAATTCCCTTCAACATAAAATTTTTCCCCAAGTTAGATGCATATATATGCATATATCGATGATCATATGGTTTTCATTGGAATTCTATATGTGCGTGTTTGGAATGAAATTTCCATC